ACGCGGGTATACAGATATTTTTGCGCTCCACATTTTGCGCTCGCGGAAGACAACAACGACACTTCTAATTAGAATAGAATTGCGCACTTGACAGGTGTGAGAGTGCAAGTAACATAATTCACATAAAAAAATTTTTTTCCCTTATATATAAACTATCGCGATTATTACTTTAAAAATTAAAAAAAAAAATACAGAAATTAATTTCCCTAATTATAAAGTTAATAATTAATGAATAATAATTAATAATTAATTAATAATTTTAGTTAATAATTTTTTTAATTTAAAGAATATTAAAAAAAATATTACAATACTAGTTAAAAATAATTCATTTGAAAATAAAGAATAAGAAAATTATAGAAATAAAAAAATATTGCTTTATTCATAAAACGAGAAGCATTTTTTTATCATTTTTTAATTTATTTAAAATTTAAGAAAAAATTGTATTCTAATTATTTTATTAATTATATTATTAAATAACATATTTTTATTAATTATTTTAAATACAAAAATTTAATTTACATCATAAACGTAATCTTTAATTAATAAACCAATCGTATAATTAATAAATTAAATAAATTAGAATTATTGATTAATTACTGTAATTAGAAACTCGATTATTAATATATTTATCATTAGATTAAATACACTTCTCAGCAGGCGTGAAAAACTAAATGTAATGCAGAAACTTTCTTTATAGTCTAAAAAGAAAAAAATAATAAATAATGTAAAATGGCAGTAAATAAATACAATAAATATTATACAAATAAATGTTAATAAAAAATGGATTATTATTGTGAACTAAATAATTGTTTTTAATAAATTTGCATGTAAACAATAATAAATAAATAATAATAAATAAAAAAAGTAAATTAATAAATAAAATGAATAAATAAATGAAATAGAAAAATAAATAAAATAAATTCAAAAATAATTTAATTAACAATGGAGTAATAATAAATTTTAATAACTTATATACAGTTAGATGTGATTTAAAAATTTTTATAACGTCAATTAATTGTTATAAGAAATGAATAAATTCTTTCTTTACTGGGAAAATTAATTTAGTTTAATTTGACGCTAACTTTCAAGGAATTTCTGAAGTTGTCGGGTTTTACCATCAAAATTGCATACTTCGATCGAAGGACGTAAGCTCATCCGTTTCCTTGCCAAATAGTTTCGACCTCGGCCTAATCTCGGCATATTCACCGCAATAACGTTTTTTAAATTATTAAACTCAGTTTTTCAAATTACACATTAACATATATATATAACAACTGATTTTTGAGAGATTTTGAAAAAAAAAATTGGAGAAAAGAAAAAAAAATTAAAAGAGGAAAAAAAATTAATAAGTAAATCGTTAAAAAATTTTAATTCTTATTCCCTGGTGTAGTATATAATATAAGTTTAAATGAATTCCAGTTTCACTGACGTACTTCCCAAGAAAGTGTAATTATAATTTCATATAGACAAAACGGTGAAACTAATATTTTTTTTCCCTCACAGAAATATTGTATTCATTATTATATATTTTATAAGGACAGTGCATTTTCTTTCGATATAATTATTATTTTCATTTCATGAAATTTATAATATTATTTTCCGATTTAAAATGAAATATTTAATTTAAAAAAAAAATTGATTTATAAAAAATATTTGCAATAATAGATATAATGTTTAATTGAAAATAATTCAGAAGAATTTTGAAATGGTATGCAATACTACTGTTTTTTTTAAATTTTAATTTAAATTTTTTATTTCAAATATTAGGAATTACTTTAAAGGTTTAAAGTATTATGAATTACTTTGAAATACTAAAAATTACTTTTTAAATACTATAAATTACTTTAAAATGATTTCAACTTCTAAATATATAGATGTAGTTTAAAATAATTTGAGTTACTTTAAAATACTGTAAAATACTGAAATACTCTAAAGTACTTCGAAATAGTTCAAATTATTATAAAATTCGCTGCAATACATTCAAATTTTTTAAATTACTGTAAAATCACTTGAATTAGTTTGAAAAATATAGAAATATTTTAAAACCAATAAATACTGTAAAATATTTTGAAGTACTTTGAAATACTTTAAGTTACTATAAAATACTTTTAGTTACTTAAAATATTTTGAAATTTTTTGAAATGCTTTAAGATATTTTAATTATAATATCTATAAATTAACAATGTGAATTTCTTTAAACAATTTGAATTACTTTGAAATATTTCAAGTTACTATATTAAATACTTTAAATTTCTCTAAGGTAATTTGAATTACTTGAAATATTTTAAAATTCTTTAAAATACTTTAAAATATTTAAAATTACTATTAAAATTCTTTAAATTACTTCGAAGTTCTTTGAAAAAATTTAAAATGATATGAATTATATGAAACTATTTTAAATTACTTTGAAATACTTTAACATATAATTATATAATATCTACAAATACAGTGAATTACATTAAACTATACTTTAAATTACTTTTCAATACCTTAAATTACTTTAAAAGACCTCTAATTGTTTTGAAAGTAATCTCATTAATTTGAAATGGCTTAAATTTCTTTAAAATACCTTTAATTTCTTTGAAATCAATCTAATTACTTTGAAATACCTCTAAATACTTTGAAGTAACTCAAATTACTATGAAATACTTTTAATTATTTGAAAATACCTCTAATTACTTTAAAATACCTCAAATTTATTTAAAATACATGTAATTACATTTCAATGTAAAGTAACTCAAATTAATTTGAAATACTTTAAATTACTATGAAGTAGATTAAAATACTTTGAAATAACACAAATTACTTTGAAATGCCTTAAAATACTTTAAAATACCACTAATTACTTTGAAATACCTCAAATTTGTTTGAAAATCCTCTAATTACTTTGAAGTGACTCAAATTTCTTTGAAATAATTAAAATTACAATAAAGTACTTTGAAATACCACATATTACTTTGAAATATCTTAAATTACTTTAAAGTACACCCAATTGCTTTGAAATGCATTAAATTACTTTGAAAGACCCTTAATTACTTTGAAATATCTTTAATTATTTTGTAATACGTCAAATTACTTTGAAATACATTAAATTACTTTTAATTACATCCAATTACTTTAAAATAAATTAAATTACTTTGAAATGACTTAAATTACTCTGAAATACTTCTAATTTCTTTAAATATAAAGAAAATACTCTAAAATACTCTAAATACTTTGAAGTACAACAAATTACTTTGAAGTACCTGAAATTACTTTTAAATATCTCAAATTTGTTTATAGTACCTTAGTTACTTTAAAATATCTCATATTACTTTGAATTACCTTAAATTACTTTTAAATCTCTAAAATTAATTTGAAATAACTTAAATTTCAATAAAATACCTTTAAGTAATTAGAATTATTTAAAAAGTAATTTATGCTATGTATTTTAAAGTGGTTTAATGTATTGTAATGTAATTTGAGGTATTTTAAAGTAATTAGAGGTATTTCAAAGTAATTCCAAGTAATACCTTAAATTTCTTTAAAATGTCTTAAATTACTTTCAAATACTTCAAATTTGTTTCAAATGGCTTAGATTACTTTCAAATACCTCAAATTTGTATGAAATACTTCTAATTACTTTGAAATACCAAAAATTATTTCGAAATACCACAAATTACTTTTGAAATTTCACAAATTACTTTGAAATGCCTGAAATTACTTTTAAATACCTTAAATTCGTTTAAAATATATCTAGTCACTTAAAAATACATCATATTACTTTGAATTGCCTTAAATTATTTTGAAATATCCAAAATTAATTTTAAATAACTCAAATTTCATGGAAATACTTCTAAGTAATTAGAATTATTTCAAAGTAATTTAATCCATTTCAAAGTAATTTAACGTATTTTAAAGTAATTCCAAGTAATACCTTAAATTTTTATGAAATGTCTTAAATTACTTTCAAGTACTTCAAATTACTTTGAAATGCCTTAGATTACTTATTCAAATACCTCAAATTTGTTTCAAATACCTCAAATTACTTCGAAATACCTTAAATTACTTTGAAATATTTCAAATTACTTTACAATTCTTCAAACAATTTTATAATACTTAAAAATAATTTTCGACACATTTCAATACTTGAAATGTCTTTGCGATACTTAGAAATATTCAAAAAAAAAAAAATAAATAAATAAATAAAGTACAATTTATTATTATTTTGAAACAAAATTTTGAATTTCTTCATAATTATATAAAACAAAACTTTAATAAAATAGTTAACAAAGCAAATTTATTTTAAAAATCAAAAGAAATAAATAAATAAAAAAAAGTCATTGATAAGTCCGCAGTAAATAATGAAGTAGATAAATTGCATTGAACATGGAAAAATCCCATTATATTGGATAGGGTCGTGAACGCAATTAAATTGGAAACTCGCGAGACTTGTTGCTCTCTTCCGGCAAGTTATATATACACGTATATATCGGAATCGCGAGATTAAAGGATCTGACAAGGCTGGCGAGCGTGACTCGGATGAGAACCTCGATTCCCTGCTGAATGAGTTTGCCAAGTAATTCCAACCGTAAGGTAAACCAGCGTAGCGATCTTCTTAGGGGCAGGGGCATTGTCTCAGGCCCGAGGCCCAGGGGCCTCTTCACGGTCCCGAGAAAACTTATAATACCAGTGTTGCTCCAACTATCGAATGGAGACGATCTCTCTCTGCTGAAATCGTTTTTGTTTTTTAAAAATCGAAATGAAAACAAAAAAATTATCTTAATGCTTTTTGTTTTAATTAAATCTTTTTTTCTTTTAAGTGATATTTAATTTTATTTACCAAAAAAAAAAAAATTAAGTGACTATTTTTATTTAATAATAATTAAAAAAAAAAAAAATTGGTTGTCAGTAAATTAGAAATAGGGAAAGAAAAATGGAAATTGACATACGAATTTTTGCAGGTTTATTAAGTGTCTCATTGTTGAATCGAATGAAAGTGGAAATAGAGAATAAAATTGAAGTGAAGTGAAGTTTTATGCTATGAGGAGTGTTTTGGTATCGCCGTCGCGAATCCCGGAAAGACTATTTCCGTTGGTCGAGGACTTGGAGCACAGTGTTCAATGGACTGATCTTGAAAATAATATTGACCACTTGGAGAAAAATCATCGTCGAATTGAAATTAATCGCAATTACGATAATCTTGAAAGGCACACAGTTCGTCGACGTTCAATGCCTGAAATTCAAAAGGCAAATCTCGTCTACGTTCATCGTCCCCAGGAGAAAATTAATCCTCCTCCAATAAATAAATTCACCTGGAAACCAAGAACAGAATTCGAAAGATCATATTTCGGTGATGAGGCTCTAGAGGATCAGAAAAATAATGATAATTCCATAAATGATTTATTTTACGCCAAAGAAATTTGCCTCAAGGATGATTGTCAATTTTGTCAAACAAAAGACTGTCCAATTTGTTTGGAAAAGAATTGTCAAATTTGCCTACAAGGAAATTCACAGTTCAATCCTGGGAAAAGTGAGAAAATCTTAAAGAATCTTGATGTTGGTTTCAATTTGGAATGCGATAAACCACCTGACAGTGATTTTACATTTATAACCGGTGAGGAATTTTATTTAAAGGAGAAAGATGAATTCGATGCTTGTGAAATTTATCCCAATGATTTTTTGACAACTTATCCTAAAAATCATCAATTTGATCCAAATCGAGATCGTCAGTTCAATGATTCTTTTGTAGACCCTCAACAGAGAGAATTCTCTTCGGAGAATTCAAATCAAAAATCGGCAATTAAGAATGGAAAGAGTACATTTGAAAGGCGTGATGAAAATGAAAGGATTGAGAAAAAGGAGTTGGATGTAAAGAAAAATTTAAAATCAAGTGAACTTGTGCAGAACTTGAAAAATGAACGTTCTGGCTTCAGCGGTAGTCGTGAAAGATTACAGGAGATATTCGAGTACAATCGTTATCTTCGTCGGCAATTTTTCGCCGATTTGCCCCCGAGCATTACGAACCAAAGGAGAAACACAATTTCCGAGAAGATGATCACTTCAATGAGACCGAAACAAAGCGGAATTGGATTTGGCAGCACTGAAACACTCACGAGCCAAAGTAATCAATCCGCAGACAGTAGCACCAATGGTCGGAAATCAAGAGCCGATTTCAGTAATACTCCAGAATCGCTGGTCGATGAAAAACCATACACCAACATTCTTGGCGACAGTGAAATTAACGTCAGGAATTTAAAACCGAAAGGAAATGATGACGAAGTTAAAGAAATGGAAAAAATACCAAAATCACTTGGTACGAGAAGAAAGGAACCAAATATGGAAAATTCGGGAACAAAAGCAAAGAGTAAATCATCAAGTTCCGCTTCAGAAACAACAGGGAAAGAAAATATTTGTAAAGAAAGAATTGGCTCGGAAAACAAGGAAACTTTGAGTAAAATAGAAGGAATATGTAGTGAAACAGGGAAAAAGAGATCATTGCCAAAAATTTATTTCGGAATGGAGAACACAAGGGAATTCACGAAAAATTCGTCGCCAATCGAAAGAAGTGAATCCTATAACATTCTTCCTAATTCTTCTGATTTGGGAAACAATGGAAAAAAATTAATTCCATTCAAATGTCACGAAAATCGAAAACAAAAGTCATCAACAAATTTTCATCAATCGCTACCAAATCTTCCCGAACTGGAAAAATCAAATTCAATAGCACGTGTTTCGGTAAATGGCTCCACTTACAATCTATCAACAAAAAATATCACCAACTCTTCAAATTTCAACACTGAAATAAGTGATTACTCACCAACTGCCTACACCTACAAACCACTACCAACAAAATACGATTCCGATGATTCAAAATTTTTCGCCACCTATGTAAATATATCGGACTCATCCGAATCATCAACACCATCATCAATTAGAAAACGAAAGAGAAACGTACCACCACCACTCGATCTTTCAACTGTCAATGAACGTTACGAAAAATACAATCATATACCCACCTACACTGTCACTGTCACTGTCAGTGAAAAACCAAGTAAAGAACCTTTAATTAATGAAACATCAGTAAGCACCCTAACTAGTGAAAATCAAATAAAAACAATTCATAATTCCAATGGAAGAAGAAATGAAATAAAAATAAATAATTTCACCTCAAATCGTTCACGATCATCGTCTAATTTAACGAATAATTGTGATATGGAGAGAAATAATTATTCAATAATAAATAAATCGTGTTGTGATTTAACGAATTCTAATAATGATCTACTATCACCGCAATTGGTGAATAATTTTAAAAATTCCCTCGCCGATTTATCAAATTGTGCGGCGACATCGGCGACAATGTCAAATAATTTACATCAAAATTCACGATTCGAGAGTGATGATAATAATAGTGTTTATAACAATAGGAATTGTTATAGTCCTCATCAGTGGGATCTGAACAACAAATATTCTTCAACAAGTGGAACATCACTTTCTTCTGTTTATGGACCGATCCCGTACAATCAGTACTGTGATAAAATGAAAATGAGTAATTAATATTTTTTTATTATAGTTTCATACAAAAATAAATTTTCTTTGTTTTTATATAATTGGCAGGGTTGCCACAAATTAGGGAAAAGTCAGGGAAATCACAAAAAATTCAGGGATTTTTATTAAAAGTACTGGGAAAAATTCAATTTTTCAAATAAAAAAATTCTGAATTTTATTTTTTGAAAAGATATTCAAAATTTAAAAAAAAACTATGAAATTACCACGAATTCTATAAAATAAAACACTTAATTTTCTCTATTTCTGACAATAATTTCTTTTTAAATAACTTAATTCTTGATGAACTATCATAACATTATTATACTTATAAATTATTTAATGAATATAATTTTATTTTAAAATTTGAAAATTAATTTAATTTTAAAACAGTTGCGTTTACAATTTTAAGAAATAGATGAACTTCGAAAGTTTCAATTTAAAATTTTAGAAAATATCAATTTTTAATGGATTTAAAATCAAAATTTCAATTATCTTTATAAATAATAAAATTCTTTTTTCAAATTCAAATATTTTCACAAAATTTAATAAAATTTTTGGCATTTCAATTATTTTTAATAAATATCTACTATTTTAATAAAATTTTCCAAAAGAATTGAATTATTTAGGCAAAATTTTAATACAAATTTCACAGGAATTCAATTACTTACCAATTTTTTATTTTCTTCGCACCAATTCAATTATTTTTAATTTTTAATGAAGTTTCTTGAAAGAATTCAAATATATTCAGAGAATTGAAAAAAATAATTCTACAAAATTCAATTATTTCGAAAAATTTAAATAAAATTCTTTTGAAAATTCTATTATGTAAGAAAAATTTTGACAAAATTCTTTATCAGATTTAGTTAATAAAATTGCAATTTTAATAAAATTTTCCTATAGGTACAATTCAATTATTTTCAAATTCTTCTTAAAAATTCAATTATTTTCACAAATAATGCAGTTTTTTATGGAAATTCAATTATTTAAAAAAATTGGAATAAAATTCTTCGCTAGAAATCAATTATTTTCATAAATAATAACATTTTTCTGAAGAAATCAATTATTTTAAAAAATTTTGATAAAATCCTTTATAAATTTAAAAAATTATAATAAAACTAATCATAGAATACAATTATTTTCGTAAAATATAACATTCTTCATAGGAATACAATTTTTCTCAAAAATTTTTTAAAAATCTTCGGAACAATTCAATTATTTTAGTAAAAAAATAAAATTCTTCGAAGCAATTCAATTATTTAAGAAATTTTAATAAAATTCTTCCCAAGAATTCAATATTCTTTTTGAAAATAAAATTTTTCACAGGAATTCAATTATTTAAAAAAAAAATTTAATAAAATTCCTCGTCAGATTTCAATTTTTTTCAATTTTTTAATGAACTTTTTCGATGGAATTTAATTATTTTCAAAAAGTTTTAAAAAATTCGGAGAAATTAAATTATAGAAAAAAATTTGAATAAAATTCTCTACAAGAAATTAATTATTTTCATAAATAATAATATTTTTCTCCGCAATTCAATTATTTTCACAAATAAAATTCTTCATAGGAATTCAATTCTTAAAAAAAAAATATTTAATAAAATTCTTTGCAAGAATTCAATTATTTTCATAAATAACAAAAATTGTCGCAGAATGTCAAATATTTTTTATACAATTTTAAATAAAATGATAGAAAATTGCATTTATTCGTAAATTTTTTTTTTTAATTCGCCGAAAGAATTTAATTATTTTTTTTTAATTTTGATAAAATTCTTCACAAAACTTCAATTTTAAGAAATATTCAATTATTTAATAAATTATTTATTTTTGTATTTAAATAATTGAATTTTAGTATCAAATTCGTAATCAACGACCCTGAAAACTCCAAATAGCAATTTTTTTTTAATCCAGTCAGCCATATTGGATCCGCCATTTTGGATTTTGGAAATCTGACATCAAATTCGTAATCAGCAACCCCAAAAACCCCTGAGTAACAATTTTGAAGCAAATTGAATCAATTTTTGAAAATTTCGTCCGCCATATTGAATCCACCATTTTGAATTTCTAAAAACTGACATCGAAGTCACAATCAGCGACCCCAAATGTTCAAAATGGCTGACGATTTTATTAAAAAATTAGTCAAATTAGTTATTGATTGAAATTTGCTAATTAATGAATTTTATGGCAACTGTAAATAAAAATTTTACTTTAATTTTTAAAATTTTAATGTTAAATGTGATTTTAATGTTAATAACTTTTAAACATTCAAAATTACAGCAGTTTGTTTGAAAAAATTAAGCACCATTAGCTTGAAATTGATCAACTGCGGTGTATTTTGTATTGACTCTTAACGATAATTTGACTTTTATTTAAAAAATTTAAAAGACAATTATATAAATAGAAAAATAATTTTTTAAATTAAAAATAGCTATCTCAATAATTAGCCTAAAAATTTATTTAGAAACTGATCAAATTCACATAAAATTAATTAATTAGTAAGTTTTTTGCACTATTATAGAAAATTTGACATTATATTTAAAAACTTAAACGCTGATTATGAATCCAAAGTAAATTTTTTAAAAAAATTCAAAATGGTGGTTCCAAAATGGCGGACATATTTTTTTTTAATTTTCTAAAATTCACTTGAAATTTTCAAATTAGTATCCCGTAAATTTAATTTTCAATAGAATCTATAAATAAAAATTTGTCATTTTAAAAAATTTTAAATGCTAAACTCGAGTCACTAAGGTAAAAATTACCTTGAAATTCAAAATGGCAGTTGAAATATGGCGGAAATTTTTTCTTAAATATTGAACATAAAAAAATAAAAAAACACGTGTCCTTTTCATCTCGTAAAGTGTATAACTTTTACTCACTGCATTGTCATTATTACACGTGAGAGTCAATGACACGAATCTATTGTTTATATACTCTGAGTGCATAGAGAGATCAAGATGAGTACAATATTCGTGTCATGAAAGTCACTGCGCACGCGCATAAACACAAACTTTCAACTCACAATGTTGGTCAAAACCTGCATGTTATGTCGCATTGTAATATCATATCAGTTGAAAAATCTCGCCGGTTAATGACAGTTGTGTTTTTTTTTTTATAAATTTAAATCAAAAAGAAAAATTTAATTATCACATTTATTATTTATACATTTATTTCTAATAAGAAAATTCTTTTCTTTTAATCAATTTTCTTCGATTATAAAATTATACTTAAAAAATAAAAAAAATAAATAAAAAGTGTTAAAAATCGTTTAAACTAAAATTATATATATATTTAAAAAAATAAATTAAATACATGAATGAGAATCTCTGCTTTTGATGTTGATCCGCTTCATCATTGTAATAACGCGCGATAATTTAAAAAGAAAAACAAAAAATAATTTCATTCGTACGTGATTTTATCTGACAACTTTTGTTCTTCCCCTGGAATATTGCGAGTCAAGAAAATGTATGTAATTTAATACTCAAAAGGGGTTTTTACATCATTATTTTTTACATTGAGTGAATGTGAATATCATTTTTCTTTAATTTTCAAAAAGGGCTTGTAAAAAAGAAAAAAGAAAAAAAAATTTTCTATTAATTAATTTTTATCGTAATTTTAATATTTTTTCGAATATTTTAATAATTTTATTTTCTATTTTAATTTCAACGTAATTTTTAATATTAAAATATTTAATAAATGAAAATTTTAAGTTTTTTTTTTATTCGATGTGGAATTATTTTGACGTTTGTAAGCGTAACCTCATTTATTATGCAATATTTTCACTTGAGTCACTCGCTTATAGAGTTACAAACGGAGAAAGATGATGCATTACGGAAATAATGAATTAAAAAGCCTAGACAGTGCTTAGACGTTACTTTTATTTCATCTAAATTGAGAAACAGGTCAAACTGCGTAATAAACAGAATTATTATTTAAAAAATAAATTTTATTTGAAATATTGCGACTATATTACTGAAAAGAAATTATTATTTTAAACAAAGAAGGAGAAAATTTTTCGCAGAGGAAAAATTATGGGATTTTTAATTTATTCGTTTCATTATTTATTTATTGTTATTTTATTTTCTAATAAAATTATTAGTATTTTTTTTATAATTTAAAATTATAAAGTAGAAAATCAATAAATTAAATGCAATGTTTCAGTCTCAAGCCTTAAAAGTACAGAACTAGTAGTTATCTGGGGCATTCAACGTCTACATCCTGCTTCCAAGTTTCATTATTATTTATCGTTACTATTATTTCTTCGCAGGCTTAAAATAAAATTGAAATCTTTAATTAAAAGCAGTTGTGATAATTAATATATTTGATATATTGTATTTAGCGTACAAATTGTAGGCAAAAAATATAATAATATATTGGCAAAAATTTGCACAAATGACAAAATTCTCAAAAATGTTATGTTAATTGAAGATGGCAAATTGATAAAATCATTATTTTATATTAAAAGAATATTGTTACTCTAAACATCTTCAAAATTATTTTCATCATTTCAATTCTTATTTTTAAGAATATTTCAGAAAATAAACTTCAAATAATATAAAAAAAATTCAATAACACTATTTCAAAAATATTAATTTCAAAATTCAATTATTATTATCTAAAATTTAAACTGAAATTAATTTTTAAGAAAATTTTTATTAGAAAATTCTACTAGAATTCAATTATTTAAATACAAAAATAAATAATTTGTTGAACAATTGAATGTTTCTTAAAATTCAATTCTCATAAAGAATTTTATCAACCAACTTTTAAATAATAAATTAAATTCTTTGGAGGGATTTTAATAAAATTTTTAAGTATAATTACATTTTTTCAGAAATTTAATTAAAATTGTATTAAAAATAATTGAAATTCGGCATTGAGTTTTATTATTTATAAAAATAATTGAATTTCTATGAAGAATTTTATTATTTTTTTGAAAATAATCGAATTCTTTCAATTTTTTTGCCGAATATATTTAAAAATTGCATTGAATGTAATTTAATTTTTATATAGAATTTTTTTTAAATATTTTAAGAATAATTGAATTATTTTTAGAGAGTATTAAGTTCTTGTTGGAAATTTTTGAAAATAATTAAATTCTTTCGTGTAATTTTATTTAAATTGAATTAAAAATAATTTAATTCCTGCAAAAAATTTTAGTATTTTCATAAAATTTTAGAAAATAAATGAAATTTATGGAAATATTTAAAAATATTTGAATTCATCCGGGGAATTCAATTAAAATTGTTTTGAAAATAATTTGACTATTTATAAAATTAATTGAATTCTTACGAAGAATTTGACTATTTATAAAAATAATTGAATTTTTTTTTAAAGATTTTACTATTTAAACAAATAATTGAATTGTTTAGAATGATTTATTAAAATTTTAGAAAATAATTAAATTATTTCGTGAAATTTTATTTAAATTTTTGAGAATAATGAACAGTAATAATTAATTTTTTACATAATGAGTGAATTTTTTAAATTTTGATTATGTAATTATTTAAAAAATTTATAATAGAAAAAAAAAAATTTTGTAATTTGCATAACAATAATAAATTGAATACCACGTTCCGCGCGCTATCGCGCGTAACATTTGCCAGTTCTTAATAATTTTTAAAAAAGTTTTTTGAGAATTTTTAAATTCATTTGTTTTTAACTAAAATTCATTTTTAATTTTAAAATTAAAAATAATTGAAATTTATTGTTGAGTAGGTACTATTTATGAAAATAATTAAATTCTTAAAAAGAACATTATTATTTCTAAAAAAATAATTGAATCCCTCTAAAAATGTTATTTATATAAAAATGATTGAATTAATATTGCGAAGAAATTTATAGAAAATTTATAAATAATAGAATTTCTGTGAATTTTTTTATTATTTTATGAAAATAATTAAATGTTTGAGTAGAATTTTATTAAAAATTTTTTTTCTAAATACTTGAATTCTTTTAGAAAATTTTATGAAAATAATTAAATGTTTGAGTAGAATTTTATTAAAAATTTTTCTTCTAAATACTTGAATTCTTTTAGAAAATTTTATTAAAATAATGGATTAAAATGATGAATTTTTTCGCTACTTTGCCAAACTTGGGTGAATAATGGCGCAAACATTTTTTTAAAATTAATTTCAACATTGGCTAACGAATTTTAACAAAAAAAAATTCACCATTCTTAGTGGAAAAAAATTTCTGAAATCCATTAAAAGTTAAACACTTTGTGTATTATCGTGAATTCACTGTAATAATATAATTACACTGGAACTTTCGTTCGTTGAAATTTGCCAATTGTGCTTAATTAGACTTCGCACACAGACACATTTCTCGAGTAAACGAAATAATTTTACATGTATGAGTGATCAAAAGATAAATTCTGTGAAATTCTCTCTGCCATTATTTGGATAGATCATTTTTTTTCAATTTCTTTTCTTGAATTGAAGAACGTGAATTTTTTTCCCGCGTACTCTGAAAATAGAGTAAAACATTGAAAGGCAAAAGTGAAAAACCTGGTTTAAAATTATTCTGAAACAATGTAAAATTAACGCTGAGTTAAAGTCTTGTAAATAATTTTTGTTTTCTGAAAATATTAAAAAATAATAATTAAAATAATAATTAAAATAATAATTAAGATAATAATTAAGATAATAATTAAAATAATAATTAAGATAATAATTAAGATAATAATTAAAATAATAATTAAAATAATAATTAAAATAATAATAGTTTTAAAATTAAATGAAAAAAATGAAAAATTAAATCTCGAAAATTTATATAAAGCTGATAGTGAGGAAAAGAAAATACTATCCAGTGAATATATAATTATTGCGGAAAAGTACAAGTTTTGACAATCATATAATCTACACTAAGTCAAATAAAGACTTTAGGGCGGAACTTGTGAGCAAAGAAACAACTTACAGTAGTTAACATACTTTATGTCGAGCACCGGAAGTTAGGCCAGGCATGATTGAACGCTTCGATAGTCTTGTTTTTTTTCAGAAACCTGACATATTTTGACATTCGCATATATATATACAATATGTACATCCGTTTTGTGAGACTTCATTTTTAACACGAGATATTATCGTCCAGATTTCACAAAATTAATAAACGGAAATAAATTCTCTGACAGGAAGGAAAAAAATTATTTCCTTTTCATTTTCCATTCAGGACCTGGAGAAATTCCTATGATCAACATCATTGTGTCAATAATGACCCAATATTGAGCCAATTTTGTTGATTTTTCTTCTCGATCTCTAAAAATTAATAAAGCTGAAAAACATTTTTTCCCCAAGAATAAAAAAAGAAAAAATTATTAATTTATTACTGCCAATAATATGCCAATATATTTAGCCAACTTTTTATAATTTTTTTATAATTTTTTAAATTTTTTGTTGTTTTATTTTTGAAAATTTAATAAATAGAAATTATTTTTCGTAAATAAATTAGAAAAATTATATTTTTTAAAAAAATTTTAAAAGAAATTTTACTATTTTCATAATGCCAATAATCAGCCAATATTGTGCCAAGATTGTTACTATTAAAATTTTCTAATCAACTAAAAAAATTTTAATTTAATTTTTTTTCATTAATAGAATTTTTTTTTTTTTATATTTAAGTCTGAAAGATCCCTTGTAAAAATTGCATTGGTCTAAAAATACAGTAATCCCTAAAATAAATGCCCTAGAATTTAATAAAGGTCATAGTAGATCTTTAAAACGTTATGCTCGAAAGGCAGAGTGGCACAAGTGTAATTTATTACAACCATAATTTTTGATAAACAGAAGTTATTCAATAAAAGTTATTTTCATTAAATTCAATTAATAACTATTTAATTAATACACATTTATTGTTATTGTTGTTTATATTATTATTTATTACATTATTATTATTATTTTTATTATTATTATTATCATTATTAATTATTTAAATCAAAACATCTTTTATTTAAATAATTTTATGACTTCCAAAAATATTGAATTATTAATTATTATTTATATTTTTTATTATTATTATTAGTATTATAATTATTATTAAATTATTGATAACACCTAATTAATTAAATAATGTAAAAATTATTAAAAGTAATAGTTAGTGTTTAATTGGAATTTAAGTTAACTAGTAGATTTTTAATTACTTTTTTCTAATTTTAAAATAAAATAAATTTTTTCAGAAAAATAATATTTTAGAAAATCTTATAAAATTTGTTAATTTTTAATTATTTTGACAGAATCACCGAGGAGATATGTGGAAGGAGAGGTGACAATTCACTATCGATCTCCAGTTCGTACAGAAACTAAAGAGATCCTAAGCGAGGAGGAGTTGGCTCGTAGAAGTGCAGAAAATATGCGCCGAGTGTATCAGGAGGAAAGACGTCGGAAATATCTTCAGGAACTTCACGACATCGATTCACGTCGTCACACTGATAATTTTATGTAAGTCATTTGTTCAAAATAAAACTGTTTCAAAAAAAAAAAAAAAAATCCAAAGTATTATGTTAAAAGTTCCGTAGAAACTGAAAAAAAACTATTTTAATTTTCAAGAATTATAGAAAATACTGCCCGCAAGATTGAACCAATATTCAGCCAAGTTTAGTGGTTTTGCAATGAATTTAAATAATAAAGACTGAGTATTAAGTTGTGTTCCATATGAACGAAAAACAATTAAAATTAACAATTTTCTTTTAATAATACTGTTCCAATCTTGGCAAATTTAAAACTGCCAAGATTGGAACAGTATTCAACCAAGTTTGAATAAAATTTTCCAATTTATTCAAAACAGCAAGTTAACAAAAATTTACTCAATATTTCTCTATGTTCAGCATGAGAATTTGTGTAATTAAATAAAAATTCGAATCGTGGCCGAAAACTGGCCACATACCGGTTATCGAATAAAAATAAATTAATCACCAATATTGGTATAAATTATAAAAAATTATAAAATTATTTATTTCTACAAAACAGTAAATTTATTTTATTATTAAATCAAGCAAAACAATATATTTTCCTTTAATTCTATATTTTGTAATTTTAAAATTTAAACAAAAAATTATATTTCTCATTAATTCTACACGATGGAAAATAAATAAATAACACAAAGAAAAAAAATACATTCGACTCCAATACAACGGAATTCACGCAAACAGCATTCTTGAAAAAAAAGAATAGCAAATATTCAGGGTCACGCAATAAGTTTCTTTTCACGCACGATACACATCGCCAAATCTTAAAAAATAATGAAAGGAACGCTTCGTCTTCTATTCCCCTTTTTAAAATGGTCAGAAAAAGAAATACAATGTTAACCATGCATTATAAGTATATGACTGTAAAATTATAGTTCACTTAAATTTTGCAGTCATTAAGTTAATAGTAATGAAAAGAAAATTAATAATAATTACAAGTATAATAAAAATAAACAATACAAAATATATTTATATACTTTAATGTACGGCTTTAAAAAATATTTATCACATTCTTTGCCAAGTTTTTTTCTTGGAATTTGGAAAATCCAACTTTACATTCTTAATTAGCGTCCCCGAAAACCCCCAAATTACAAGTTTCAAGCAAATCGGAGAAAATTAAAAAAATAATGCCGCCATATTGGATCCACCATTTTGAATTTTGGAAATCCGACTATTGATTATTATTTAGCGACCCCGAAAACCCCAGAATTATAAGTTTCAAGCCAATTGGAGAAAATATTAAAATAATGCCGCCATATTGGATCCGCCATTTTGAATTTTAAAAATCCAAATATTGATTCTTATTTAGCGACCCCGATAACCCCCCAATAATAAGTTTCAAGCCAATTGAAGAAAATTTTAAAAAGTATGCCGCCATATTGGATCCGCCATTTTGGATTTTGGAAATCTGACTATTGAATCTTATTTAGCGACCATGAAAACCCCTGAATTACAAGTTTCAAGCAAATCGGAGTCAATAGTAAAAATAATGCTGCCATATTGGATCCGCCATTATGAATTTTCGAAATCGGACTATTAATTCTTATTTAGCGACCCCGAAAACACCTGAATAATAAGTTTCGAGCCAATTAGAGGTAATCTTAAAAAGTTAGACGCCATATTAGATCCGCCATTTTGAATTTCTAAATTCCAACTTGAGATTGTTAGTTTGTTACTCCGAAAAGCCACAAATAACAGATTTTGAATTTTTTTTTTTGAATTTCTAAATTCCAACTTGAGATTGTTAGTTTGCTACTCCGAAAAGCCACAAATAACAGATTTCAAGCGAATCAGAGAAAATTTTAAAAATTTTGCCACCATATTGCATCGGCCATTTTGATTTTTAAAAATCAAAATCAATCTACAAAAGTAGAGACATTAAATAAATTTTTTTCAAAATGTTTCGAAATTTTTCAATTAAAACAAAAATGGATATACCAGGTGGGGCTAGCTTGTCAAAGAATATTCAATTTGCAATTCAATCGTAATTCGATAATTTAATTTTTCACCGCGTTGTCGGGACATTTGTTTGAACTTTTCTTTGTCCGCATTGATTATTATGATGATCCTATGAAGTTAGCAATTATTTTTTGTTTCCTGTAACATGGAATTTTATGTTTATTTTTTTTCTCATTTCAAAACTTTTTCAGACCTTCTCAGAAATCCCCGATATCATTGAACCGATACGATGATTTTCTTGATGACCTCAGCTACAGAAGCAGATCCCAAGAGCAAACACCGGAACCAAGATTGGTGGCGAGGGCTCTTTACAATTTTATTGGACAATCTCCACGAGAGTTGACTTTCCGAAGAGGAGATCTCATTTTTGTCAGACGTCAAGTCGATAAAAATTGGTACGAGGGAGAGCACAATGCAATGCTCGGACTTTTCCCATTCAACTACGTTGAGGTAATAAAAAAAAAGTTGTTTTTCCCTGACTAAAAATTAGAAAATTATTTATTTTGTAATAAAATAAATTTTTTTTATTATAAATTGCAGATTCTTCCATATGATGGAATTAGAACAACGCCAAAGAAACCGTACGAGGGACAGGCTAGAGCAAAATTTAATTTCATCGCTCAAACTAATCTCGAATTATCGTTGGCGAAAGGTACAATTAATAAATTCATTATACTATCACATGAAATTTAATTTAAATTGAATTCAATGATTTAAAAATTAATTTTTAATTTTACTACATATTTTTTATTATTCCTCTTTTGGAAACTTAATTTTTGATATAAATATAAATACAATAATGTATTCATTAATAGGAGAAATGGTTGTTTTAACAAGAAGAGTTGATGAGAATTGGTACGAGGGACGCATTGGAAATAGAAAAGGAATCTTTCCAATTTCGTATGTTGAAGTGATGGTCGAGCCAGGACACAGGCCAGGTAGAATGTTTCTACTATTTCTTGTAAAATTGTTTATGAAATAATTAAAAAAAATTCAAACCTAAAATCTTATTCTTTTTAATTACAGAGACACCGGTTCAAAGTAAACCAATTGCTTCGCCAGCGGCTCATAGTTTATTATCAAATGGCACATCGAGTGGAAAAATGAGTATGGGACCTCATCATTATACACCGTCAATTCCAATGAACACCAATTCCTCACAACCTCATTATAATTCACTTGTAAGTTTTTAATTTATCTTGTAGGCAGTTTAGAAAATGGTTTTTTTAAAATCCACATACGACAGTAATGTAGATTTTTTTTGCTCCATGTGAATGTGAACATTCAACAGAAAACCAATTATGGAATTTAGATTTTTGTTTATTTTTTGAACCACTAGACTTTCTGCAGACCGCTCTTGTTAAAAACCACTAAAAACCAGTCTCATCTTAATGTGGACTATTCTTCAACCCTAGGAATTACCTTTTGGCGTTTTTGTCAAAGTCTTCTCAGCTTCCTCTAGGGTAGTTCTGAAGACTTTGCAACTTTCCGAACCTGCAATTTATCTGAACCCTGCAACCTTTATGTGTCCAATTTTCTTCAGCTTATCAGCGCCATTTTGGGTGATGGTTATGATGTCGAACTTCATTCCTCACTTATTTGGTCCAAGGACTGTCACCTCCCTGATCTCTGCTGTTAAAATCAAAATTCTCTCCAATGCCTCCTGGAAATCTCTTTGATGCGTAAGTCTATCCAGTTTGTAGACCTCCAAAGTAATCTGTCGGTTCGCTATCCGCACTTTATCTAGGTCCCCAGTGATCACCGTTATCACCTTGGTCTTAACTCCTTTTTCTTAAGATTACTCAATTTTAATAAGAAAGTCTCCTTTATTAGTGGGTCCTTTTCTTCAACCCTCGCCTGAGTGTTCTACAGATTCACATCTTTACGAAGTCTCCCAATTGCTACAGTATCCAAACATCCTCAAGGTGGCCATAGGTTTAGGTGACTAAAGGTATTTAGCCACCTTGAGGGTGTTTGTTGTTTCCTCCTTTTCTTGCTGACCTCTCTCGGCTTTGGTGCTATTTTTGGCATCTTATCTTTTCATTTTGTAGTCGGAAGTGGAAGATTCGAAAAAGTTCAGATACCTGGATTAAATCCAAGATTCATCCCTCGCCTATATGGTCGAAAAACAGTCTTCTCCATGCTTCCAATTACGTCGGTGAACTTAGAGGTGAAAGCTTCTCTATTGGAGTCTCCTTTGAATTGTATCAAGAAATCTCCCTTTCTTGTAGACCTTAACTCCATAATGCGAGTGTGGCTGACGTCTGGATTTACTTCCTTTCGAAGTTTACCAATAATGTCAGTGTATACGATTTTGATTAAGGTCTCAGAAGACAAGACGTACGTCTGACCCTTTACAGCTTCTGGACTATTAGGACGCTTGACTTCTCGAGCCTGGACGTATGCTCTTCTTTGCTTTTAAATTTTTATTCTCCTCTGCGTAGCCTATTGTACATTTCAGCCAATGGTCGTTGTTACCTCCAGCTTTAAGCTTCGCCTTTGATAAATCGAGAATAGCTTGTAGGTTCTATAACCCGTCCTTTATCGTTCTGTTGACATTCTTTTGAACCTCACAAGTCTTTAACATTTTGTGCACTTCATCTTCTAACTGAAGAAGCATTTCAGCTTTTTCACTTTCAGTACTTTGCACTTCTCACGCTCTTCATTAAAAGCCTCCTCGTCTAACTCTGAAGGCACCAGACTAATAACACTTTTAGTGCTACTAATACTCAAAAAGCTGGATGAACTTCTTCTATTTCCCCCCTCACCCTTCACGAGAGGGATTATCCTTTATGTTAGAATTAGAATTTCTTTATTTTGTCCCAGGGGAACCATGAGAACAATTGATTTACAACAAGTACAATATATATTAGCAATTAAGAATTATACAGATTATGAAAAGAATCTTTTTGATTTTGAAGACATTGGTCCCTCTGACCTGTTTGATGCTATAAAAAGTATAAAAACAGGGCTTTGATGGTCTTTCTGTTAGCATTGTGAAAAAAACGATCATATTTCAATATGTACTTGATCTTTTTAATTAAAAAAAACCTGTAAATAAAGTAAAGATTCCGCAACACCCTGGGGAGCATAGACCAATTGCTATTCTGTGTTACCTGTCAAAGTGCTTTGAAAAAGTTGTACATAGTCAGCTAATTAACTTTGTTGTTAAAAAAAATTAAAAATAAAAGTGTTGAAATACTTTTATTAAAAATTACTGATGATGTCCTTCACCCTATTGATCATAGAATGGTAACCATAATTATTTTCTTTGATTTCAGCAAGGCCTTTGATATGGTACCACATAATCTTTTGTTAATGAAATTAAAATCTTTTGGAATGTCAGGGTCTGTTGATTTTCATCTTATTTTTCTATTAGTTGGTCCTAATGGTGATAAGTCTGAATGGGGTCATATTGGAACAGGCGTACCACAGTGCTCGGTATTGGGTCCTTTGCTGCTTTTACTTTTTACAAATGATTTGAGGAGTGTTCTTAAGCATTATGTTGATGATCTGCAGATCTTTGTGCACTCTAGTCTAGATGAGAATATCAAACAAATTAATGAGGATATTCAAGTCATCTATGCTTGGACAAAGTCTAATCAGCTTAAAATAAATCTTAAGAAAAGTTATTCTATGATTATTGGTTCCTCTTGGAGTATAAATTGTTCGAATTTAGATATATTCCATGTTCCTAATTCTAAAAATCAATCTAATCTTTAATATTCTTTCAGCCACGATTGGGTGGAGGTAAATTACATGTTGCACCTGTTAATGAAACATTACACATCGACACCCATTCTGAACCAATGCCGTAAGTTAGATTTCTTTTATAATATTTGAAAGAAAATAGATTCAGTAGTCAGCGGAATTTTTTTTTATTCAGATATCGAGCGCTATACAACTACAGACCACAAAATGAAGATGAGTTAGAACTAAAAGAAGGGGATACGGTTTACGTGATGGAAAAATGCGACGATGGTTGGTACGTGGGTTCCAGTCAACGTACAGGTTACTTTGGCACATTTCCCGGAAATTACGTCGAGAGATTGTGAGGAAGACTGAAATCTCGTGATTTAGAACGAGCCAAAAGATCGTAAGGAAGAGAACTAAGCAGCTCTCTCTGAACCAAAATTCTATCAAACATGAAACGAATTAATGATATCCAAAAATATTTAGAGTTTGCAATATCATTTCTTTTTTGAATCAATTTTTTTTAGAAAAACTTTTTGAACAATTTTTATAGCTTTATCGAGAAGCGTAATGAATTTTTGCATATTTAACAAACAAACAAAAAATGCACCAGTCTTCCTGCGATCATTGTCACGTCAATCGTTACCAGACGTGTACTTTCGATCACTTATCGTTAAATGACAAATTTTTCTTTTGTCTGTCTAACGTATCATCTACCAAATATAAATTTTAAGGTAACATGTAAGTAGTGTACATTAACGTTTATTAATTTATTATTGTTATCAATATCGTTTTGCAATTGTACATCCACAAAAATATTCTACTGTTTTCCTCGTAAAAAGGGCCTACCAAAAATAATATTAATAATAATAATTGCAGAGCGCATTAATTAAGATTTTATTTTTTCAATTTTCACTCTTTTTTTTTTGTTTTTTAATCACTGTCTTAGAAATTGTCAATAATTTCTAAAACAAGAGAATTTTTTTGTTGTCACCTGTAACGTGTACAAAATTACACGATTTTTAAAAAATGTAAAAAAAAAGAATAATTTCAAGACTCCTCGTGGTATGTTGAGTGTAATAAAAAAGCATACTTCGTTGAAGTGAAATCTTTAATATATAGTTACCGAAATAATTTTAGTAGATGGAAATATGCACCATCAATTTTATTATTGAGCCTTCTAAAATTCATATTTTTGTAAAAAAAATTATTTATACCTAGTATTTAAAAAAAAGAACGATTTTACGACCTTGAAAACCAGGTCTGCAAATTATACATATACATTATAACTAATAAAATCTTAATATTTATACATAAAATCTTAATAATTATAAATATAAATATATAATATAAAAAAATCAGTTAAACTGATATAATATGAAACAATTATTATAATAAAATGAAAGCAGTTATATAGAAAAAAACATTTATTATAAAATTTATCATAAAACATCTATTATAATTAAAACATTTATTATAAAAAAATTATTATATAAAATACATTTAATATACAGAAGGAAACATTTATTAAATGTATAAAAAATTATTAAAAATTATTATCTACTTATATATGTAAAAAGTATTATTGTGTATAAAAATTGTTTGCGTAACATACGCATTTTTTTCACATGGAAAAAATTCCATCTGAGATATTTTATTTTTGAAATAATTTCTCAAGAAAAGATTTTTAACGGTTCGTATACAATAACTGTCTGTACTCTCAATGAAAAATAAGGAAGATTATTGAATACGAATAATTAAATAAAAGCTTTAGTGTCGTTATATTTTTTAAATCATTAAAAAAAAAAATTTCCACATTTTGCATTAGTTAAAATAATGGCGTAATGACGCAGTTCAAAAATGAGACAATACTAAATAAATGCTAGAGATATTAATCGTTAAAATTATACTGTTATTGCAGCTAGAAATACAAATTGTTAGTCTGATATTGTGTGGCTATTCTTAAAATGAGGGCATTAAAAAAATTTCTAAATACGATCAGCATCATTTAAGAATTTTTTTTTAAACACATTATTTACTAGTCAGTTATTCCAATTTGACTAACATTCAAAAAAAAAATTTGTAACTTTGTAACTTTCTAAACAAAAAAAATATTTACATTATTAAAAATTAAAAATTAAAAATTCAATATCCACATATCTACTTTGATATCATGAAAAATAAAAATTTCCTGGTGAAAAAGAATATTTTGAAAAAAAAGAAAATTGGAGAAAATTGCAAGAGAAGAAACATTTTGTTGAAAGAATTTCTTTAAAAATAATTTTCTTTTTCGCCAGGTCTGCTAAAGCGCTCTGTTTAAAACAACCGTGTGTGTGTGTGGCCTATTATTAAAGAGGAAAGAAACGAATGGTTAAAAATTCTATTATAAATAAGCGAATAATATATAAGAAATGAAGAAGGAAAAATTGAATCGCTGGCGAATTAAAATTATTTGTATAAGGTCTTCGCCTTATGTGGAATGGAAATTGTATTTTTTTTTCTTGTAAATTATAGAAAACGGAACGAATGGCCATAGATTTTAGTCTGAAAGCGTTTTTCATTTTTGATTTATTTTCTATTGTCCTAAATCTTGTGTCGTTTTTTTTCTGTTTCTTTATTTTTAACACTATGCATTGTACACTTTGAGTAAAAATAAAACCTAGTCTACTATGTTCACAATATGTTATCTTTAAAATTAACCATTTTAGATTTTGCACTCGATAATTAATTTTAAAAAAAGTAGCTTTCAAACTGAAAAAAGTAGTAAAGAAGAAGCTATCGAAAAATTAAACTTGATGACCAAAAAAAAACTCGTTTAAGAAACTTCACAAATCTGACAAAAATTTCATTTAATAGATTATTTTCCTGACTTTATCCTAATTTTCATGAAAAATATTTACTTCATTCTTATCCTGCTAATAAATTGAATTTCTAAAACAAATTCTATTATTCATTAAAAAAATTTAAATATTTGTAAAAGTAATTTAATTCTTGCGAAGAATTTTATAAAAATTTTTAAATAATTGATTTTTTTCGACTAATTTTATGCAAATTCTAATTCAACTTAATTGAATACCTGAGAAATTTTTATTATTTATAAAAAGAATGGAATTCTTAAGAAGATTTTTACAAAAATGTTTTTTGTAACTTAGCTATTTTTTATTGAAGGTTTTAATGAAAATAAAAAATTGCATTTCAATCTTAATTCATGTATTGTAATCATCGTCTGTTGAATTTTAACAACTGTTATTTCTTGATGTATGTTCAATTTTTCTGACAAGAGTGGCAGCACTTTCGCCGAAAGACTGGAATTTGGCAGTATCTTTTGAGATTTTTTAAGGTACAATATTGACTTCTGTCTTTTTGACAATAATTCGCACACTTTGGATTTCGTTTACTTGATCCTCTGCACAATCGCATTTTGTCCGGCAAATAGGTTCCATTGCAGGAGGCAGATGCTTCACCTTCAAGTGGAATGCATTGTGCAATTTGCGACTGAATTCCAATTCCACAAGTTTGGGAACACTGAAAAAATTAGAGCTTAATTATCAATAATCAATAAAAACCAATGATTTTCTTTATCTTCATAAAATTTAGAAATGTAACTTACCGGAGACCATTCGGCGTAGATCCATTGTCCAGCACAAGGCACTCTACTACATTCTCTTTCTGTGACTGGTTCTTTTTGCATTTTACATTTATCAGGCGAGACCATTGTTTTATAGATCAAACGCTCATTGTCTGTCGTCATGTGACTATCTGCAAACGACGAATGTACACAAAATAATTGTCTCTGTTGAGTTCCACTATTTCCACAAGTTTTTGTACAACCTTCCCAAAAACCCTCCAACCATTTAAATTCACAACTGCAATTTAAAAGCAATAATTTATTTATTAACACATAATTTTTATTAATTTATATTTTATTTTACATTCATACCTGAATGAATTGCATTTTTCGATGTTCAATGAAGGTTTCGAAATAAGTGGACATTTTCTTTTATTAACAATTTTTCCAGTTTCCATATCTTTACATGTTAATGTCTTATGACGGTATCCACCGCCACAAGTAACGGAGCACGAACTCCATCCTCCTAATAACCAACTGTATTTATTTTCTTTCCACTGATTACGATTTATAACATATCGAGAAAAAGCTGATATAAATACTCCTTTTTTCAAATCATTATCCATTAGTGACAACTGTTAAAAGTTTTGTTAATTAAATTAAACAGGAAAAGCAAGAATCGTGAAAATTCATAATATTGAAATTAACTTACAGAAACAATAATTTCTTTAAGAACAGGACCCCTGGCCCACATTGTATAAGTTTCGTTAATTTTCTGTGGTCGAAACGCGGCTCCTTCAACGATTACAATTTTCCCTTTACCCTGAGAATCAAAATGTTTAATTTCGCTTTTCTGCTTACGTCCATCCTTAATTAATATAATCATACTATTATTTTCAGTGGTTGATATTCCGGAAATGGTTACATCGATCCTGATATTATGAGCTGATGGTGGAATTACGCCTAATCGAGCAGAAGCTGAAAATAATTTTACAAAAGGTTGTAAAGTATATCTACATGTCTGTTGTGACTTAGGATGACTCAACAAATATGATTTCTGACTCCAATTAAAAAACTTATCAAAGAAACATCAGCAAATCTTAAATATTTAAGACAATGGTCTCAAACTGTAAAATACAGATTCACTGCAATTAGTAATTTAAAATAATGCTCACGTCTTCTTAATTTCCGATGAAACTTCTTTACAACATTCTCGCAAGTTGAATTATCACCACCGCAAACTCCACACGAATCTTTAATCTTTTCAGAATTTAAGACCTTGTCACATCCCATTGAGTAACACTTCCCCTATAATTAAATATTATAATTATGGACATTATCATTGAATGTAATTTCTTATCATTGATTTAAAAATACACCTTTATTCCTAATTAAATTAACTTACTTTAACGCAAATGTCAGTAGATTCGTAGGAGCATGGAGTTCCATCCTTTAAATTTTTATTGCTAAAGTACAAATTACCAGTTTCTTTACTTCTGCAAATTAGTTTACATCTTAATTCCTCTTTCTCTGATTCATAAGGAAGCCAAGTGTTGTAGGGTATTGATAACGTTTTCTCAATATCAATGAGACTTGAAAGTTGAGAGCATTGCTGTGCTCGTAAATCTATCAATGTTGGACAATCGTCCTGTTGACAAATTCTGAATTCTTGGCTTTTCTCCTCGCATGCATTCTCGTCATCTTTACTAAAATTTGAATTTGATTACTACTCTTTAATAATTATAAATGAAACTATTTAATTTCAGAATGACTCTATTTATCTTTTTGAGAAAAGTATTTATTTGCAGTTAACTCTTGGTCCGGGTGAAATATTTACTTACTCATATTCGCTGCACTTTCTTGTCCTAATTTGAACTCCAACTCCGCATGTTGTTGAACATTTCTCCCACTCACTCCAATCACCCGTAATTTCGTTTTTTGCATTATGTTCTACGGGGGTTAAATTTAATTTCATGTCTATAGATTCACAGAAACCGTTGATACACCACTAGGAAAAGATATTAATTATCAAATTAATTAATTATAACAGTAATTAATTTTAACATTTTCCATAAGATATCACACCTTATTTTCACCACACTCCGTTCCATCTAAAGGTGGACCCTTCTTAGTTTTACATATTTTAGAAACATTTGGTTTCCCACACCAGAGATAAGAACATGGTTCTAGTAAATCGATGCTTCGACATAACTGATAACTATAAGATCATATTTTACAACCTGCAATAGAAAGATAAGTAAACACTTCAAGTTTTTAAAAACACATTATTACCCTTCGCCAAATTCCATTCGACATTGTTCGTCCATTGTAAAAGATAGTAAAGTAGTTTCTTTAATTTGTATTGCACCCTCTTCTGATGGTTGATTCAATAGGCAGGACCATTGTCTAAAATAATTTACAGTTCCGTATATACTGATCTACAATATTGATACTTAGATTTCTTACTACTAATTATTATTTCGTACTAGTAATTATCAACAGTAATGAAATTGGATTTTTTTCAATTTAACTTTCTATCTTACTGAGCTTTTTGATGAAATTCTTTTCTCGAACATGCTGACCAATGGAATCGACGAAATGTGGCAGCAACCATTGGCGCCATAACGCTTCCATAAACTGCTTCCTCTCCGCAAGTATTTCCCGAGTCAACGTCTCCATCGTGTGATAATCCAAGTCTTGTAAAAAGAGAGAAAAAAATTATTCTCTAAGGATAGTTCGAATTAAATAATTTGCAAGAACCAGCATATCCTTAAACACTTAAAGAATCTAAAATTAATGAATGATTAAAAATAAACAGACTTACATATGAGCAATTTCGTGGGCAATAATAAATGCACTACTAAGACCCTCATCCCGATTTAGAGCACATGACCTAGAGGGATCACAAACTCCAGAAACTGGAGCATAGCCCGAAGGACCACCAATATCTAATCTCGTCAACCATACAGCAACATCATGAGATTCTTCAGAAGAAGCTAGTAATTTTCTATGCCACTTATTGACATTTTCTAATGATTTCCTAGCATTTCCAGGAGAAATCTTTAAAATAAATAAAACTTATTTTTCTACCAAATAGTATTATTTTTAATAAAGAATTCTTACCATATTATCATTTCTACTAGTATAAAGCATCACTTTTGCAATGACGAGTTTCATATTTGAGTCCAGAGATGGATCGCTGTAAATTGCACTGACCTATTTCATATCTTAATTATTAATAGTATCAAGAAAACAAAAAAAGGTTTTTTTTTCAATGGGAGGACCCTACTGTAGTCGGTCAAAAAATCGAGTTTTAGAGGAAAATCTAAAGTACTTTTCATCACCATCAACAATTAATTTTAACCCAAATTGTACGTTTGATAAAAAAAAGTTCTACTTATTCGGAATCAATTGATTTAAAACAAATAGCTTTTAAACAAAAAATTTTCGTTATTACTTACGATATTCACTAGCGCGAGAATATAATGCTGCATTCGTGTACCATGAAATTCAACCACTGAATTGTCTGCTGCGATTCCAATTTCCAACCATCGTGGATAGACGTTATTATAGACAATTTTTCTCTCTAAACAAAAATTTTATAAAAATAAATTTAAATTTAAATAGTTTTATGAAAATATTTATGAAAAATAAATTATTAGGTTCTAAAGACGTGAGAATGATAATTTTGGTAACCTACTTGGAAGTTTTGACCATTTCCACGTCTTGTCATAAAAATAAGCAACCTCTTGAAAATTTGGTTCATCTTCCAAGTTTTTTTGACTTTCTCCATCAATCAAAACTTTTGCATTCTCTATTTCAAAAGTATCACCAGTTAGATTATAAAATTTATCTAAATTTTCCTGCTTTTTATCCTGCCTTTTTATTCTCCTGGTAATAACAAATTTATTCTTTCTGTAATATTTTCTTAAAGCTTTAAATTAATTTCTTTTTTTATTTTCATACCTGATTTCTTCATTCGTTCGAAATAGAGCTAGAGAATTGTTTTCCTTTATAGATTTCCAATTAATATTTCCATCTTCATAAAGAACATGTTTTCCATTTGCAATTGGTTGTAGAAAATAATACCGATTATCAATTAACAATAAACCATAAAATTCTTTTTGACAAATTGTTATGACAATTAATGAATTATCAATATTTTTCTCATTTTCAACAGATCCATGTACTGCTTGACAATTCAATGGAAATGTGGACTTTTCAGTTCTTGTCCGATCAGATTGTATCCAATCGATATCGAAATATGGGGGAATAATTAATGCACTATTTAATTTTGTTCTTATTGTCCAATTACTTATTGATATGAATATTGAATCTTTATCTATATCACGAAGAGATCTTCTTCTACGAATTTCCTCTCTTGATATCACTGTTGGATAAACTATCTCTTGAAAATTTGACTCTAAAAAATCTAATTGACTTCGTGTATTTAGTATCAAGAAGGAAATGATCAAAAAGAAAACAAACATTTTCATTTAATTTCAATAAAATATAATTACATTTTGTAGAAATGAAACAATTATTTGTTTCAGAAAAATGTCAACTTGAAAAATTAAATATTAATTAGACAACACATTTGAAAATGAGTGAGAAAAAACACTTTATGATAATCACTAAATCACAGTACACTTATTCGAATAAAGAAATATTTATTGCAATTAATAAAGAATTTTTTTTTTCTAGTGAAAAATAATTTATATCTTGAAATTCTTATGGTATTTGAGAAATTTACACTTCTCGCTTCGGGAATGAGCAAAATTAACAATTAACATTTAATTAGACTGAAACTGAAGTCGACTGAATGTCCACTTCATAACTGGCAGTCACATGGAGAAATTATTTCGTTTGTGAGCTTCATATGCCTGAATATACAAACATAAACGAATGAGTTGAAGAAGGAATTATGTCCTCTTGGCACGCACGAGATTCTAATAATGAACGCTTTATGCCACACCAGACTTGGTAGATACTTGAAGGCGTTGTACTGTTCTGTATTTTCCACAAAGGGTCATCTGGACAAGCTTACACTAGTTAATAGTACGCCTTTTTCAGGCATTGACCTAACCATAGAGTATTTATGTCGAAAACCTCAAAGAAAATTTAATAATTATTTGTGGGGTCCATCCATGCCCAAAATATTAAAGTTGTCCCCTATTACTTTGATTTTGGTATTGAAATTTCGCTACATCGGATCCTACTCTGGGGATCAACTAATATTAATATTTGTAATATCTACCAGAATTTTGCACTAAATTAAATGAACAAATTAAATTTGTTTATTGAGAACTGATGGTAGATAAAAAGGAGCATAATTTCGTATCGTATATTATGGAACATTAATAAATATACATTGGTCTGTAACAAGTCATTGTAATACTTAACAGGATTATCAGCAGTCGTTCATAAAAAGTATTAAATTATCAATCATCAGATGTAGTCGTCTGTACTACAGTCAAGAAATGTAATCATCAGCAGTCGTCCATAGAACTGTCAAGAAAATGTAATCATCAAATAATGTAGTCATCCGTACTACAAGGCAGTCTAATATTTATTTATTTGTTTATACACCCGTCTTAAGCCTACAATCTTGACTATACAAGTGTTTTTACAACCGTAGAATGTTTCTTATAAACATTCTTATTATTTAATACTAAATTTTTGCGTCTACAGAATGTCTTGAAATTGGGAGTACTCGCATTTGCCTGGACCACCCGTCTAATGGGTTTTTTCGCCAGAGGAGAGGGAAACTGTAGAAAACCTCACCTGAGTACAACAGGTTTATCGACAGCCAAGTTCTAACACAGGGGGAAAAGTGAACGTTAGCTAATGATACTGACGTTAACTAATGTTAGGCTAACATTAGACTAAGGTTTGGTTAACGTTAATCTAACGTTAGTGACCAAAAAATGTCGTTAGATTAACGTTAGCCTAACGTTAGTCTAACTTTATTGGTTCGGCTAACGTTAATATCATTAGCGAACGTTAACTTTTCCACCTGGGAATGATGTGTACCGGACAATAATCGACAGTGCACATCATTAAACCTCGACGTCAAACCTCCCGCTTGATATATTACGAAAGTAGTGATAAAACACCGGGCTATAGCGAGAGTCGGAGCGCGGTCACCAAATACTAACTCTGTACTCAGGTCTGCTTAACCGCGACGATCTACTATCAACGATCAACACATCCAGAGAGAAATCAACTATTAAACACCAACAAGGTATTCAACTATTACACATTAAGAAAGTATTCAACTGTTTGACATCAAGAAACTATTAGACGTCAATTGAAAAGTCCACTATTAGACATCAAGAAATTATTAAATGTCAATTCAGAATTCAACTATTAGACGTCAATTCAGAAGTTCACTATTAGACATCAAGAAAGACGTCAAATATTAGACCTGAATCTAGAGGTCAACTATCGGATACCAAAAAGATTATCTCTACGTTAAAGGTCAAACTTCTTAAACATTGAAATTAACCATCGAAATCAACACCAATTTCTATAACATCTGCATAATCATTGTGGGAGCTCAATATTTGTGTGAAACACAAAAAGATTAACGTCCAACACTTAGCTTTTTACAAATAAAGGTATAAATAGGAGCATCGTCAGTCACTTTCAGATTATTGCATATACTGTCTTACTATAGTAAAGTTTTTTCTGTATCAACTGTATCAAAACACTTTCAGTTTATACGCCAAAATTTTAACATATACGCAGTCTGGATTTATCATCGCAGTAACTAATAGACAAACAGATTTTTCATTGCAATAAGATATTTATCAGCAGTCATCGCAGAACCAATTATTACGTTCTCAATTATTTATTTAGTGGATGAACAAGAAAATCAGGGAACTAATTGGATTTCAATTGACAACTTGATCTGAATAGAAAGAGGAAACAAAATATCCAAATTTGTATTAAAATAATAACTCAATAATTTTTGGAAAGTTCTTTCATTCCGACAGAAGTGATTACCTCTCTTTCTATAACTTGACGCATTCCCATAAAGAATTTTCATCTTTCTGCATACAAGGTAAAAACAAGATTTTAGATATCTTTGTTAATTCTAATTCTATTTGCAACTTAAAAATTTATTAAATCAAAATTAATCATACTTTATGTCAATAATTCTCAACAATAAAGATAATACATGACCTAAAATTGTACTTTCGAATTTTTTTTCATAAGTTTGCAATGTCATCTAAGTAATTCAAGTAAATTTGTGTTCTCCGATTTTTATGCGCATACTTGCCAATTATTTTCGTCAAAGAAATACGAATTTCACATTCAATTGAATATTTCATACGCGGATTTCTTCGGAGATCATTTGTCAATCTCGTCTTACAGAAAGTTTGTCAATAAAAAGTTCTTTATGGATTAGAATAAAATTCATGATGATGATTTTTAGAATCAGTGGTAACTAGATTTTTTGACTAGAGAAAATATCCATCCATTTTAAAAAGACTAAACACTACTTTACCATTTACTAATCTTAAAAATGACTAACAATTTTTTATATTAACTTTCCATTTTCTTTAGTTGGTTTTTTAATATTAAATTTAAATATTCGGTAATAGATAACATTTTAAGAATGGAAAATTTCACGAGATTAAATGCTAAAAATTCTTTTCTTGAAAAATATTGATTATCAGGCAAAAGGTATGATTAATTTATTCAGAATGTAAAAAAATTGACAGTGATAAAACATAAGTTTGTTCAATGTCTCAAAACAGGTTACTGTTAAGTGCACTGAATGCCCTTAAAAAGAATAGAGCGAGAGTCAAGGGTAACATCTTGGTTTTTCTCCTAAACGGTAATAATTGACAATTCAAAGGTCTATAATCTTTTATTTCTTGCTGTTCATATTTATAATTTTGGTTTTAGTGACTGTATTACATCTTCTGAAAAACAAGAATTTGTTGAATTCCAACTCCTGCATTACATCATCAAAATAAATTATTTTGTATGCTAATTATTTAAATTAGATAATATAAACTTTCGTTGAATTATTTAGGGACACATGTTTGGTAATAAAAAAAATTTTGCAAAAGCGGTAGATAAGGAAATTGGAAAAAATTAAAAAAACAACGTAGTCGCATTATCTGTACACATTAAAAGAGTAAACAAACAGAAATCGATTAGTTGAGTGACGTTAATTAATAAGTATAGCTTCCTTCTTTTTTCCTTAATCATGCTGATATGCAAGTACAAAGTTGATTTTTTATAATCCGTGTGCAAATATATACTGACTATAACTTCTTTTTCCATTTATTTTTGCAAATTGTGATGAATGATTACTAACTACTTTTGTATCTTATATAAGGATATTCTTGAATTGATTCAACACGTGTAAGAATAGGTCATCCAAAGTGTGAGTAAATAATGTCAATCACGTAATAAACTTGTCAGTCGTTGTAAAGCTATCCTCTCGCTCTGAGTAATTGACGCGAAAAAAACATGTTTTTCACATCATGGACCTACATTTTGGCAATTACAATCGGTGCTCTTGTAATCTATTTCCTACAGATATTTAAAAAGCATAAATATTTTAAAAATCATGGAATTTCCCATAAGTCACCAGTGCCAATATTTGGTAATATGGCACCAATAATATTTCGCCAAAAAAACATGGGAATGACAGTTCGTGAATTGTATAATAAATATCCAGACAAACGTTACTTTGGATTCTATGACTTCACGAATCCAGTGATTGTTTTACGTGATTTGGAATTAATAAAGTCAGTGGCTGTGAAGAATTTTGATAGTTTTCCCGATCATCGGACATTTGTTAAGGAAACGTGGGATCCACTTTTCGGTAGAAATCTCTTTGCCCTAAAGGGAGAAAAATGGCACGATGTTAGATCACTATTAAGTCCAGCATTCACTTCAAGTAAGATGAAAGTAATGTTTAAATTAATTTCCCAATGTGCTGCGGATTTTACCGAGTTTCTTGCCAAAGACAATGAGGGTAATAAAATGAGGGAAATGAAAGAGGCATTCACGAGATATACAAATGATGTTATTGCAACATGTGCTTTTGGTATTAGTGTAAATACAATGAAGGATCCAAATAACGATTTCTATGTTCTGGGTAAGGAGGCAACAAATTTAGAGAAATTGACAATAAAATTCTTTCTTATGAGGGAATTCCCTTATTTAATGAGACTGTTTAATATTAAATTGGTTGCACCACGAATTGAAAAATTCTTCACTGATATTATTAGATCGACAATTAATATGAGAGATTCAAAGGGTATAACAAGACCGGATATGTTGCAATTAATGATGGACGCAAGAGGAAAGGAAAGTAAGGTTGATCTAACGCCAGAGGAAATGACAGCACAAGCTTTTATATTTTTCTTCGGTGGGTTTGATTCAACATCCACAAATATGTCATTTGCAGCTCATGAAATAGCAATTAATCCCGAAATTCAGGAGAGATTACAAAATGAAATTGATTCCGTTTTACGTGACACTAATGGTGAGCCGACCTATGACGCAATCAATGGAATGGAATATTTGGAGGCAATTGTAAATGAAACTTTAAGGAAGTATCCACTTGTTCCCTCATTAGATAGAGTGTGCACGAAAAGATTTGAATTACCACCAAGTGAAGAAGGTGGTAAACCATTTGTAATCGAGCCGGGAATGACTGTTTGGATTCCAGTTGCAGGATATCATTACGATCCAATTTATTACGATGAACCGGAGGAATTCAAGCCTGAACGATTTTTGGGTGATGGTGCAACTAGTATAAAGTCAACCACATTTTTATCATTTGGCCTTGGACCAAGACAATGCATAGGAAACAGATTTGCTCTTTTGGAAACTAAAACAATGTTGTTTCATCTTCTGGCAAGATGTAATTTAAAGATTTGCTCCAAAACAAGCGTTCCATTGAAACTGAGTAAAAAAACTTTTGGTTTTGGTGCTGATAATGGTTATTGGATGAAACTCGAAAAAAGGGAGAATAAATATTTAAGCAATGGAGTTACGAAACATTAATTCCTCTCATACGGTGTTATTAATTAATTAAACGTTAATCATAAATTCAGGTTAGTTAATTAATTAGTTAGATAATTCTAACTAATTAGTTAAATAATTCTAATTAATTTTTAATATAAAGATTCTTCCTTCCTCTTGCAGACTTATCAATTATCTTCCATATCATCTAAGATTTAATTACCACACAATTAATAGAATGGATCAAAAATTTTCCAGTAATATAAATTCGTGATTAAATTTCTTCGAAAAATTGTCATGACCACGTGCTGTTTACAAGTGAGTTCATTGACTTTTCCAGCCTAGCTATATGTCTCGATTTGTGTAAATTTAGTCATAACGAGATGCTTTTAATAAACTTACGTGTCACAGCTTTCGCTGCACAGAAAATGTAACACGTTTTTTTTAAATTAAAGTAAATTGTACAATTATTTTTCTACCGTCATGTTTTTTAATTGTATGGTAAAACTGGTGTATAATTTTTACTCAGACCTAATAACAATACTGGACAAAAATCGACTTTTTAATAAAAATGGTTTATTAATAATTCATGTAAAGTTTTATTATTTCCCTCATAATTGTTTCTTTTTTTGAGATAAAGGAGCAATAAAAATTTTCTTATTTGTCATGTTATAAAATAATCTTCTAAATAATCAATTTTAAAGCAAAAAATATTATTTATTAAATTACTAAATACATTTAAGACTTCTAGAATGATAACATATTTCCTAAATTAGATTAGATTTATCAGATTTTTCTTATATAGTTTTAAGATTGAGATTTATTACTGCAGGTCTGAAACCTATTTCAAAGTCTAACAAAAAAGTTGCATGAAATTTCAAGGTCCTAGGTTATTAAACTCTTTCAAGGACGTGAAGTTGAATCGAGAGAGTGTCGACTTTGCCAGACTGGGACCTTCACCTACAATGTATACCTGAAAATCAGAGAGGCAGTTCCGTAAATGAAAGTGAAAACAATCTGAGTTTAAATTGAAATTGTAAAAAAAAAATTCTTTGAAATTCATTTTAATCATTTCTGACACTGGTCTCTTAAAAAAATTCTCCTCGGCTAGAAAGGTCCAATTATAAATAGATCAAACGAAATAATAATTGATCACATTCGTTAATAATTTCCAGAGTCATGCTGACCTGCAAAATGAAGAATTGACATTTTCCTCCTCATGTGAAGACGATTTTTCTTAGACACCATGACCGTGACCATAGTTCCTGGACCAATTTTCAGTCTTAGAAAATCTCTCCTCAAGTGCGGTCCTTGATAAATTTCTCTATCAAAAAAATTTTTGTTTTCTTACATCAAAAATATGATTTTTACAATTATACTCTCAGGTATAATCACACTTCTCGGAATAATATTCCTGAAATTATTTCAAAAGCATAAATTTTTCAAGAACCATGGAATTCCACACGAATCACCGGTACCAATATTCGGCAACATCTTACCAGTTTTATTACGTAAATTAAACGTAAGCGATTTAATACGAAACTTATATGATGCATATCCAAATACAAAATATTTTGGACTTTATGATTTCACAAATCCGGGAATTGTCATTCGTGATTTGGAATTAATGAAATTAGTGGGTGTTAAGAATTTTGAACATTTTACTGATCATGGAATGTTTGGTGAGGAGCCACGTGATCCATTATTTGGAAAGAATTTATTTTTACTGAAAGGAAAAAAATGGCACGACGTACGTTGTTTATTAAGTCCCGCTTTTACTTTGAATAAATTGAAAATAATGTTTCCACTCATTTCCCATTGTGCGAAAAATTATGCCGAAATACTTTCTACAAATAGTGGTGAAATTAGAGAAATGAAAGAGACTTTCAATAGATTTTCAAATGATGTTATTCTTAATTGTGCCTTTGGTATCAATATCAATACAATTAATGATCCAACCAATGAGTTCTACACTTTGGGTAAAGAAGCGACAAATATGGAGAAATTGACAATAAAGGTATTTCTAATGAGGGAATTTCCATTTCTTATGAATTTTTTCAACATTAATTTGGTGAATCCAAGAATTTATAAATTTTTCAAAAAAATCATAACAACGACAATTGAAACAAGAGACACGTTAGGAATCAAAAGACCCGATATGTTACAACTTTTAATGAATTCCAAACGAGATGATAATCATGGGGATAATGATAAAATAAATTTAACACAAGATGAAAAAATTGCTCAAGGTTTTGTCTTCTATTTTGGTGGTTTTGATGCGACTTCAACAACAATTTCTTGTGCTGCACATGAACTTGCTGTTAATTTACACATTCAAAGGAAATTACAAACAAAAATTGATAAAATTTTACTTCAAACAAATGGTAATCTTTCGTATGATGTAATTATCGGATTCGACTATTTGGATGCAATTGTTAATGAAACTCTTAGGAAATATCCAATTCTTCCTGTTTTGGATCGAGTTTGTACTAAACAATTCGAATTTCCTCCTACTGTTCCCGGTGCTAAACCATTTTTAGTTGAACCCGGAATGACTATATGGATTCCTGTTATTGGTTATCACTATGATCCCAAATATTACGTGGAGCCGGAAAAATTTAATCCTGATCGTTTTTTAAAAAATGGTGCAGCCAGCAATAAAGCAGCGACATTTTTATCATTTGGTATTGGTCCAAGACAGTGTATTGCTAATAGATTTGCATCATTAAAAATAAAAATAATGCTGTTTCATTTATTAGCAAGATGTAATCTAAAAGTTTGTTCAAAAACAAACGTTCCATTAAAGGCGAGTAAGAAGACCCTCGGATTTTTTGCCGATGGTGGTTATTGGATGGAATTGGAGAAACGAAAAAATAGTTTCTATTGTAAAGAAAATAGTCATTGCTAAAAAAATTATTTTCATTCTGTAATTCTTAATTATTTTTCATCGTTTCTGAAAACAAAAAAAAATTCTTTATATGATTTATGAATAAAGGAATTTATTTCAAATATGTTCTCTTTTTTACTTTCCCCTATTGCTCTAGAATTAATGTAAATAATCAAAAAAAAAAAAATTTATAATCTGTTGTGATTCGTAACAAATCATATTTATGAAATGACGATGCATAATTTATAATTTTCTATAATTGTCAAAAGAAATTAAATTTGTCACATCAGAAATTTTTTTCTTTAACTGACATATTACTTAAGCGAAAGTTGTAATAAATTGTCAACTCGGAGGAGATGATAAATTAGTAATAAACGCAAAGTGACAGAAATGAGTAAAGCAACTGGTAATCTATAATAATCACCAACAATTCAGCACAATTCCCCTTCTTTAGATTAAATCTACCCACACACTTCAAACAAAAACGTTCAAGGCTACTGCAATAACTCAATGATCATGCATTAGTGAAACAATAATATCATTCAAGTGCAATAGGAATTTTTTCATAAATGTTTTTTAATTTTTTTTTCTATTTTTTTTTTTTTTTAATTAATTTATACAATAAATAAATCATTATTGGAATTTTGAGATTTACACACTGAACTTTGAAATTAAAAGTCATTCTTTTAAGATAAGTTGTAACTATAGTTTGAATTTATATTCAAAAGACTTTTTCAGATTATACATATCAAACATTTGCAGTATTTTAGTTTGCATCATCTGAAAGATTAAGTATCACTTAAAACATTATATTATTCCATTCAGAGCAAATTTCTCGTCAGTTTATCATTTCACATGCTGTCAAGAAGTTACATTTTTTTGTACCAGTGAATAAATCATGATCTCGAGTATTCTTATAATTATTCTCATCAGCATTTTATTGAAACTAGTGATTTACATTATAAAGTTAAATAAAAAACAGAAATTTTTCAAAAATCATGGAATTCCACATGAACCAGGTGTGCCAATTTTTGGAAATATGTTACCCATCATAACTCATAAAAAGAGTATGAACGAAATAGTCAAACATTTATACAACAATAATCCAAATGCAAAATACTGTGGATTCTATGATTTTACAAATCCAGTATTTATTTTACGCGACATTGAATTAGTTAAATCAGTGGCAGTGAAAAATTTCGAAAGTTTTCCCGATCATAATCTACTTGGACCTGAACCAAGAGATGGATTATTTTCCAAAAATTTATTTAATTTAAGAGGTGAAAGATGGCACGATGTTCGAACACTATTAAGTCCGGCATTCACTTCGAGTAAAATGAAAATACTCTATAAACTTATTTCTGAGAGTACGCTTAATTTTGTCGATTCTCTATTAAGTGAAACGGAAAATAATAAAATTAGAGAAATGAAAGAAGTATTTACGCGTTGTACAAATGATGTAATAGCTACATGTGCTTTTGGAATAACTATCAACACAATGACAAATCCAAAGAATGATTTTTACATTTTAGGTAAAGAAGCAACGGATTTTGTCAAATTAACACCAAAAATTTTTCTTATGAGAGGATTTCCATTGATTGCAAATTTATTTGATGTTAAATTATTACGTTCGAAAGTTAGTAGATTTTTCAATGATACAATTAATTCAACGATAAAGACGAGAGACACGATGGGAACAACAAGACCCGATATGTTACAGCTTTTAATGGATACAAGAGGTGTTGATAAGAAAGTTGATTTAACGCAGGAAGAAATAGCTGCTCAGTGTTTTGTTTTTTATTTCGCTGGTTTCGACACAATATCAACAACAATGTCCTTTATGGCACATGAACTTGCAGTTCATCCAGAAATTCAAAAAAGATTACAAAATGAAATTGATACTATTTTTCATGAAACTAATGGTAATCCAACGTATGATGCAATTATGGGACTAGAGTATTTGGATGCAGTTTTAAATGAAACAATGAGGAAGTATCCAGTTTTTGCCGCATTAGATAGAGTTTGTACTAAGCAATTTAATCTACCGCCAACTGTTCCTGGTGCTGATGCAATTACCGTGGAACCTGGTATGATGATTTGGATTCCTGTCATTGGTTATCACTATGATCCCAAATATTACGTGGAGCCGGAAAAATTTAATCCTGATCGTTTTTTAAAAAATGGTACAGCCAGCAATAAAGCAGCGACATTTTTATCATTTGGCATTGGACCAAGACAATGTATTGGAAATAGATTTGCTCTTTTGGAAACGAAGACAGTTTTCTTTCATCTATTGGCAAGGTGTAATATTAAAGTTTGCTCCAAAACTAATATACCATTAATTCTAAGCAAAGAGTCCATTGGATTTGCTGCTGAAGACTACTGGTTGACATTGGAGAAAAGGGAATAGTTGCAAAAAATATTATCGACTTTTACGACGTAAGTAAAATAATTATTCTATTTTTTACCATCATTATTAATAGACAATGTGATAATAAAACTACTAAAACTGAAATTTGGAAATCGTAGATGCAGAAGGAATTGAACTTTAGACCCTGAGGTTGAAAATTAGAAACGCAAACCGAACAAGAACGTTAATCTGATGGACTGTTATAATTACCATTTGTATAACTGAGGAATGTATTAAAAAAATAATAGATTCACATAATATATAAATATATGTATAATATAATAAAATATAATTTTAGGAACCATTCACTATATTACTATATTATTTAATGTACAATGTAATAATGTTTGTTTTAGATGTAACGAGGCAAATCGTTACTTATTCAACCGAATTTGCAACACGTAGGAAAAGTATATTTTAGTGAGTTGTTCGTTCGTCTCTTTCTTATCATAGGTTTGTCTTGCTTCTTGTCAAGTCCCTTGTATTTTTTCTTGGTTCCACGACTCGGGACCAGTGTCTTTCGTGAAATCTGAATTTAAATGACTTCGCGTATGATTAATTGTCAGCGACCGTCACATGACCAATGGCCCTTTCCAAGACCATTTTAGATGATGTACAGTGGGGATAAGGAAGAAGGGTTCTTCCCAATTTTTCCATAAGAAGAACAAGGAAACAAAATTAGATGAAGAAGCCTACAGTTGATTAGGAAATGGACTGTCTCTCACTATTCACTTACTTGCAGAGATTCAAGGAGTCGCGACGCGATTAATTGACGAACTATCAACTATGTAGAATTGTTTTAAAAAGTTTATTTTAGATTTTTGTTGTTAATAATTTAGAGTTTATTTCATTTAATTAATAAATAAGTTTTCTTTTATTGAGTTGATTGTAGAGGGTCAACCTAACATCTCACTATGGATGAAGAGGCACGTTTTAATAATTTCTTTATTTCTATTAAATTCATGTAGTCGATATAATTTTGCAAAGTGGAATTATTAGTTACAAGTAAGCATAATTAAGGTATTTTAATATCGCAAAGTAAAAACTAACACTGAGTATGTTTTACTTACTCAAAAACCAATAATTATGTGATAAAAAAAGTACAAGCGTCACTTGGTAATAATAATTATACCTTAAGAAGATTATATTATATTTTTTCTAAATATAATTATCTCTACATACTATGTCGTGTCTAGAAAATATTAAACAAATTAAACAACATTGTAGCCATCGTAGAATTATAATAGTCAGTATAACTTTGTAGTTCCTGACACAAACTTCAAATTTCTCCTATCAAATCATAAAGATCATAATGATCATGTATATTATTCAGTTTCTTTTAACCATCATTACCGTGACTCTGCTAATGTACATTTTAAAAATAATCAAAAGACAAATATTTTTTAAAACTCATGGAATACCATATAAAACACCTGTGCCTATTTTTGGAAACATGCTGCCCATAATAATGCGAAAGAAGAGTATTGGTGATGTGCTGAAAAAAATGTACGATACACAATCAAACGCAAAGTACTTTGGATTCTATGACTTTACCAATCCAGTAATTGTATTGCGTGATCTTGAATTAGTTAAATCAGTTGCGGTAAAAAATTTTGAGAGTTTTTCAGAACATGGACTACTTGGACCTATGGTTACAGATGAAATTATTGCCAGAGGTTTGTTTAATTTAAAAGGAGAAAAATGGCATGAAGTTAGGAATTTATTAAGTCCCGCATTCACTTCGAGGAAAATGAAAACAATGTATAAACTAATTTCCAATAGTGTGATTGATTTTATTAACTGTTTATTAAGTGACACGAACAATAATCAAATGAGGGAAATGAAGGAAACATTTTCGCGTTGCAGCAATGATGTAATAACGAATTGCGCTTTTGGAATAAATGTGAATTCAATGAAAAATCCAAAGAATGATTTTTATGTGTTAGGCAAGGAAGGAACAAACTTTGCTACTCTCTATTTGAAAATTATTTTTATGAGAGGGTTTCCATTTCTTATGAAAATTCTGGGTATTAAATTGTTGCGTTCTAGAGTTGAGAAATTTTTCAATGAAACAGTTAGATATACAATAAATAAACGAGAAACTTTGGGAATAAGTAGACCAGATATATTACAGCTTTTAATTGATGCCAGACAGAAGAACGATAAAGTGGATCTTTCTCCAGAAGCAATAGCTGCACATTCTTTTGTGATTTATTTTGGTGGGTTCGACACATCGTCAACAATTATGTCCTTTATGGCATATGAACTTGCAGTTAATCAAGAGATTCAAAGGAAATTGCAAAATGTAATTGATATTACTTTTCAAAATACTAAGGGAGATCCATCCTATGATAAAATTACTGGACTTGAATATTTGGATGCAATTTTAAATGAAACTATGAGAAAATATCCAGTTTTTGCTGCAATAGATAGAGTTTGTACGAAAGAATTTAAACTTCCTGCTTCAATTCCAGGGGGAAAATCAATTCAACTAAAACCCGGAATGATGATTTGGATTCCTGTCATAGGTTACCATTATGACCCTAATTATTACGAAAATCCGGAGATATTTGATCCAGATCGATTTTTGAAACATAATTCAGCCAACAGTAAGGCAACATTTTTTACATTTGGAATCGGACCAAGACAATGTGTAGGCACTAGATTTGCAATGTTGGAAATGAAAATAGTATTTTTTCATTTGTTATCTCATTTTAATCTCAAAGTTTGTTCTAAAACCAGTATACCTATAACGTTGAGTAAAAAATCGCTAGGATTTGGTGCAAGGGGTGGTTACTGGATAGAATTAGAAAAAAGGGAAAATAAAAACGATAAAGCAGTTCATATGTGATGCTATATTTTAAAAAAATATTCTAAATAGAAGTTACTTTATATTAGATTAACATTAATCAAATTCTAAATTGTCTTTCTATTTTACTCCATTACGACGAAACACAATTTTTGTATATTAATCTTGATACAAAAGATAATTATAATTGTGTCTTTATTTTTAAATAAATCGGTAGATTTTATGAATGATAAAGTTATGGTGTATAGTTTGATCAAATAGTAAAATTTTTTAGTAAACATTTTATTTATAATTTACTTAAAGATTTTATAAATAAAATAATACATACTATACTTATTCACACAAAGAACTTTATTAATCCGCTACCTTTAATTTACAAATGTTTTATCCACTAATCCAGATCTACTTATTTGCAATAAAATGACAGAGGATTGTAAGTTATATGTACAATTGCCCACAGTAAGTATAACAATATTATTACTAATTTTTTTAACAGGAATTTCGATCTTAAAATTTAACAAGACCTCTTGGATCTTGTATCCGTTGATAGTTTTGAAATATTCAATTGTTAAAATTTATATGTTCTGATTCAGGAAATGGCGAAGCAGATGAATGTAAATTTTTGCACAAATCTTTCTTTCCATGTCCTCGAAATCGATTAGCACATTTTTTCACAATTAAATGTGAAAAAGAGGGGTTTTTCACAATTAAAAAAACCAAAATTTATTAATTTAGACAGCAAATTGTTTCTTTTTCGAAATTTTCAATTTAATTGCGTATCCAAACATAATTTATTATTCTAAAAATCTTAGATAATAAGCTTTGAATTATTAATAAAGGAAAACTTATTTTCATAATTATTACTATCAATAATTACACTTTTTTGTAAAAAAAAAAATTAGTAACACTTATATTCCTACATGTATAACAAACTACATAATTCATTTTGAAATTAATTAACGTATCATTATTTAAATAATAGAAAATCTAACATTAAAATACTGTTACGTCAAACTAACTTAAATATGATATTCTCTAGTGTTTCCCGATTTAATTTTAATTAATAATAATCAAAATTGGGACGGGGTTTGGTAAATAATCAAGAAATATTCTATTTGAATAAAATGTATAATTAAAATGAGTCTAGTGGTCTCTTATTGCCCTGGAACAGCGGCTAGTAGTTCTTAGCTTGTGTCGTGCAAATACAATAGGGTTTGCTCTCTAATGATCCTTTTCACAGGCAAATGACTCCTTAAGGGGTTACGCCACCCTGAACGCATGAAAATCGGATGGTTCTTTAGGAATTTTTTTGACGAAACTATTTAAGGTAGGAATTTTTTACATTTATTGCTAATTTAATACATATCTTAAGCTTTATAAATATTAAAAAAAAGTTGTTTTAATTAAAAATGGCGAAGATATAAGCATTGGCATGGATCAGTTTTTCCGGAGCACTCCTTGATGGTGGCATTTCAATTTTTGTCTGAGCAAGTAAACAAATATTTTTCTTGAAAAGTGATAAATTTTGAATAGAGTGACGAAGCCGTTTTTAAAAAAAAAAAATTTTTACGCAAATGGAAGCACTTCAAAAATTGACTTCACGTTTTGGGTTAAAAATACCGTATAAAAAATTGGATGATAATTTTTTCAAATTATTCAATCGAAAAAATCCCACGTTGCTCTGTGGAAAATCTATTTAGGAAGATGTACTTTAATTTTCAAGTCAATCGGTTGAATAGATTTTGAGTTATCATGTGCACCGCCTCGAAAAATGTGGTTTCGAGAAAAACGCAAAAGAAGAAAAAATGTACTTTAGTGTATTATAACTTGAAATTTTGTCAACTTACTAAATTAATTATCAATTCCTGAGCCATAATACTATTCTCCTAGAATGGAAAGAATGTCGCCCGATTCCTTTTGTTGAGCTCTTTTTAATTTTCTGGCCTCCTTTGTCGTCTCCTGCGTTCTCAGGTTGGCGATGGATACTCGTCGTTGGTCAACTTCTTCGCACGTTTTAGCGTGGGCGACACTCGCCACCAGTCTTCTTTTTTGTTTACGGGGTCCGCCAACATTTGGCATTAGCCGTGAAAGATTAGCCGCACACTCGATCGCCTTATTTGACGCCGTAGCCATGTGGTGGTGGAAGTTTAACCTTCCATCCAACTCCACACCAAGATATTTAATTTGCTTACTCCACTTGACCTCGAATCCGTCTATCACGATTCGTTGGAGCTCATAACCACGTCTGTCTGTGACCAGCAGTGCCTCGGTCTTTTCCAGGGCCAATTCAAGACCTCAGGTATCCAGCCAGCTTTTTGCTAGTCGCAGACATTCGTTCACCAATGTCCCAAGAGCCTCCTCACTTTCGACAGTGCACACGAACAACGCGTTGTCCGCAAAGCCGATGATCACCGCACCTTCGGGTAGATCCATTCGCAGAAAATCATCGTAAGATACATTCCATACAAATGGACCCACCCTCGAGCCTTGAGGAGCCCCACACTGCATCTCTTCCTTGAGAGTGCAGGTGTCTCCGTCATATATAACCCACCTGTCGCTAAGATAATTATCCATTATCCGCAACAAGTAGGGCGGCATATTTTTCTTTTTCATCGACTCGATGAGATCTTTCCATCTTGCGGAATTAAACGCGTTGCGTATGTCAATTGCTACCAACGCGCAGAAGCTCTTCTTTTTTCCAGGTCCCAATTTGTTTTTTCCTGCTTTGGCTATATCCACGACTGCCTGGATGGCATCAACTGTGGACTTGCCTTTACGGAAACCAAATTGGTGATCCGATAGACTATTCTCTCCGGTCAAGTGGCTTTGCATTCTCTGCAGAACCATATCCTCTAGAAGTTTACCCATCGTATCTAGCAGGCATATAGGCCTGTACGATGAAACCTTATCTAGAGGTTTTTCACCTTTCCTCAGGAGGACTAACCTCTGTCGCTTCCAGTCGCGGAAGAACTCTCCTCTCTCAAGGCAAAGATTGAAGCTTTGAAGCAAAATCTGGGGTGAAGTGTCGATTACCAACTTTAGGATTTCGTTACTTATCCCATAGATTCCAGGCGCCTTGCCTGTTTTCAATCTTTTGCCTGCTTTTTGCAGTTCACTATGTGTGAAGAGTTCTTCCTCTTCGACTTTGCAAAAACTCCAGTCCCTTCTAAGATATGGCTCCGCAGGAGGAAACAAAGAACTTATTATCTTTCTGACCCAATCGGGATTGGCCAGGCCGGGGGTCTTTTGCCTCGTCACTAATTTCTTAGTCACGATTTTAAAAGCCAGACCCCATGGGTCCTTATCGACTTCCTCGATTAGGTCCTTCCAGCTACGGCGTCGCGACTTGCGGATCTCTTTTTTGAGGTTATTTTTTGCCTCCTTGAAAGCCTCTTTCAGCAAAGGATCTCCCTTAGATCGGGTGTATGTCCTTCTTGCTTTGAGGCATTCCTTTCTCAAGAAGTTCAGCTTCTCTGACCACCAGTGCAAGGATTTTTTCCTTGGAAAGGCCCCTTTGCGACGTGGCATCGACGCATTGCAAGCGGTGACGATTATATTTCGCACCGCTCGCACCTCTCCATTTAGACTTTTCGGCCTCCTCACCCAACTAGAATCCTCAATTAAGATAGATTCTTCTAGGGACCAGCTGAACTTCTCCTTGTCGAGTTTCTTAATGTTCCACGAGAAGATTTTGCGACTAGGAGCTTCCTGTCTTTTTCCTCCTCGTGTGTCTTCCAATGAGACTGAGAACTCAATGTACTGGTGGTCACTTGCTTAATTATAATTTGTTATGTTTCATTTTTAACGTACCTACTTGTAAGATTAAGAATTCATATTCCCTGCAGTAAATATTATGAAATATAAAATAATTACAAAATTTCTAATAGAAAAAAAGTGAAGGTAATATAATATAGAGATGACGACGCTTGTTTGCATTATAAAATATTTAAATCTAACAACTTTTTTAATCATTCTGCATTAATTAACTAACAATATTGCAATCATAGCTCTAAGCATTTTATCAGTGTAAAACAGTGATTGATGATAAGAACTTATCATCACCAACTAAATCCGTAAAGATGATTTTTCAAATAATTCAAATTATTATCACCATCATAACTATAAGTCTAGTGATTTTTATTCTAAGAACAATTAAAAATCAGACATTTTTTAAACGTCATGGTGTACCACATGAAACACCTGCACCTCTTTTTGGAAATATGTTATCCATAATTACTAAGAAAGAGAGTATTAGTGATGTGATAAAAAAATTATACGACACCCATTCAAATGCAAAGTACATTGGTTTTTATGATTTTACAAATCCAGTAATAATATTGCGTGATCTTGAATTAATTAAATCAGTGGCTGTTAAAAATTTTGAAAGTTTTTCGGATCATGGTATAATGGGACCCAAACCAAATGATCAACTATTTGCTAGAAATTTATTTAATTTAAAGGGTCAAGAATGGCATGATGTTCGAAGTTTACTCAGTCCTGCATTCACACCATGGAAAATGAAAACAATGTATAATCTCATTTCGAATAGTGCTGTTAATTTTGTCGATTCTCTATTAAATGAAATGGAAAATAATAAAATTAGGGAAATGAAGGAAGCTTTTTCACGGTGTACTAATGATGTAATAATTAATTGTGCTTTTGGTATAACAGTCAATACGATGGAGAATCCAAATAATGATTTTTACATTTTGGGAAAAGAAGCGACAAATTTTGCTAGACTCTATCTAAAGATAATGTTAATGAGGACATTTCCATTTCTTATGAATATTCTCGGTGTTAAACTGTTACGTCAAAAAGTGAATGAGTTCTTCAATGAATCGATTAGCTCTACAATTAATACTAGAGATAGGTTGCAAATATCGCGACCTGATATTCTGCAACTTTTAATGGACTCCAGGAGAGGAAATACAAAAATTGATTTATCGATGGAAGAAATAACAGCTCAAGCATTTGTCATCTACTTTGGTGCGTTTGATACTACGTCAACAACAATGGCTTTTTTGGCACATGAACTTGCACTGAATCAAGAGATTCAAAGGAAATTGCAAAATGAAATTGATATCACATTTCAAAATACCAATGGTGAGCCAACCTATGATGAAATCACTGGACTCGAGTATTTGGATGCAATTTTAAAAGAAACTATGCGAAAATATCCATCTTTCGCTGCACTTGATAGGATTTGCACGAAAGAATTTGAACTTCCTCCTTCAATTCCGGGAGGAAAGTCAATTTTAATAAAACCTGGAATGATGATTTGGATTCCAGTTGTAGGTTATCATTATGACACTAATCATTACGAAAATCCAGAGATTTTTAATCCAGATCAATTTTTAAAATACAATTCAGAAAACAGTAAGGAAACATTTTTCTCATTTGGAATCGGTCCTAGACAATGTATAGGGAGTAGATTTGCAATGTTGGAAATGAAAATAGTATTTTTTCATTTGTTATCTCATTTTAATTTCAAAGTTTGTTCTAAAACCAATATACCTATACCGTTGAGTACAAAATCGGTAGGATTTGGTGCAAGGGGTGGTTACTGGATAGAATTAGAAAAAAGGGAAAATAAAAACGATAAATCAGTTTCAATGTGATGAAATATTTTTGCAAAATATTGTAAATGAAAGTTACCTTATTAGATTAACATTATTAATCAAATTCTAAATTCTCTTTTTATTTTACTCCATTGGGACGAAACACAATTTTGTTATATTAATTTTAATACAATAGATAAATGTTGTTGTGTCAAATTTATTTTTGAATAAATCAGTAAACTCTGTGAATCCAGAAATATTTAATCCAAATCGATTTTTTAAAGTGGTAGCTTTAAGTAGTAGTAGTAGTAGTAGTAGTAGTCAAAATATAATGAATAATGTTCCATTGGGAAGGTAATTAAATTTCCTATTGATCCACAGGTCATAGAATAAAATTCAATGGAAATTGAGTTACTTTAGTCACTTTAACTATTTTTTACTACATTAAACAGTAAGAAAGGTGTACGTTTTAATTTTTTTATTGATTGTCTATTTCATTACGAAACATTTGAGCCCTTGTGGACCTCGATTGGATTAAAAATAACAATTCTATAATCAAAGGATTGCAAAGTTGCTGATCTCGAATCCAATGTCAGTTTTTCAAATTTCAAAATGGCGAATCCAAAATGGCAGACAAGTTTTAAAAATCAAATTCGTCTCAAAATTTGTAACTTGGGGGTTTCCGATGTCGCTGATTACGAATCCAATGTCAGATTTCAAAAATTGAAAATGATGGATTCATTATGGTGGGCGAGTTTTTTAAAGATCCATCAAATTCGCACCTATTGAATCCACCTTATTGAATTTTCGAAATCTAATATCGGATTCGTAATCAGCGACTTCGAAAACCCCCAAGTAACAAATTTCAAACGAATTTGACAGATTTATAAAAATCTAGCCGCCATATTGGATCCGCCATTTTGAAATTTGAAAAACTAACATTCACTAAATCTAGTGTAGAATTGTCATTTTTAATCCAATCGAGTTCCACAAGGGCTCAAAATTTTCGCAATGAAATAGACTAGCAAGAAAAAAATTAAAACCTAAACATTTTTTACTATTTAATGTAGAAAAAAATAGTTAAACTTACTTAAGTGTCTAAAAATCATCAAAATTTTCATGAAAATTGATCGACCTATTAATAAAAGAAAAATGTTTTGTTCGATTGTCAAAAAAAAAAAAAATTTAATTTCTAAACCTGCGATTATAGGACGTAGATTTGCAATGTTCGAAATCAAATTAATAATTTTTTATTTCCTGTTACGATTTACTATTAAAGTTTGCCCTAAAACAAAGTTTGCCTAGTTATTCAATAAATCGAAGGATAATTATTCAAATGCTTAAAGAAATAATAATTATTTTTAATAATAGTTTTTTATTATAAGAACGCAAATGTGTAAACTTTATAATTATGAATTAACAATAAAAAATTTTAATTAAACACTTTAAATTTATGATGTATTTTTTCAAAATAATTTTTCAAATTATTTTTATATAATAAAACGTAAGTATTGAATAAATTTTAATATATGACGTTTAAAAATTCTGAATAACTAATTATATTGTACATTTTAATATTAAATACAACAATTGAGGATGAATTATAAAATAATCATTGTATAATACAGTTTTTATGTTGACTTTCCGTGAATATTAAATTGATTTTTCAATTAATTTCTATTACATGGTCTATTTTCATTGTTTAAGACATAATTTGATTTTACTCTATCAAGTCCAATAATTAAAATATAAAATATTTTCACGCTTGTCCGGGGCTACCTTCAACAAGAATTGTACTATAATTAACGCGAGGTATAACAATGATAACAGAAAACGTTATCCGAATAATGAACAAAAATAATAAAATTTCTCCGTAATCAATAATTTTTGCACACATTTACGAGTGTCGACAGAAATCATGTTCCACGCAAAAAAAAAACATTTATACAAATATATTCCAATGTATGCGCATTCTCAAATGATAATAAATGACTTTTAATCACAAACGTTTTTTTTTTATTATTATTATTTAATCACTCAAAAGTAAATGTGAAGAAACATTATCATCATGCTTTCAATATTTATACAATTTCTTTTTGCCATTATAATTCTAACATTTTTAAAATATATTCTAAAAATAATTAAAAATAATACATTTTTTAAAATTCATGGAATTCCACATGAACTATCACTACCAATTTTCGGCAATATGTTACCAGTAATAATACGTAAAAAAAATATTGGTGATTTAGTGAAGAAATTATATGAAAAAAATTCAAATGCAAAATATTTTGGATTTTACGATTTTTCAAAACCAGTAATTATCATTCGCGATGTTGATCTACTTAAATCGGTGGCAGTGAAAAATTTCGAAAATTTCACCGATCATGGATTAATAGGACCAGAAACTAGGGATCAATTATTTATTCGAAATTTATTTAATTTAAAAGGCCAAGAATGGCACAATATTCGAACACTATTGAGTCCTGCATTCACTTCATGTAAAATGAAAATACTTTATAAACTTATTTCAAATAGTGCTGTGAATTTTGTCGAGTGTTTGATAAGAGAGACAAAAGATGATGAAACGAGTGATATGAAAGAATTTTTTTCCAGATATACCAATGATGTAATAGCGAATTGTGCTTTTGGTATAACTATCAATACAATGGAGAATCCAAAAAATGATTTTTACATTTTTGGAAAAGAAGCGACAAATTTGGAAAGGTTGTCACAAAAAATTATACTGATGAAAAGTTTTTTTAAATATATATTTCATTAATTATTAAATAAATAATAGATTCATAGAAGAATTTTAGTTACTAAAAAAATTGAATTTTGGAAAAGTTACAAATTATTGCAGAAATTCAATTATTTTCAAAAATTTTAATAAAATTCTTGGGAAAATTTTAAATATTATTTCAAAAATTTTCCTCAATTTAATGATTTTCAATATATACTATTATAATATAATTTTGCAAAAGAATTCAATTATTTAAAAAAAAATCTTAATAAAGTTCTACGGAAACATTTAATTATTTTCATAAATAATTAAAATTTCAAAGTAATTCAATTATATTTACAATTTTTCATAAATTTTTTCTCAATAATTCAATTATTTTTATAAATAAAATTTTTTACATGGATTCAATTATTTTCATAAATAATAAAGCTCATCGCAGAATTTCAATTATTTTTAATACAATTTTAATTTCAATTCAGTTAAAATTAGTTGAATTTTTTAATATGTATTTAATAATATTTCCAAAATTTTAACGCAATTCTTAGAAAGAAATCAATTATCTTGATAAATATCGAAATTCTTCATAGAAATTCAATTATTTTCAATTATCTTTATAAACAGCAAAGTACTTCGCTGAAATTTAATTATTTAAAAAAAATTTAAATAAAATTTTACGCAAACATAATTCATTATTTTCAAAAATAATCAAAATTTACCTGAATTTTAATTATTTACAAATTTTTTATAAATGTTTTAGCAACAATTCAATTATTTTTATAAACATAATTTTTTACATAGATTCAATTATTTTCATAAATAATAAAACTCATCGCAGAATTTCAATTATGTTTAATACAATTTTAATTTCAATTCTTTTGAAATTAGTTAGATTTTTTAATTGGTATTTAATTTTATTTTCAAAATTTTAAGGCAATTCTTAGAACGAAATCAATTATCTTGATAAAATATCAAAATTCTACCCAAAATTTCAATTATTTACAAATTTTTTTAAAAATTTTTTAGCAACAATTCAATTATTTTTATAAATATAATTCTTTACATGGATTCAATTATTTTCATAAATATAATTTTTTACGTGGATTCAATTATTTTTAATACAATTTTAATTTTAATTCTGTTGAAATTAGTTGAATTTTTTAATATGTATTTAATCTTATTTCCAATATTTTCACGTAATTCTTAAAAGAAAATTAATTGTCTTTATAAATATAAAAATTCTACCCAGAAATTCAATTGTTTTCATGAATTATAATAAAATTCTTTGCAAAATTCAATTAATTTCATAAATAACAATTTTAATCACGAGAATAAAATTATATTCAAGATCAAATAAAATTCATTTTAGAAATTCAATTATTTTCAATTTTTGTTTATTATTATAAACAGTAAAATTCTTCGCTGAAATTCAATTATTTGAAAAAAATCTTGATAAAGTTCTACGGAAACATTTAATTATTTTCATAAATAATTAAAATTTTAAAGTAATTCAATTATATTTACAATTTTTCATAAATTTTTCATCAATAATTCAATTATTTTCAAAAATTAAATTTTTTACATGGATTCAATTATGTTCATAAATAATAAAATTCATCGCAGAATTTCAATTATTTTTAATACAATTTTAATTTTGTTAAAATTAGTTGAATTTTGTAATAATATATTAATATATATTATTATTATTATATTAATATTATTAATATTATTATATTAATATTATTTCCTAAATTTTAAAGCAATTCTCAGAAGTAAATCAATTATTTGGATAAATATTAAAATTCTTCCCAGAAATTCAATTTTCAAGAATGTTAATAAAATTCTTTGCAAAATTCAATTATTTTCATTAATAACAATGTTAATCAGGAGAATAAAATTATTTTCAGATTGTCACAAAAAATTATACTGATGAGAAATTTCCCTTTCTTGATGAAATTATTAAATGTTAATTTGTTGAGGTCAAAGATTGATGAATTTTTTAATAAAACGATTAGGTTGACAATTAATATTAGAGATAGTTTGGGCATATCGAGACCTGATATTCTGCAACTTTTGATGGACTCCAGGGGAAGAAATAGAAAAATTAATTTATCGATGGAAGCAATAACAGCCCAAGCTTTTGTCATCTATTTTGGTGCTTTTGACACAACGTCAACAACAATGGCTTTTTTGGCACATGAACTTGCACTGAATCCAGAAATTCAAATTCGATTACAAGACGAAATTGATGCAGTTTTTAACGAAAGTAATGGTAATATATCGTATGATGCAATAAACGGACTCGAATATTTAGAAGCAGTTTTGTATGAAACAGCACGAAAATATCCAGTACTAGCAACATTGGATCGAGTTTGCACAAAAGAATTCCAACTTCCAGCTGCTGTGCCAGGCGCAAAATCAGTTTCAATAAAACCTGGAATGTTAATTTGGATTCCATTAGTTGGTTATCATTATGATCCTCTCTATTATGAAGATCCGGAAAAATTTAATCCTGATCGATTTTTAAACAACAGTACTGCCAGTAAAAAATCTACATTTTTATCATTCGGCATTGGACCAAGACAATGTGTAGGAAGTCGATTTGCAATGTTGGAAATGAAAATAGTATTTTTCCATTTTTTGGCACGATGCAATTTTCGAACATGTTCAAAAACAACTGTGCCTTTAAAATTAAGTAAAAGATCATTAGGACTTGCTGCCGAGAATGGTTATTGGGTGAAAGTGGAATTAAGAAAACACAAAGAAAATTCTTTTAAATGAGGTAATTTTGTGTTCCATTATTTAATTATTCTCGTGATTTAAACATTTTAATAATAATCAAGTTTAAAAAATAATTTAATAAAACATTGAATTTAACGATCATTCCGAGTCAGTAAAATTATCGTTAAACTGAATGTTTTATTAAATATTTAAAACTAACCAAGTGATAAAATCATATAATTAAAAAAAATAATAATATTGGATGATGCGCGATTCCACATTATGATTATAAACCTAAAAATATACTTGAGAAATACCATATTTGAGGTGTTAAGTATAACTTTGTAATATTTTTATATTATATTTTTTTATGGGCGAATATATTGAATTAAAATTGTATTTTCTTCTATGAAATTACTACGAATTCTAATACAAAGCCTTCAATTTTTTATATTTCTGACAATAATTTCTTTTTAAATTAACTTCATTTTTCAAGAACTATCATCAAATTATGACTTATAAATTATTTAATGAATAACTTTATACTTAAAAATATCTAAATTAATTGAATTTCACAAAAATGACGTTTATAATTTTTCATAAATAGATCAACTTCAAAAGGTTTTAATTTTAAATTTTACAAAATTTCAATTTTTATTGATAAAATTATTTATAAGAAATAAAATTTAAAAATCATTTAATTTAAAAAAAAATTAATTATCTTTATAAACAGCAAAATTCTTCCCAGAAATTCAATTTGTTTGCAATTATCTTTATAAACAGCAAAATACTTGGGTGAAATTAAAATTATTTTAAAAAAATTTTAATAAAATTCTACGCGAATATATTTAATTATTTTCAGAAATAATAAAAATTTATCAGAATTTCAATTATTTACAAATTTTTTATAAATTTTTTTTAGCAATAATTCAATTATTTTTATAAATATAATTTTTTACATGGATTTAGTTAATTTCAATTCTGTTGAAATTAATTGAATTTTTTAATATGTATTTAATTTTATTTTCAAAATTTTAACGCAATTCTTAGAAAGAAATCAATAATCTTGATAAATATTAAAATTTATTTCAGAAATTCAATTATTTTTAATTATCTTTAGAAACAGAAAAATTCTTCGCTGACATTCAATTATTTAAACAAAATTTTAATAAAATTGTACGCAAACATATATTAAATTATTTTCATAAATAATAAAAATTTACCAGGATTTCAATTATTTACAATTTTTTTTTTATAAATTTCATAAATAATACAACTCGTTGCAGGATTTTAATTATTTTTGATACAATTATTAATCGAATTCTTCGAAAAATGTTATTATTCTTAACAATTTTATTAAAATTCGTCGAAAGAATTCAATTATTTTAAAATTTGTTGATAAAATTCTTTATGAAAATCTATTTTTAACAAACATTCAATTATTCAATAAATTATTTATTTTTGAATTTAAATAATTGATTTTTCGTAGAATTTTCTAATAAAAATTGATTTAAAAATTAATTTCTAAATAATCGATTTATTATTATTTATAAAAATAATTTAATTCTTGCATCGAATTTTATTACACTTTTTTTTAAATAATTGAATTCTTTTGAGAAATTTTACTACTTGTATAAATAATTGAATTCTTAGGAAGGATTTTATTAGGATTTTTGTAAATAATTAAAAATTTTTTTAATTTTATGGTAACTTAAATTATTATAAAACATGAAGAAATCTATTACTCCGAGTCGAAGACTCGAAGTGATTGATATCTTCATGTTTTACAGCAAAATTTTGATATGTTGTTAATTTCAAAAGGTTTGAATTTGAACCTTTTGATGAATTTGAATTCGTATGGAAAAATAATAATGATTAAATATTTATTTAAAAAAGAAATTATTGATGTTTTGGAATAATTTTACAATTAAAGAAATTTGTAATTAAATGTAATAGAAAATATTTATGAGTATCTAATAATTTTTAGAGTGAATCAGAATATTCTTTAGGGTCAGGGAAAAAGTGAAAATTTTGTCTGGAAATCAGGGAAAAGTCAGGAAAAAACAAAATTAAATATTTATGGCAATCCTGATCATAAAATTGGTACATTCAATTGTACAAGTTCGTTAATTATTATTCTTTTTGATAAAAAAAAAAGATAAAAAAAAATAATAATGAGGAAAAAAATTATCAATCCACCAAAGTTAGGTTAAATAAACAAATGTAATTTTTATTTGTAACATTTCGACAGCATCGACATTCTGATTACCTAGAAATTAATAATTTATTAAAAATTTTTAATGTCATAACGTAAAATTACGTCTGACAATAGCAGTAGATGCAAATTTTAAATTCTATTTTATGAATTATTAATCAAATAATTGATATCAATTTTAATCTTAATTGATTTCTCTATAAACAATAAAAATATTTACATTCCACGAACACTCTTAAACGTGTAAAAATTATTAATTATCATTTAAGATAAGTGTAATGTACAATACAACACAAGAAAGAAAAAGTATAAATTTTAACCTGATTTTGGGGTAAAAATTCCCTGCAACAAATTTTCCCCTAAGTGAGGGCGCCACTGTCTATGTGAATTAGCATTGGTTAAAATTCCCCGCAACAAAATTTATACTATCTTTTTTCTGTGAACAAAGAAAAGCTTTAGATGACTTTCAATAAAGTAAAACGAATTAACTTTGATAACTAAACTACGCAATTCTAAAGTATATTTAAATTCTTCTTTTCAGTGATGAGAGGCATTCTTCAAATGCACGTGTATGCATCAGTATAGTCAAGGTTAAACGGTTTACAAGAAAATTACAATATAACTATTAGCGTTTAATTATCAGTCATAAAAGTGATTTCACTACAACAACATGCTTATGAATTTGTGGACATTAATTTTCACCATTTTTCTTGGTGCATTTATGTTAATATACTTTTATCAGTCATTAAAGAAATTGAAATATTTCAAAATCCATGGAATACCACATAAATCGCCAATACCAATTTTTGGTAATCAAACACCAGTTATATTTCGTAAAATTTACATGGGAGATTTAATAGAAAAATTATATAACGATAATCCAAAGGCAAAATATTTTGGATTATATGACTTTATGAATCCAGTGATTGTTTTACGTGATATGGAATTAATTAAAAATGTGACAGTGAAAAATTTTGAAACATTTCCAAATCATAAAATTTTTTTCGAAGAATCATGGGAACCGTTATTTAGTAAAAATTTATTTGCCCTACAAAATGAAAAATGGCATAATGTACGCTCATTATTGAGTCCAGCATTCACATCAAGTAAAATGAAAATAATGTTTAAACTTATATCCGAATGTGCTGTGAATTTCACCGAATTTCTATCGAACGATAAGGAAGCAATGAAAATGATTGAAATGAAAGGTGCCTTTACACGTTATACAAATGATGTGATTGCCACCAGTGCATTTGGAATAAGTGTTGATTCAATGAAAAATCCAAATAATGAATTTTATCAAATGGGTAAAGATGCAACGGATCCAGTTAAAATTTCAATGAAATTTTTTCTCCTACGAAGTTTTCCGTTTATTATGAAATTATTGAATATTAAATTAGTAAATTCGAGTGTCTCTCAATTCTTCACGGAAATTATTAAATCGACTATTAAAGCAAGAGATAATAATTCAATAACACGACCTGATATGCTGCAATTAATGATGGATTCAAGAGGAAAGGACGGGAATAAAATTGATCTTACACCAGAGGAAATGACTGCACAGGCTTTCATCTTTTTTTTAGCTGGTTTCGATCCTGTTTCAACGAATATGTCCTTTACTGCTCATGAACTTGCTGTAAATCCAAAAATTCAATCACGATTACAAGAGGAAATTGATGAGGTATTACGTGCAACGAATGGTAATCCAACATATGAAGCTATCAATGAAATGGAATATTTAGACGCTGTTTTAAATGAAACACTGAGACGACATCCGATTGTACCATTTCTTGATAGGGTTTGCAATAAAAGTTTTGAATTACCACCAACATTACCTGATGCAAAACCATTAACATTAGAATCTGGAATGACTGTTTGGATTCCAGTGAGTGCAATTCATTTCAATCCTGATTATTATGATGAACCGGAAATATTTAATCCTGATAGATTCTTGAGTAATGGGAATGCGAGCAGTAAGGCAATGACATTTCTAACATTTGGTATTGGTCCAAGACAATGTATTGGCAATCGATTTGCAATTTTAGAAACAAAAGTTGTATTATTTCATTTATTAGCGAGATGTAATTTAAAAGTTTGTTCAAAAACATCTGTACCTTTGAAATTAAGTAAAAAAACTTTTGCTCGCAATGCTGATGATGGTTTTTGGGTTAAGATAGAAAAACGAAAAAAATAAATAAATTCTCCAAAAAAAAAAATGCAATTAATCGTCATTCATTGCGATTATCTATTTTTCGATCCTCCTTAATAATTATTTATTATTATCGCAGGCTTCGCACTCTTCTACTAAAAACTACTATTTACTACTTTTTTTTAAGTTATGCTACTATTTGGGTACTTTTTCTTTAGATTTCAGTCACTAAAAGCTATTTCTGTTTTTCGATAATTTCCCCTACTTTATTCGCTAATATACTAGAAATAAAAAAAAAAAATAAAAAAAATTATCTTCAATATCTAGACTTCTCATAAAATTTAGCAAAAAAAATTGATAAATTCACCCAAAATTCAATTATTTTCATAAATAAAAAATTTCCAGAAGAATTCAATTAATTTCGAAAAGCATTTTCAAAAAAAAAATTTTCGAAAATATCAATTATTTTACAAAATTTGTATACAATTCTTCACAATAATTCAAATACTTTCATTAATAATAACATTTTTTCTTGTAATTTAATTTTTGAAAAAATTTTTTGATAAAATTCTATTCACGAATTCAATTCTTTTCAAATAGTCAAAAAAATTTAATTATTTTCACAAACAAAGTCCTTCACAAGAAATCAATTATTTAAAATAAAATTTTCATAATATTTATTATATTTTTAAAAAATTAATTATTTAAAACAATGTTCTTATTCTTATTCTTTTAAATTTTAATAAAATTCTGTCCAAGAATTCAATTATTTAAAAAAAAGTTGATAAAACACCACACATACCTTTTATTATTGTCAATAATTTTAATAGATTTCTTCGTAAAGTATAATTATATTCAAAAACTTTTCGCAATTCAATGATTTTCAATATTTACTATTTTCAGAAAATTTCCAAACAGAATTCAATTATTTAAAAAATTTTTTGTAAAAATTTTCGTAAGAATTGAATTCTTTCCATGAATAATAAAAAATTTCTCATAAATTCAATTATTCAGATTAAAATTTGCATAAAATTAGTCGAAAGAAATCAATTATCTAAAAATGTTTATAAAATTTTTCGCAAGAATTAAATTAATTTTATAAATATTTAAATTTTTTCATGAATAATAAAATTCTTTACGCAGGAATTCAATTTATTAGCAGAATGAGAAATAAGTAAATATTTATGATGTTAGGAAAATGTCAAGAAAATAAAATATAAAATGGATTTTTGGTCAGTTTTGTGAAGTATCTAAAACGAGTTTTTTTGGTAGTCAAGTTTATTTTTTCGACAGCTACTTTTTTTTAGTTTGAAGCTTACTATTTGTTACTTTTTTAAAATTAATTATCGAGTGCGAAGTCTGCTATTGACAAAAATATTCTCTAATGAATTTTTTTTTTTAATTTGCTCGAACATAACATCGAAAATTTTCTAAAAGTTAAAATTAACTCGACTGAAACCTTTGAAGAATTACTTCAAGTTTCACGAGATTTGCAAATAAAAATTTCCGAAAGCTGCAGTCAGTTTTAGAAAACTTTTGGTGGTATTTATTTGAGTGTTCCATAATAGGATGTTATGGTTCCATTGAAAAGTAAGATATTTCTGTAACTTATAATAAATCCAATAATTACTTGTAATTGTAAAATTTAATGACATTGTAAAATAAATAAAACTACTTTCTTATGATTAAATTGTCATAATTATAAATTTTATTGCATTATTTTTAGATAAAATACAATTTTTTAACAGTGCAGAATAAAAATAATTAATATTTCGTAACATTTTACATTCATTTTGACTAATGCAATTTAGTAATTATCGAGAATTTAGAATATTTAAATAAGAAAACATTGTTTTCATAATCTGAAATAAAAAACAATTTTTTATTTTGTAATTATTTCCCACAATCAAAAGAAAAACAATAAGTTCTAAAATTTTTTTTTTGCCTAACGAAATAAATATACTTTTTGACTATAAAAAAATGATTGTTAAAATGTTTTGTTAATAATAATTTGTTATTAATTTACAAAGTTATAATATCTTGGTAATTTAATTATTTATTTATTATTTATTTATTTATTTATTTTTAATGAGTTGATAATTGTTTCGTGCAAAATTCTGGGAAAATTCAAAATTAATTATTTATAATATAAATATCATTAACTAAAATATTACTTACGCTTGCATAAAATTCAAATGACAGGATAAAATTTTTACCAACATTTATAGGAGTTTCTTTTTTCGCTGATAACATTAAAAACCAAATATTTCTTTGCATCTTAGGTGGTTTATTATTCCAATCGCAGTAATAACTAATAAAAAATTAATTACATTAAAAGTAACAAGTAACAAAAATTACAGAGAATATTTCTGAATATCCTAGGGTTTGAATATCTTTAGTATGTCAAATTTTTTTTTGCAGGCTTTGTATAATCATTTTGTAAAATTGACGTAACTTACATGTAATTGTTTATTGTCTCAGATTCATTTAGAATCATTTGTCCACTTAAGCAATTAAAAAAAAGGTGTACAAGCTGTGCTATAATTGTTAGTCCTCCTCTTATTAGGAGCTCTGTATTATCTAGATTAAGAACAATCTGCAAGTAAATATTATATAATAATAATAACTTTATTTACTTTCCCTGTATATGTACTGGGTTCGAGGCTCAACAAATACATAATACTTAAATCTACTTATCAATTTACGTTACACTCTAACGCAACTTAATATCTAACCATACATCCTTACCTAAATTTACAATCTAAGCTTAAACCTATTTTCAACCAGTGCCAGTGTCAGGGCTTCCGTTTACAGTTCCATTATGCTCTTTTTGTCATCTTCATATTACTTTACTTCCCTCCCTACGTTTACGATATTACAATAAACCCTCTTTCTTCTTTTCTCTCAAACATTCCAAACCATTCATCCATCTTTCACCTTGCCCATTTTCCAATATTTACGTTCTATCATTCCTTCCCCCATTCTAAATCTACAAATCCTACCCCACCTTTCACTCTTCATTCTTCTCCTCAAATATTTATGTGTTCCCTCACCTTTTACTACCCAATACCACTTATTATTGTACCTGGACTCTGAAATCTGTTTCCACCTTTCCTCCGAATCCTACCTACTCCACGCCTCTGACAAATCTTTTCCTTTTCCCATATAATTTCTACCTTCCTGCAACGCTTTTTCCTTTCTTTTTCTTATCTTTTGCATCCTCTCTCACCCTCTTTAACTGACTCCCAACATATCTGTGCGACTTTACTTCCTCTTACTTGCTCTAGCTTTTCCTCAAACTTTTCACCCTCCTCCTCTGTTTTATTACCATTTTCTCCCTACCCAATTCCTCCCTCAACACGTACCCTGGGCGATTCCAGTCCACGCCTATCGTCCATCTTAAATATCTCTTATGCATACTTTCCAACTTACCAATCTCACTCTATCCCCACACTTCCACTCAATAGCTCACTATCGACCACACTAATGCTTTACCCCCCTTTTCCACCCTCTTCATCACATTCAGATCTTGCTTTCCATTACTCATAAACCAATACCCTAAATAGCAAAACTCGTTCACCTCCTCCACCATCCTTCCATTCATTTTTCATTCCACCTCATCATTATCTTTCTTCTTCCTAAACCTAAGCACCTTCGTTTTCTCCACATTCATACTTAGATCTTTTTCTCTCACATATTTCTCAAATTCTTTCATTAACAGTTTCATTCCACTTTCATCCTCAGACATCAATACCACATCATCCGCATATGCTAAACTATATATTCTTCCATTCTTCAATATAACCCCACCCTTCCCTCTTTTCCTCATTCTCTCCTCCAGATCCGCTATCAACATATTAAACAATAATGTACTCAGGGGGCAGCCCTGACTCAACCCTCTACCCAACAAAAATTCCTCCCCCCTTTTATCCCCGATTTCTACTCTCCCCTTAGTGTCCTCATACAGCTCCTTTATTGTTTCCACCAACCCATCCTCAATTCCTTCTTCCCGTAACGCCCCTTTCAGTTCCACAAACGTTGTCACAATTTTACCGTTAATCCTCCCCAAATTTCTATTTACTAAATAATTCAGGACAAATATTTTGTCCATCGTTCCCACTTCCCTTCTAAAGCCAGTTTGGTTATGCGGTATGCAGCCCAGCTCCTCTACTTTCTCCTCCAACCTCCTTCTTATGACCTCTGCATACACCTTATAACCAACTGGCATCAACGTCACCTCCCTTATAGTCTTTTATCCTTCTTTTATCTCCCTTTTTATAATCGGTGATATCAATCCCGTTTTCCACGTTTCCGGCCATCCTTCCCTATTCCACACCAAATTCTCTATCTTCCACATCTCTTCTCTCACCATTTCTCCCCAGTATTTCAAACCCTCTCTCTTCCTCCCTGCTTATTTCTAACTGTTCCACCTCTACATCAAGAGTAGAAATGTAGATCCCCTCTCCTTTTATTTAACGCTCCATTCCTCCACTTAATCCTTTAAAGTAATTCGTCCAATCCTCCATCCTGATATCTTTATTAATCTCTTTTTCCCTTTTCATTTCTCTCTTAATTACATCCCATTCCCTCCCCTCTTCTATTGCCTTCTCCACCTTCTTCAGGTATCTCTCTCTCTCTCTTCCTTCCTCTCTTTTCCTTCTGATCAATTTTCCCTGTTTCTTATGCCTTCAATTGTACTCTTTTTTTCCATATTTTACATCTTCTCCATTTCTTTATATACTCTTAGCTTTTCCCTACTTCCCTCACATTCTCTATCCCACCATCCCCTTTTGCTTTTAGCTTTTCCTTCTTCTCATTTTCCATTTTCTTCTTCACTTCACCAATTATCCTTTTTAAACTTCCCCATCGATAGTTTACTCCTCCTTTCTCCTGTAACTCACCAATCTTCTCTTTAAGTCTCTTTTCAAACTCCATCAATCTCTGTTAGTCCCATTTTCCCATTTTATCTCTCTTGGTTATTTCCCGCCCTGTTTTTCCATTCTTTTCTTCTGGCCTTCAATTTATACTATCAGTAGGAAGTGACATGAGTCTGATTCGTTTCCTACTTGCAACCTACTTATTAATTCTTTAGTTTTTTCGTCCGCTATAACGTAGTCGATCGCGGTCTGACCACTTCCTACAAATGTTATTTCCCAATCCATATCTCCTCTCGTACACCCATTACAAATAGAAAAACCTCCTTCTCCTATTATACTTAACATTTTTCTTCCATCTTTGTCCACTTCTTTATGTTTTGATTTTCTTTGATACCTTTCCTCCTCACCGTTCTAACATCCCCCACTCAATTCTCCCGTCCATGCATTAAAATCACCCCCTATTATTGTTAACTCATCTATACTCTTCTCTATCCATTCCTCCACTATTCTCCAACCCTTAGTGTCCCCCCTTCTTCTATATATCCCCACCACGTTTAAATTTTGTTTTCCTATTCAGATTTTCCTGACCATACAATCTTGTCCCATCCATTCATCTCCACTTATCTTCTTGATGTTCTCCTTTACCCCTGAGATCATCCCCCAGAGCTCCTACCCCTTAAGTGATCTCTTTTAGCTTCTTGTATCTTCAATTTATAACCTTTCGGTAACTTTCTCTTTATCCCTTCCCAGTTTTTCCCTTCTACCCAAGTTTCGCTCATAATTATTATATCCCATTTTCCCAGATCCCTCCAAAAACCCTCCTTCTTATTACTCAAGCCCGGAATAATCCAAAAACTTAATTTAATACTATCGGCTTCTCTTCCCCACTCACCTCTCATTCCCGATAACCCTTGCTAGACCCCCTCTCCTATCTTTCTTTCACCACCTCTTCTGCCTCTTCTTTAACAATCCATTTTGTTACCTTAATCCATAAGCGCTTCCTTTCCCAGTTTACTATATTGCCTTCTTTTTTTTCTTTCAATGCCTTCTCTAACAGCAATCTATTAATAGATAGGAGGGTTCTTACCCTCCTTGTTTTATCATCCTCTATTCTCACTTCTGACCCCCTTAATTTACTCTTTGTCCTCATCACTTCATGCTTTTCTTCGCTTCCTAGTTCCACCAACCACATTCTTACCTTACCCTCCTCATCTTCCCCTCCTACTGCTTTCACTTCTCTAATATTTATTTTCACCCCATGTCGTCCAATACCTTCTCTATCCTCTTTCTCACATTTTTTCTTTCCACCTTTATTCCTTTTATTACTATATTTTTCCTCTTTTTTTCTCTTTTCATATATTCCAGTTGGTAACTTATTTCTCTTACCTCTGTATTTAATTCTTTTATTCCTTCTGTGTCTTCCAAATCTTCTCTTTCCTCTAAATTTTTAATTCTTTTTTCCATTCCCATTAAATCTTCCAACCTTTCCTCAATCCTTCCCACCTCTTCCTTCCTTCCTTTCTAACACTTTCTCTCTAACACCCTTCTCTAAGCTACTCAATTTTTTCCATACATTTTCTTTTTCCTTCTCTTTCAATTCTTTCTTCGTTTCTTCATATTTTCTAATTCCTTTTTCGACTCTTCTCCCATTTTCATATTATATAATAATATTGTTATTGACTTTTAATCGATTTTTCAATTGAAAAAAAGCTGAATGTCTAAAAATGTGAACACGTTCGGTCGATTTAAGGAAAAGTTTGTCTGCCGCAAACGATTAATCCGTCAGCGGTTGCGCCGTGAGAAAAAGTCTCACGCAACACTACTCGACCTATAGGGCGCTCTTAGAGTGCACGTGAGACACTAAAAAAGGCGCGACTGCTGACGGGTTAAAATTACCTGCCTTTTGTTTCCAATGACTGAAATATTTAAGAATGTATATAAAAAAAACTTACCAATGAAGCATAAAAGGTTGTTAATAATAATACTATTGAAAACAATAGGAATAAATACGTCGAAAAATAGTCATTAACTTTATTGAGAAACCTATAAAATTAATGATAAAATTTAATAAATATTTTCAATTCTTTTAATAAATGTTATGTTGCTTTTAATTTAAAGATAAATATAAATAATAATAGATAAATTGTGTACAAACTCAAGCACATGATAGTAGTCTTTTATACAAGTAGTAATATTTTCATTTATTTTATTGATATCGTCAAGAATTTTATTAGTTTCTTCATTGTAATTAATTCTTGATAATTTATATCTATTTAATGAGAAAATGTCTATGAATGAAAATTAATTTATTAAAAGAGCACGATACATATATATACACACACACACACACAATCTGTCCATTTTTAATTTCAACGAAAAAATCAAAAAAGGGCTTAAATTAAAGCTTGGAACCTCTACTTCTATTTGCATGGTGGCCTTTTTTAAAAATTCAAGATGGTGGACTTGTACGTCGCGTTAAAGCTGTCGAGGAGCATAAAAAAATGCTACTTTTTGCTAAAAAAATATGAATTTTAAAGTAAAAATAGTTTATTTTTGGCACAAAACATACCTCTTTATACGTACTTTATTTACCCTTATTGACATTTTCGAAATTTCAAAATGGCGGATTCAATATGGCCGAAAAAATATTAATTTTTGTCAATCTTTGCGAAACTTACTATTACGGAGTTACTTGGGTCTCTGATTAAGAATCTGAAGTCAGTTTTGCATAATACAAAATGGCGGATCTAATATGGCGGACCTATTTATCCAAAATCGTACTTTTCTGCTTGAAACTTGTTTCTGAAGTAAAGTAGGATATTTCAATAGTGCAGTCGTCGGGAATATTGAGCACTGTTCGAAGCAAGCAAAAACTAAAATATTCAGGTCCGTGTCAAGAAAATTAAGGGTCCCCCCACTACTAAATACCGGGCACCATTAAATTATACTAAATAATCAAATGAGCGACGGCACTGTATTTGACGTCACAAATTCCCTTTCCCTTTGCCCCCCGAAACCCCTTGTCTACTCAACTCACTAATGACTGCACTGTTCAGAACTGCACTATTCAAAGATCCTACTGTACTAATAAGAATAACTAAATATCAAGTGCAATTAATAAAAACAGAGCGTAAATGGTTTCAAGCAAGAAGGACGATTTTTAAAAAATGGATCTGCCATATTGGATCCGCCATTTTCTTTTTTGCAAAACTGACTGCAGATTCGTAATCACCGACCCAAATAACCCCTTAATAGTAAGTTTCGCAAAAATTGACAAATATTTATATTTTTCGGACATATTGGATCCGCCATTTTGAATTTTGCATAAAATGACTTCAGATTCGTAATCAGCGACCTTAACCCCTTCAGTGTGCAGCTAAAATATAACAAAATGGTCCCAAAATGTGTAAGACCTTCTTGTGAATAAATTTTCATAACACTATGTACTAAGGGGTTTTTGGGGTCGCTGATTACGATTCCGGTGTTAATTTTCAAAAATTCAAAATGGCGGATCCAATATGGCGGACACGATATTAAAAAATTCATTGGATTCGCTTAAAATTCGTTACTAGGAGGTTTTCGTGGTCGCTGATTACGAATCTGACATTAGTTTTTTAAAATTCAAAATGGCGGATCCAAAATGGCAGACACAATTTTGAAAAATTCATTAGATTCGCTTAAAATTCGTTACTCGGGGGTTTTCGTAGTCGCTGATTACGCATCTGTTATTAGTTTTTCAAAGTTGAAATAGTAAGAATTTTTAAAAAAATTTATCCACTTTTGAAATTTTTCAAAATTTTTGGCAGACATTTTGTATGAAAAATTATTTATTTTAAAAATATGACTTCAGAATCGTGATCAGCGACCCCAAAAACCCCCGAGTAAGAATTTTAAAAAGAATGTATCTACTTTAAAAGATTTTCAAAATTTTTGGCGGCCATTTTGGATGAAAAATTATTTATTTTGAAAATCTGACTTTAGAATTGTGATCAGCGACCCCAAAAACCCCCGAGTAAGAATTTTTAAAAAAATTTATTCACTTTTGAAATTTTTCAAAATTTTTAGCGGCCATTTTGGATGAAAAATTATGTATTTTGAAAATATGACTTCAGAATCGTGATCAGCGACCCCAAAAACCCCTGGGTAAGAATTTTTGCGAATATACGTTAAGATGTTTTCTTGTTTGGGCCATGACGTGTATACACGTCATCCACTGTTTGGGCCAGTTTTTTTCATGACGTGTATACACGTCATCCACAGTCAAGGGGTTAAAAACCCCTGAGTAACAACTTTCAAGCAGAAAAGTACGATTTTTGAAAAATAGGTCCGCCATATTAGATCCGCCATTTTGTATTTTGCAAAACTGACTTCAGATTCTTAATCAGAGACCCAAGTAACTCCGTAATAGTAAGTTTCGCAAAGATTGACAAAAATTAATATTTTTTCGGCCATATTGAATCCGCCATTTTGAAATTTCGAAAATGTCAATAAGGGTAAATAAAGTACGTATAAAGAGGTATGTTTTGTGCCAAAAATAAACTATTTTTACTTTAAAATTCATATTTTTTTAGCAAAAAGTAGAATTTTTTTATGCTCCTCGACAGCTTTAACGCGACGTACAAGTCCAGCATCTTGAATTTTTAAAAAAGGCCACCATGCAAATAGAAGTAGAGGTTCCAAGCTTCAATTTAAGCCCTTTTTTGATTTTTTCGTTGAAATTAAAAATGGACAGATAGGGGGTAAAATTTGACAAAGAATGCTTTATATATATATATATATATATGTATACTAGGGGGGCTTCGCCCCCCTGCGCGCTTCGCGCGCCAACCCCCTATCTCTATTTTTATATTTATTTAAATTTTTATAAATTTAAAGTAATTTTTTCTTAATATCAATGCATCTTAATAAATTGCATACAATACATGACAAAATACACATAGACTTTGACGTAATGTAACAATCGTTATGGACCTTTTTTATCTATATGTCAAAAATTAGATTAAACTTTGACATATATTTTAACCCATTTTAACCTATAGGTTAAAAAGGCGTCAAATTTTACATAGATTTTGACGTATCATAGATACGTTTATTGTCCTTTATTGTCCCTTTTTAAGTTGTAGTTAAATAAAAGTCAAATTCCACATAGATTATGACGTAACTAAATGAGGGAGTAAAAATAAAACGTCAAAATTAGGTCAAGATGATAGGTGTAAGAGCAAACACAATTTTAAAATTACCTTACATTGTTAGGTCAGATGGCAAACTTCACCTCATCATTAAGACTGCGCGCGGAAATTGTTTGACAAATTTTGACGTCTATATCAAAACTGCCCTCAAAATTGACCTTTTTTTAGGGTAGCGTGGAAATCATTGTCAAATTTTGATGCGTAGGTCAAAACTGCCCTCAAAATTGACCTAAATTTTGAGGGAAGCGGGAATTTTCTGTCAAATTGTGACGTCTAGGTCCAAACTGCCCTTAAAATTGACCTAAATTTTAAGAGAAATTTTGACGTCTAGGTCAAAACTGCCCTCAAAATTGACCTAAATTTTGAGGGTAGCGGGAATTCTTTGTCAAATTTTGACGTCTAGGTCCAAACTGCCCTTAAAATTGACTTAAATTTTAAGAGAATTTTTAACGCCTATATCAAAACTGCCCTCAAAATTGACCTTTTTTTAGGGTAGCGTGGAAATCATTGTCAAATTTTGATGCGTAGGTCAAAACTGCCCTCAAAATTGACCTAAATTTTGAGGGTAGCAGAAATTGTTTGTCAAATTTTGACGTCTAGTTCAAAACTGCCCTCAAAATTGACCTAAATTTTTAGGGTAGCGGGAATTCTTTGTCAAACTTTGACGTGTAGGTCAAAACTGCCCTCAAAATTGACCTAAATTTTGAAGGGAAGTGGGAATTCTCTGTCAAATTTTGATGTGTAGGTCCAAACTGCCCTTAAAATTGACCTAAATTTTAAGAGAAATTTTGACGTCTATGTCAAAACTGCCCTAAAAATTGACCTAATTTTTGAGGGTAGCGTTAATTCTTTGTCAAATTTTGACGTCTAGGTCAAAACTGCCCTCAAAATTAACCTAAATTTTGAGGGTAGCGGGAATTCTTTGTCAATTTTTGATGCGTAGGTCAAAACTGCCCTCAAAGTTGACCTAAATTTTAAGGGGAGAAACTACAGGTCAACTCTTGACCTGTAGGTCAAAAAATCTTGAAACAGCGGCGGCGGCGATATCTTTTTGTAATATAGGTAGATATATATAATTTTCTCTTACTTTAAAATTTTGTACAGTCCACAAGTGTGTTCAGCAAAACAAAAGAGCAACATATCAACACATACAATAATCTCAATTGAAAAATATCCCCCAATGAACAAATGAGCAGTTGTAAATATATAATGCTCAGATGTATTGAAAAAATGATAATCTACATCAATTGCATATTTCTGTATTCTTGTTTCATTTTCCGCTAAAAAATTTTTTGTAATCATTGCATGAATCCAGGCTTCATTAAAGTACATTGTCAATACTATTCCTGTATAGACTAAAAATAATTATACCATTTAATATAACATCAAATTAAAATGAATGTCTTCTAAACGGGAACATCATTTCTGTACATCATTCAAAGCAATATTTGAACAACATTACTTAAAAATGTTCAAGCAACTTTAAAAAGAACTTTTTTGAATATTATTTTGTAATATTTCTGGAATGTTTATTCAGTCGGACATAACAACATTACTGCAACATTACAATAATTTTAAGTTAGAATTTTTCAAATGTTGCAATACCCATTCTCTGTCCTCTTTTACCAAAAGAAAATCTCACCCTTGTCATACTTTCTCTATCCAAGGAACATGACATAAGAGTGTCTTTTTCTTACCTAACTGATTTCATAAAAAGGATTCCGTTATATTATATACTTACTCACATATACTGTGGACACTATTTTTGTCATTTTTACAGATTTTTTCATTATATTAAAATAATTCTTACAGCTTTTTGAACGTTCAAAATCATTTATTATTATTGATAAAATGACTTTTAACTGAAATTAATACATAGCATATTATAGACATACTATTTACAAGTTTCATATACATACCGTCAATGTCCTAGAAATTTTCCAAGTTTAATACATATACATACTTTTTTCATGGTTAATAATTGATTGATAAATGTTACTAATGTTAATATTGCAACAGCAAAAAACGTAAAATTTTCAATGAAAAGAGTGAAGTCATTCGAATTTTTCAAAAAGTTGGTTACCTGTTATTCAAAAGAATTAATATGTTTGAGTATAAATCTTAAAAGAAAATAAATACAATTGAGTCAATTCTAGTTACAAGAGATGCTGTCCAGCTCGTGTTCAATATTCCAAGTATTACATATTGAATGTTCAAAATTTTATATGAAACAAAAGGCCAATATCCACATGATAATAATATAAACTTCATGTATTTAATGTTAGACTCAAAAGATGAAGATGACATATTGCGAACAAAATATGCTTACTTGTCTAAGTAAACACTTATAGAATTTCTCGGAATTTTCTTCTATAATATAAATAAATTCTATTCTATCTATTCTATCCAATTAATAAAATTTGAAATCAGAATTATTTTATATATGTGTTACCGGAAAACCCTGAAATTCAGGCAATTCGCGAAATGTCTAAACTTTTCAGGAATTGTCCGAACTACCTAGAGATTAATAGGCATTTTCCGAATTGACTAAGCATTTTGCGAAATACTTAAGTAGATTTAGTCAAATTGGAAAGTTGAAGATAGGCCATGAATTGATGTAAACACACTGTTTACAAAATTTTTAATTAATTATGCAATTTATTTATTTACTCTTGCTTACAACACATGTATATGTGATTACAAGGAAGTCACGCCAATAACAATAAGATAAATAGAGATACACATAAACAGTTATCCGAGCAGATAAAACTTTAATAAACACATTGACAAACTTTTTAATTAAAATTGGTTTCGATGATGACAGAATATTTAACCATTTATCCATATCAGGTAAATTGTTAGATTCACTATTAAGAATAGGAGCAAATAGATGCGTACAGGCAGGACATAAAATTAAAATATTATGGAATATAGATTCCTCCTCCAAATAATAAGTGGTGCAAGTTGCATCAAGGTAGAAGGCAAATTTTTTACGGTCAAAAACAATTCTTGTCACATGACGATTGAGCAGTCTCAATTGTGCATACATTTTTTTATAGAAAATAGGCAAACGTAATTTTAAATAATTTTGAGTACCTTCATGCAAAGAAAGAAACAGAAAGATTTCAAGGCTTTTCAATAGCTTTAGACTTTCAAGGTCATGATTTTTCAAATAAATAGAAAATTCCTTAAGAACAAAATCGCAATTTACAAAAGTGGAAGTAGGACCTAAATTGTCCCAAAGTTCTGAAAGACCGCAGGGCTAAAAAAAACTTGGTTTTTATCTGAGTCATCCAACTAAACTTATTTTTCGGGTTCTTTCTTGACAGATTTATTAATCTCATTAAACACCTTTTTGGAATTCGAGAGTTTTCCATTAAAAGAATTTTATTTAACCACGAAAGAGTGTTTTTGAGAACTAACAGAGCAAGATGTGAAGCACCTGTCTCTATTCTCACCGCGTAGTTTGGGGTACAGTTAGGGAGATTCAAAAGTTTCTTAAAGAAAGAGAGTTTCACACTCTATGAAAACCAAAAATTCAATCCCCATATCTGATAACTATACTCTTTCTGTAGCCAAAATTTAAGTTAAATGGTCCAAAAACTAGTGGCGACTAGTTTTTCGACTTGAATTTACTTCCATCATATCTTTTAAGATTTTATCATATTCTTCTTGTACAATTATTTTATACTTACTCGAATTATTACTAACAACTGCTGAATATATTTCTGTCACTCCTATTTATTAATTCCATAATTAATTAAAAATTTTGTAAACAGTGTGTTTACATCCATTCATGGCCGTCTATCTTTAACTTTCCAATTTGTCTAAATCGACTTGTGAATTTCCCAAAATGCTTAGTCATTTTGGGAAATGCCTATGAATCTCTAGGAAGTTCGGATAATTCCTGAAAAGTTTAGGCATTTCGCGAATTGACTAAATTTCGGATTTAACCGGTAACATATACATATATCACCGTTAAAATCCAGAAAATCGGTAATGTGCACTGTTAACGACCGTAATGGCCGATCAATTTCTGGGACAAGGATTAAAAGCAGGGGAAGTGGAGGGGGCTTGGCGGCCTCACCGATCCCTCCAGGCAAGAGGGCGCCGCTCTATACAATGCTTAGAGCTCAAAGGCCCCTCCCTCTCTCCACGGGTCACAATATAACAATCGAACGTGAAAATGTAAAGGTCTAACTAAAGGAACTTATTCTACAAATCGAGAACACAAAATAATTAACATTAAACTGAAACACTTAACATGAACAAATAAATTGAACAATAAAATTATGTGCTCTCACTCGTCAACATGCACATTATCTAATCTTCTTCAATAATAATTAAGAATGTGTACTTAATTTTATTATATTCTGTTTAAGCTCATTGGATGCAGCCTTAAGGGGGTTTAGGTCGGAGGAGCAACATAAAAACAAGGATCATTGTTGAGAATAAAACAGAGATTAGGAATTCTCAATATGACATAGTATTATTTATTGAACAAGTAGAAAAACGAGAGTTTAAAATAAAGTAATTAAATGTACACTGCGACCGGTTAATTTAATTAAAAATAATATTTTTAATATAAGCATCTAAACCGTTCGTTGATTCGCTTTCCTTGATTATTTACCCAAAAACAACTCGACTAACCAATAACACCGAGACACTACTTCCTCAAAGTGTGAAACTTCCCGCCAAGACGACCGATGATGCTAAGATAGAGAGAAAATTAGAAACGATTTGCCAGCGACGCCAAATGTAGTTTCCCTGTTGAAGAGGCTAACATAATCCAAACAACACGCACAATTAAATAACACCTTTTCTTTATTTTACCACTAGAGAATACAATTAGAAGCGAATAAGCGTCGCGAACGAACAATATTCAGCACGCGCCGGTAAACGAGTGAATAATCTCAAATTAATGCTGATAGTTCACTGGGTCAGCTGAGACGCCGATTTTCCTATTCTTGTCCTAAGGTCACTCAAATCTGATAAATCCTTCCTTGTCACTCTAACGACGGTAAATCACCTGTAAATAAATTCATCCCTGGCCGCTAACAATCGTGGAAATTCGTCAATTCTCATCACATACAGTGAGCCGCAACCAGAATCAAAATCAACTTTGGAAATTTAAGAAAGAGATACCAACCAACACATTGACTTTTCCGTCAAAGACAACCCGCTATTATCCCAGTAACAAATGCCTTGTTACAACACAATTCCACAATAGAATCGAAACTTGTCTGGGAATGCCGTAGCCTATAGTGTTTAATGCCGTGCTTGGTTAAAGGAGCCATAGAAAGATCGGGTCAAAGGGAATAAGAAACAAATTGATCTGGAATTGAGCCTAACACGAAAAAAAAATTTCCTGTGTCATCCACAGTATCTCTTGCAATATCTGCAGATTGATTTTTTTGTCTCCACAAACAGCTAAGTTTGTAGAATACAAAAAAATTTATTTAGTAATAAGTATTAAGAAATGTATATAGAAAATATTGTAAGAGAATTGTATGTAAACATTTGTAAAGCTAGATAAGCTTAAGACGGGTGTATAAACAAATAAATAAAAAATAATAAATCAAATCAACTTTTCACATTTTAACGTAGGTATTCGTTTTGGTTAATGTGCACATTACTGATATTGGATATTTCACATTAGTGACATTAAATATATCTTAAATAGAAATTTTTTTCACTCATCTATAATTATATTTTTAAAAATAGATGTGTGAAAAAAATTCTAATTTAAATGTAATTGAATTCTTTTATATTTAAAATGAATATTACAAAAAAATTTTTTCATTTATATGCAAAAGTTTAACTTAAAATATATTTAAAAAGGTCGCATGAAAATTTACTTTAATATCTTTCCTAATTTAATATTTACAGTAAAACGTTCAACTACAATTTTCGTATCACTTTTTTACGATTCTAGAAGTAGAATAAAAATTTATGTCATACAACTAGAAAATAATTATCATACTTAAAAAAATTATACTTAAATATATTTTCTAAAGACATTAATAATAAATATGAAACTGTTATCGACCAATAAAACTTCCTTAAGGGAGGCACTTTATTATTTAATATTTGCATTTAGAAAAGAAAACCTAAGAGAGAATAATCAATAATTCAGAAAGTATTTTATAATTTGAAGGTAATTGTTTCTATTTAGTAGCTTTCAAGCATGACTAATCAAAAAAAACCTTTATAACAAAAATTTATCTTACGTTTCAAGATTTGTTATTGATCTTATATTACTTTTAATCAAGAATCCTAGAAAATTTTACATTGTTTCAATCTTGACAAATGTAATTAATAAAGTATGAATAAAATAATTTTATTAATAATATATTTTTGAAGTTTTATTTATTTAAATATTTGTATTAAAGTAGAGGAGGTGTAGGTGAGTGTTGCAAGAAATGTTGTGTGACACTCGTACGCAATTATATCATAAATAACTATTTACACCCATAATTATTGGATTATTCGAGCAGGTAATTCTTTGAGGACAACCTCAATATCCTTTATTGTTCATTATTTTCTTTGTCTACAAAATTTTCTTTTGCCGAAGTGCGCACAAATTTTCAACAACATTTAAGAAACATCTTTGACCAACCAGAATTCAGTTTTGGCGAGAATTAAGAACATTTAAATATGAAAACATTGATTTAATAATCTGTAAAAGGACAATTTTTTAGTACATAATAAAAAGATATTTCATTTTCGAAAGGTCTCTACCAAATGAAAAACAAGTTATCAAATTCTTCTCACTTTCCGGAGATTAAAATTATTTTTGAATATTTTTGTTTAATAATCTGGTAATAATTATCATAACTATTTATAATATTACTTATTAATTAATGTTATATAATATTACTTACGGTTGAATAAAACTCAAACGATAAGCAAAAATTTTTCCCAACATGTATTTGAGGTTCGTTAACAGAAGATAACATTAACAACCAAATTGATTTCTGAATCTTAGGTGAAACACTATACCATTCAAAATCATAGCTGGAACAATTTAATTAAAATTTACTATCTACAAAAATGTATAGTTCGTGACATAGTGGCCTTATCTCAATACAGAAAAAACTGAACTCATTTTTGTTAGTTCAGTATCAAAATGAGTAAACGACTAACTTCAAGTTACCCAAAATATCAGGTTATGTTAGTTTTTATAGAAATTGAAAATTTTTAGAATATTATGAAATTTTAAGTTTTTTATTTCGTTGTTAGGCAAAAAAAAAAAAAAAAAAAAAGGAACCACTTTGTCGGTCTGTTGCAAAAGTTGTTTCTGTTTTAAAATGGAAGGGGCGGAAAAATTTAAAACCTTTTGATTTTTCATCTTAAGGGTGTACTAAAATTAAATCAACTCTCATATCCGAATAACTTCCCAGGAGAACCAGAGAAATTCGAATTACAATTTTTAATTTCGTTTTTTTAGAAATGAGGTTTTTGACATTCTGAACATTAAAATTCTATAACTCAACGATTTTTGCACCAAATTGGAATTAAGATGTATCAAAATTTTCCAAATTTAACAAGAAATTTGACCATAATAAGTCCAATAGTGCCAAACTGTTCCCTTTTCATGCGGACGTCCACATATATTACTTACATGTAATTTACAAATCTTTCAGTTTCATTCAGAACCATTTGCCCACTGAAACAATTGAAAAAAACATGCACAAGCTGGGCTACAACTGTCAATGATCCTCTTACTAAGAGTTCTGTATTATCTTTATTAAGAACAATCTGTAAGTAAATAAAGTTTATTTAAAAAAAAACCACACTTTCAATCAACTTCGAGACTGTGTTTCAATATTCATTAGCATATAAAAAACTTACCAAAGAACAATACAAGGTTGATAATGCTATTACAATTAAACACAATACAAATAAATATGTTGAAAAAAATTCGTTTATAAGGTTGATAAACCTAAGATGAAAATAAGAAAAATTTCACTGTTGATTTGAAAGTATCAAATTGCAATGAATTGATACCAAAAATGAGCATCAAAGAAAAAATTCATTCAATTTTTTGGCATCAATTTGGTCGATTTTAGCATCAATTTAATACTTTCAAGAAAACTGTATTAATAAACATGTTTTAACTTTATTTAATGAAGTTAAAGATAGCACAACATACTCACTCAGAAACACGATGGTAATCTTTTATACAATTTTTAACATTAATATTTATTTCATTGTCATCTACGATCTTTTCTCCAGTATCTTCATCGTAATTTATTTTCAATAATTTATACCTAAATAGAAAATAAAACACGATTATTTTATGTAATAAAACTATATCAATTCTTTAATTTTACCTTAATAAAAAGTTTTTTCTTATGCATGTAAATTTGAAACCAGTTTTTATTGAATATTTTTCATGTAATGAAGACTTGAACTTCGACGATTTATAAGACTCCGTAAAAAAAAGAATTTTCCGTAAAGTGTAAAGAATTATTGGTGGTGACCAAAGCCCAATATGGTTTCACGTGAAAACCATATTGAGAGGTTACGGACAATTTCATTTTTTTCTCGCGAATCTATGAATTCTAATTCAAAAAACTGTATAAAAATGTTGATTACAAACAGGAAATATGTAATTCTGTAAAAATGTGAAGAAAATGAAATTTGTCTGGCAGACTGTATACTGTTGATAAATTACCATACTATAATCGACATTTTTATACATTTGAAACAATCAAAAAAATTTAGGAGGACAGTATTCACGATAAGAAAATAGAATTGTCCGTAACCCACCAATTCTTTTTTTATTAAAACTGAAATAATAATTGATTCTCTTTCTTTAATTTTACTATAAAAATTGTAAACATAACCTAAAATGTTTTGCTCCTTACGTACCTTTTCTAGGGAGCGCGACATATATTTGTATTCAGAGAAAAATAAGTACAAAATTATATTAATTAAAAAATCTTTTATTAAGGGTATAATCATAACTAACATATAATCCGCTAATGCGCAAGCATAACTAGACAAGGATAGAAGATTTTAGCCATTATTATTGCAGAAAATAATTTCAAAATTACGATCATGCAATTATATCCCAATTTTTTAGAAATAATTCGCTAAAACATGAGGAATAAATTTTCTTCTTGTAGAGGTTCTTATTTATCTTGAATAGCTGAGATGCTTCAGGCGTAGTATATCAAAACATGGTATCCGGATAATAAAAATTTTATACAATATTTTTGTGTCCCCGTTCCCACTGGGATATCTCTATAATTTTTTCATTTAAAGTTACATTTTGAAAATCAAAATGGCACATCAAAAAAGAAAAAATTCTTTCTAATATAATTTTTTATATTACAAACATTAAATTTCACCTTAAAACATAACATATATCATATCGTCGGAGCTACTGCAATACCGCGCATCCCATTACAAAGGCAGAGGGCAAGCAAAAATTAGCAGTATATAGAACATTTATTATAAGTTTATATATATAAAAAAAAGAAGAATTAGGTAAAAGAATAAAATCTACAAAATAAAGTAAAGATATGTATACCATACACATAAGCATCAACAAGAGAAAAAGCTAGGATTAATTATGTTTCCAGGCAATGAGACCACTTGATTCAAAAAACAATCTCAATTGAACACACCAGTTCGACCTACAATCTGGAGAGGAATCCACTAAAGCTATTAATCTATCGAGACATAATCTGGCGAACCTAGAGTTCTCTATCTTCGAAATCTTAATGATCCAGTTGAGAAAACTTAAGACTCTGTGCTCAAGACGAAAGCCTCCTCGACTCAAATCTTAATGCTCAATTCGGCGTGTTCAAAGGTAACATCAGAATTTTCTTTACAAACGAGAGCTGAACTCTTTCAATTGAATCCAAGTGACCCAAACCCCAGACCTGGATGCCGTAAAATAGCGGACTCAAAGCCAAGCTTTCAAAAAGTTTATTATAAGATTTCCAAGATACATCACCAATTACCCGTGAGACCCTCAGAATACCACCCACTGAGTGTCGAGAAAGATTAATTAAACAAAAAGGAAGAAGCAAACAATAAAGTAAGTTAATGCAATTTATTCATTAGATAGTGCTCTAATACTTTGGTATGTAATTTGGTTTTTATATCGAGCGTTTATGTCTGTGTGCTAAAAAAAGCAAACCGACGCTAAACTTTCGTTCGGGTCACTTTATATCCTGCAGGTTGGGACACTTATAATTTAACAATTATGGTGCGTTCTGACATCGGAAATTCATTTTTTGACGTAGAAATGTGTGAAGAATGTCATTTTACAGTAGGCAAAATATATTCATGTTCAAAACACGTTCGTAAAACATTTTAAAAAGTCTCATTTTACATCTCCTTCGATTAATGTATTGTAAACGTCTCGTAAACTGAGAACGTTTTTAGAACTTAATACGTTTGTAATACTTTATGTTGACAGACAAACGTTTTAAGAATGTCTCTCGAAAGTGAATCTTTCCTTGTCCAATGAGTTTTATTGAAAAAATTATATATTCATAATTTTTTGTGATTTTTCTTGAATTTTTAGACCGACTTCGAGAAGAAAAAGGAAAACTAACCGCGAAAATCTTGATTTTCCAACGTATTACAAGTCATTAGGGATGTAATATGTGATCATGATTCAATTCAATCAGCGGGGCGCAACTATAACATTCAAAGGACGTCATTTACTAATAGCCTAATATTAATTTTTTATACGATTATTAAAATAAAAAATTGATAAAGAGTAATTTTTATATGAATATTATATTTCCTTTTCCCATTTTCAAGTGCATTTCAGCATTCTTCTTTAATTTACGGGACATTTTTAGTAATATTCCTTCATATCACATTGATTTGAACCGAGTATATGATTGCCCAGGCATAAAATGATAAATGTAAAAGAAAATCCTTTTGAGAAATACTATTTAAATTATTAAAATTTTGAATTAACGAAACTCTAACGAAATAACATGTGAGATACCATATAAAAATCTATGTATATAAAATATGTGATTGACTATAATATCCTATGTGAAATCTCACATATAATCCTATACTTTAAAATTTCAATACTGTGACAATTTTACATGTGCTTTATTATAGAATTCCATATGGATTCTTAGTTTGATTCTAGAAATTTATATGGGTTTTTATATAAGAACCGATGTAGCATCTCATGTGAGAATTTTTAATAGGGTGGTAAAATTACTTTTGCGTTTGCCCTAAAATATATATAGCAGTAAATACGAAATTCACGTACGGATCTACAACTTGGTCCAAAAATATGCCATTCTTTAAATCACGATTTTTCTGTAAAAACAAATCTCAGAAAATTAACAAATATACCATTCGAAAATGATATAAAATTATGGTACAAAATTTAAATGGTGTAAAATTTTACTTACAACTATAATCTATAAGTTAAATTTTTCAATATTATAAAACATGAAGATATAGATTACTCCGAGTCTTCGACTTGGAGTAATCACTTTCTTCAAGATTTTAATGTGTTATTTCTTTGAATTTCTTTGAGTTTCTTTCAAATAATGGAGTTTCTTTAATAATTTTATTTGGAAGTTTTGAAAGTAACTGAATTTTATATGAACAATTGCAAGTTTTTATAATAATCCTCTTTCTTAATAATTAAAATTAAACATTTAATTCTTCAACATTATTAAAATTTTAGAAAATAATTAGATTCTTTCGAAAAATGTTATTAGGAATTTTTTTTTTAAATTGAATTCTTTTATGAAATGTTATTAAAGTTGTATAAAAAATAATTTAATTTTTTCAAAGAATTTTATTATTTATAAAAAGTAAATTTTGTCTCGACAAAATGGAGTTGGAGGTTGCTAAGATGATGAAGTCTTGCGACATTCAGAGGAACGTCAATAGGACGGTAAAAGATGGACTCAAAGTCATCGAAGTCCTGCTGAAAGAGGCAAAAGTATGTCGGACTTCGATTTGACATGCGTTCTCAGCGGTGCGAAGTGTAACCGACAAGACCGTGAGGAAGAGAGAGAGAGCGTTCCTATATGCGAAATCTCGAAAGCGTCATAAGTGATGCTCAGAAACGAAAGAGAGAGGGTGACATTCTAGAGGAGACTCGAACCCAAATCGATAAGAGGAAAAAGCAGGAAGCTCCTCCAATGGAAACGGAAGTACCAGATCCAAAAATTCCTCAATTGGAAAGAATGAGGTCAAAAAAATCCGCAGTTCTAAACCGAGTCGGTCAAGGATTAACGTAAGCTGACATTCTGGGTAAACTTCGCAAAGATGTCAACCTGGACGACTGCCATACGAGAATAGTAGCAGCAAAAGCTACAAAGAAGGGAGACCTTCTGATTAAGATTAGAGGAGACCCCGACAAGGACGCTTTCACCGCTGAGGTCACCAAGGCGGTTGGAAGCATGGGTAAGTTGCAGTCGTTGGATCGAAGAGTTACACTCGAGATCCGTGATTTGGATTGCCTTACCCAAAAAGCCGAGGTGCAACAAGTGTTGTCTAAAGAGATGGGAAAGCCAGGAAGCAGGAGAGTGACGGTTTTAGGACCCAACCGCCGAGGGATGAAGCTCGCGGTTGTAGTCACCAACCCGGAAGAGGCGAACAGGCTGGAGAAATTGGGACACATAAAAATTGGTTTTATGTGTTGCCCAATTAAAAAAAGAGTAATGGTCGTCAGGTGTCATCGATGCTTGGAATACGGTCAAATTGGAGCGAAACGTCAGAAAAAGGACAGATTGGCTGCGTGATTTAAGTGCAGTGAAGCCTGTCACAGGTTCTCCAACTGTAAAAAGAGCCCAAGCTGCTTTTTGTGCAAGGAAAAGTTTGGCAATAAGGTGTCAACCACCCATATTGCAGGCAACGGAGGGTGCGGAGTCTTCAGGGCGGCCCTTGAGGAAGCGAAGAAGATTCTCACAAGAACTAAAAGTAAATAAGAAGTATTAAAAAAAGCGAATAATTTATTTTACTTATTTAAATTATTTTTTTGTGGTTTTTTACTGTCTTTTTACATTTTTATTTCTCTAACTTTTATATATTTGTTTATTTATTCTTTTATTTGATTTATTTGTAATAAATTTTTATTTTTAACTAGTTCTTTTACAATTTTACCTTTTGACCTTAAAAGGTTTAGTGGGTCGGGGCTGGCAGTAGGTTGCCAGTTTATTAGATTTATTATTTTATATTTTCTTTTTTATTCCACTAACCCCACATAACCTTGGAGTGCGGAGTCCAAGGTATCTGTAAGCAGATTTTCTAAAAGTCCCTAAGCAAAAAAAAAGTATAAGCTTATAAGCTTTCGAATGATATATTTGTTAATTTTTTTAGATTTGTTTTTACAGAAATATCGTGATTTAAGGATTGGTATGTTTTTGCACGAAGCGTAGATCCGCACTGTATTGCATTAGCTTCGACGATATATAAGAATTGCCTTACTTTAAAAGATTGTATTGTCCACAAATGTGTCCACTAGCACAGAAGAGCAGCAAATCAATGCATACAAAAGGCTCAATACAAAAATATCCACCAACAAACATATGTAAAGTTGTTAACGCATAATAATCAGACGCATTAAAGAAATAGTAGTTGGAATCAAGCACAAAGGTCTTTTCAACTGTTGCATTATTACTGTTAAGTATTTCTCTAATAATTATTTGAATCCATGCTTCGTTAAAATACATTACCAATACTACTCCCGTGTAACCTAAAAATAAATTTGTTACTAACTAGGGGAGAGTGGGGCAAAGGCGCTAGGTTTATATTTATCGATATATATTTTTTAAATTAAGCAATTAATTTATGCGGTCTTTGTTTTTCATTATTCTAAAACTAATCAACAAGAAATTTTAATAGTTGTTATTTAGTATATTAGAATTATAAATACATTATTTAATGAAATTTAAAAACAATTCAAAAAATGCCTTTGCCCCACACGCTGGGGCAGCGACGTTTTCGCTTATATTTCTAAAAGAAAGCATTTATAAGCCTTAAAAAAATTAACAAGTGATATTTATTAGTATAATATTTACGAAACATAAGGTTAACAACATATTATTAAAAGAATTAAACTATTTAAATAAAAAATAAAAACTTTTAGTGATTTTAACCTTATATTGTGAATTAATACATAGAAAATTCGAATATTCAATTGTTTTAAACCAACTTATGTTCAACATTGCCTTTGCCCCACATAACAAACTTTTTTTTACTTTAAATTTAAAATATTTAGATACAAAATTAAACTAAAACACCACGCCAGTTATGTAGAGAAATATTTAATTTATTTACATGTTACGTTTTTAAAAATTAAATACTTAAATTTATGTTTTAAAAAATAAAAGTTTGTTCAGTAAAATTATCATTTTATTTTTGCAAAACAATTTTTTTGTTATATTTCTTAAAATATTTGATATTTTTAGGTTTTTCTTTTTTTTATCAATTGATCTGATTCCATTGCAACTTAATTTTTAATACCAATTGAAATAGACAGAAAATAAAGGAGATATTAAACGAGATATTAAAAACGTTTTTAAAAAACGTCTTTGCCCCGCATAGCGCCTTTGCACCACTCTCCCCTACCTATATTTATTTTAATTTTTATAAATTTCAAATCAGGTTCTCTTATATATGAATGCATAATAATAAGTTACAATAAATTTTTAAAAGGAGATAGTAAAAGAAAATCTTATAATTATGGCCAGTTCAATTGTAGAAAGAAGAATATATGAAATTTTAAATTGGATTATTAGCCAAATTCTTTAAAACTGAAGTATACCCGTGTAGAAATTTAACCATGGCCCAAATCGGGGCCAGATCTTATGATCATTGTGTAGGCCATAACATGGAAATTTCTACACAGGTATTTTATTTTTGATAACGTAATTTAATATGGCCCCTATGGAAGAGTCAACGATTTTTAATCGTTTCAAAATACAATTTTTTTAATGCTAAATACTTAAATTCACTTCTACAGATAATCTAAATTTATGGAATTGTGTTATTGAACACACATAATTTGTTATAAACAAACATAGCTAAAAAAGTTCTATAGAATTTCACTAGAATCACTCTATAAGAATTCTAGTGAATATTCAATAGAATTTCACTAGAACAATTCTATAGAATTTCAACATGAATTCTACTATAAATTTTAGTGATTTTTAATAAGAAAGAATATAAATTTCGTGAAATAATTTTTTTAACATTATAATTTGATTAAAAAAGGACAAAAAGTTCGTAAATTGTCCGATATAATTTTGGAAAATTTTTAAGAAATTACAAATGATTGCAAAATTTAATTATTTTCAAAAGTAATAGCATTCTTAGCAGAAATTCAATTATGTTCAAAAAATTTTTTTAAATTCTCTTCAAAATTTCAATAATTTTTATAAATAATAAAATTCTTCTCCAAAATTCAATTATTTTCAAAAATTCTTTTAAAAAAATTAAATTATTTAGAGAAATAACAAAATTCTTCCAATGTATATTCAATTATTCTTATAAAGAGTAAATCGTTTGTTTTGGAATGATATAAACAAAGGTTGTAAAAAATTTTCTAGACATTGCAGCGAATTTTAAGGCTTTTAAGTACGTGAAATTTTAAAAGCTCCCATTACCCCACGCTCCACTACACAAAAAATAAAAAAGATATTTCAAAAATAATATTTGCCCATCTTTTACTACTTTTGACCCATTTCCCCCTAAATTTTTTATTAAAACCAGCCAATATCGTAGATTTTAACTTGTCCAAAATGTGAATCATCTTAAAATGCTATATGGGGCGTTCCATGGCTCTATGAACCGACGAAATTTTGGTTTTGCTTATACCCAAGCAGCACGGAATATAACCTTAAAATGAAGGGAATATTACATTTCATATTCGGAATATTCAAGGGATCTTAAAGTAATATTAAAATGTCCGCCCCACAGAAATATTCCAAAAATAACATTGAGGTAATGTTTCACGGTAATTTCGAAGTAATATTCCAGGATGATGTTGAGGCAATGTTCCACCGTAATATTAATGGAATATTCCAAGGTAATGTTGAATGAATATTAAGGAAATATTCCCAGAATATTCCCTGGAAATATTCCAAAATTTCATACTTTGAAAAAATTTGTCGTTTTTTCTCATTATCTTCTTTCTTTAGTAAAAACGATTTTCAATGGTATTTTCAACATATTTAATATTATCTGGGAACATTCCCTCAACATCACCCTGGAATATTCCATTAATATTACAGTGGAACATTCCTTCAACATCATCCTGGAATATTACTTCGATATAACCGTGCAACATTTCCTAAATGTTATCTTGGAATATTCCTGTGCAGCGGACATTTTAATATTACTTTAAGATCTCTGGAACATTCCACTGGAATATTCCGAATATGAAATGCAATATCCCCTTCAATTTAAGGTTATATTCCGTGATACTTGGGTACTTTGTAATTTGATAGTGTTTAGGGAATTCCCGGTCATTTTCCCGAATGCCTCTGTCCCGAATGACCAATTCCCCGAATGACCATTTTCCCAAATACTATTTTCCCGAATGCTATTTTCTCGAATCGAATTTCCCGAATGCCATTTTCCCGAAAGCCTATTTTTCCGAATACCTGTTTTCCAGAGTTTTAAATATTTGATAAACACCTTGTTCAAATAAATACCGTTTTGCGATACTAGTGGGAAAACATCATCCCGATTTGTACTCTCTACTGACAGAGGTACAAAAGAAGCAAGCCGATACTGAATGTGCTATTGTGGAGCTCAGTTTAGGCAGATAGAACACTACTGCGCATGCGTGACATTGATAGAACACTACTGCGCATGCGTAACATTGATAGAACACTACTGCGCATGCGTGACACTGATAGAACACTACTGCGCATGCGTGACACTGATAGAATACTACTTTGCATGTGTGACATTGATAGAATACTACTGTGCATGTGTGACATTGATAAAACACTACTGCGCATGCGTGACATTCATGGAATACTACTGCGCATGCGTGACAAGACATGTATGTGTTTTGTGTGTATGTGTAACATTCATGGGTATGTGTTTTTTTGGACATGTGTGAGTGAAGTATTTTCAAAGATAGTTAGACAGAATAGAAAGAGGTGTGAGTCGGTCGGTCGGTCGTTCTCTAACTTAATATAATAGAGTGGATTATTATTATTATTATTATTATTATTATTATTATTATTATTGATTTTTTATTTTTTTTTTATTATTATTATTCAAAATTACTAAAATTTAGTAGAATTCATGTAGAAATTATATAAAATCATTGCATTGTAGTGAAATTCTGTAGAATATTTTTTTTATTTAGAAATGCAATACTTATATGTAGATGATCGTCAAAATTCAAAAATCACTTACTTAAATACACAATTGATACAACTTGTGTTATTTTTACATATTTTATCATTATTTTAAAATATGTTTCCTTTTTTCTTGCAATTTCAAAATCTTCAAACAGTTTTATGTAAATGTCTTTCAGCTGAAAATAAAACTCAACAAAAGTGTACCTTATGACGAAAAATATTTTTTCTTTTATACTGTTAAAATATATAATTACTTGTGAAAAGGTGTATAATTGGTTGCCATATGTTATCCATATTAATACAGCAAGAAAACCAAAAGCAAGATTGTCAACAAGATAAGTAAAATCATTATAATTTTGACAAAGTTTTAATACCTGTCAAAAATGATTAATAAGTTTAATATGCGTATTAAATCTTATAATTGAATATTTATTTTTACGCACAATAGGTACTGTCCATGTAATATCTATCATTCCAATAAAAATTAATTGAAATAGAATAAATTTTGATGGCAAAAATGGCCAATAACCACAAGATAAAAGTGCCCATTTCATGTATTTAAGATAAGTTTCAAATGGTTCCATATTCATTGTTTTTTAGGGATCTTAAATTACTGGTTTGGAATAATAAATTTCTCGATTATCTTAATTCCAACAAACAATCAATAATTTTCTCAATTTTTAACACTCTTCCAATGCTAATTATACGTTATTGACACAATCTAAAAATTTTTGACTAAGAAAACTGTTTTAGTGCTTCTTCTTCTTCTTCTATAGTTCATATAATACATCGAATTCTTTTATATTATTATAAAATTTTATACATCTATTTTTATCATTTTTAGCGGAAAGTGTAATTTAACATGTTTTTTTATTCAGGTCGCGTGAAAATTCACTTTAATAGTTATCTTAATTTAATATTCAGATTTAAACGTTTCACACCTATACTTAAATAATTTTCACTTAAGAATTCGTTTTCAAAAGATATTAATAATAAATGTATAACTGAAATCGATTAATAATAGTTCTTTAACGGAGACATTTCTTTTTTCAATATTTCCTAAATATGAGGCACAAAAATATAAAAATTAATATCCTCATTTTTGTAAATAATAATAATATTATTTTTTCAAAGTTACCTATCACTTGGTCACTATATTTAATATATATATATAAGTGCTCAATAATTATCAATTAATCCAAATAAGGCAACAAAATAAAATAAAAATTCCATTTAACCTTTCGACAGCACTCTTCAGAAATTTAATTTAATAATATAGCTTTTTTTAATCATCAACGTAACTACTAGGGGAGACTGGGGCGAAAAGTTAAACTGACAAAACCGTTAAAATTCATTATCTTTCGAACGAAAATAGTTAGAGCATTGCAATTTTAATTATAGAAGGGTGTTATCACCCTAAATAAATGTCCGGAGTTGTGTGCAATTCTGTTCATTTTTGTGGTGTCAATATTAAAAGTTTTTTTTCAACCTACTTTTAAAAATTTTTTCGAAAAAGAAAATATCAACTTTTAAGTATAATATTTTTTGAATTTATTCTCATCGCTATTTTTTTAGATCCTTATTTGGGTCCCCTGAAGAGATACCTAAAGGTATTTGCCAAATATCTTTAGTCAGATTTTTTATATTTATTGTTAAAGCCAAAAACGCACCCTGAGGCGAAAAGTTAAATAATGGGTGGGGCGAAAAGTTAAATGTATTTTTACATGTTGTTAAAAATTTTTTTTTTATTTTTCGTTTTTTTGGGTTTATTTGTTTAAAAATGATTTATTTGACATTGGGCAAGTACTCTGTCAAAAAATAAACCGGTTAACGTGAAATAAACCAAAAAAATTTTTTTTTTTTTTTTTGAAATTTTAATTTTTTAACTTTACAACTATTCTAAAGCTTTTGTCAAATAAACAAAGATCTTTTATTTACTAAATTACTTGTTTACGTATACTTTAACTTATCTACTACTTATCACCTATCAGAAAATAGTTTTAGTAGGCTAAAAATAGAATTTAACTTTTCGCCCCAGCCATTTAACTTTTCGTCCCAGGGTGGGGCGAAAAGTTAAAAAAAACAAAATTTTCAAAAAAGGACAAAACATGTATTTTTTGCGAAAATATCAGGAACTTTTTTATTGAAAGTTGTAGAGGACAAGTTACCCTACAATATTGATATACAAATATTTGCATCTAAGCTGCTTATATTGCCAAAAAAAAATCATTTATGCAAAATTTAACTTTTCGCCCCAGTCTCCCCTATATATATAAAATAAAAAATTACATAGAACTATTATAATTATTATAAACAATAGGTAGAATATTGTTAAAAAAATAGCAAAATTTAATTTTTCAAAATTTGCTCAAATTCGTTTAAAACTTCTTACTCAGGAATTTTCGGGGTCGCTGATTACGAATCTAAAGTCAAATCTTCAAAATTTTCAAAATTCAAGTTGATGGACATTTTCTTTCAAATTTGCTCATATTCGCTTGAAACTTGTTACACGGGGTTTTTCAGGGTTGCCATTTCGAATTTTAAAAATCTGACTTTAGATTCGTAATCAACGACCCTGAAAACCACCGAGTAACAAATTTTATGCAAATTTGAGCAATTTTGAAAAAATATCCACCATATTTCATCCGCCATTTTGAATTTTGAAAATTTCAAAAATCTCACATAAGATTCGTAATCAGGGACCCCAAAAACCCCTCGAGTAGCAAGTTTCAATAAAATCCACTGGCTGTGTTTGCCGTTGTCATGAAAGGGTTAATATTAATTATTTAATTTAATAATTTAATAATTAAAAAAATATATTACAAATTAAATGAATTTTAATTTTCAGGAGGCATGTGAAACAAAAAAGATGGTGAAATTAATTTCTGAAGTCTCTGGAGATGAGTTTATAACTGATGGATCTACAGAGTAACATTATTGGTATGTACTCGTATGATAATTGATTCGAAATGTGGTCAAACTTACCGTTGGTAAAAGAAGCTTTAAAAAATAAATTTTTTGTGGATGAATTTATTGCATTTTAATAAAAATTGTCATTTTCATTTCCAAGTTCTTGACAAAAAAAAATAATTTAGTTTTATATTAATTATTTAGAATTTTATAATTCCGTAAAAATTATTATAAACAAAGAATCAAATTGGAATAATACTGATGTTAACAGGCATTAAAAGATAAATATTTTGAATGGACTTAATTTTTAATATTAAAAAGAAACATTAAGGCCATACATAAGTAAATAATTTACTACTTTATTGAAAAATAATTTTAATTATTTATTTTGAATTTTTAAATTAAATAATAAATAACAGTTTTTGTGCCTCAAATTCAATGTGTTATTATTTTTGTTATACATTCTCATAGTTTATAACAAAAATAAATTTCGTTACCGTCAAAACATAAGGAGACTACTGTTGATAATGTCGGGCACTTTATTTAAATTTTAAACAAGTATTCATTTTTATAATTATATAAATGAATATTAGTCGAAAATTTCTAAATAAAGGGAACAATTTGCAATAATATTTTTTTTTTTTTTTAAATATTCATATTCCTTGTGTTCCTTGTGAATTGTAGAAAGTTGTCACTTGTCATTTGATCAGCTGTTTGAACTTTCAAAAACGACTGTTATACGGCGCCACTTTACAATCGTTGTTGCAGACAAAAAAAAAATCAGTAAAAGTCTCATTATGTATCGTGAAAAGAAAAATATTGACAATAAAATTAATATTTTAAATTTCTTTTTTCTAATAATTTCGTCAATTTAAATAGTGTTCATGTGCTTCTTGTGAATTTATGAATTCAATCAATACATCTATTTTTTCTTGGTTACTTTCTATATCTAATCAAGTGACGCCTCCACACTTTAAACCAAGCTTGTTTTTATTTATTATATTTCTTGTGTACAAATCATTTTCATATCATGAATAACACAAATTTTCTTTGTACATTTTAGTTTTTAATTTCAATGTAGAAACAAATAATTTGAAATTACATTAAAAAAATTAATTTCTTTTCGACGATAAGGTAAATTTAAATTTAATTTATAAAACACTTCGTTCCCCTTCCTATAAATTCAATAATTTGTTTAAATAAAATTTGAAACTGTCAAAATTGTTTTCAAAACAAAATGAATCCTGCAAATCAAAATTTAGTGAATCCTGTTGGTGATGGAGGAGAAAATAAGGGCAGGTAATGAAAATATTTTTATTATTTTTTATATAACAACCAATAATAATAATTGTTAATTAATTATTATCTTTAAAAATAAAATTTCGTTTGTTTAGTAATTATTTGTATACGCATTTAAATGCACTTCAAATTTTATATAAAGTTATATGGAAAAATTTTGAAAATAGAATTAATTTTTCATTTATATTTATTTATTTTTTATTTTAAATTTAATTTGAAAATTTAATTTGAATTTGAATAATGTATATCGATAGTCAGAAGGAAATATTCTTTCTTTTTTGAAATTGGGAAAAAAATTTTAATCTTTATCGTGTAAAAAAAATCTAAAAGCAAGGTGAGACAAGAAGCTTATGTCAGTTTGTATATAATAACCTTGTTTGAATGGCCTCCAATGGTAATAGAATACACTACAACTTAAATATTGTAAATTTCCTTAAGCGTCATGTAAATATAGCTTTATTTCTTCAAATTAACAATAAACATTGATTTTTGTGTTTAATTTTATTATAATTTATTTTTGTACAATAAATTACATTTTTTATAATTTATCTTTTATATATAATATATATATAAATATAATTCATTATGATTATATATTTTAATTATTGTGTTTATTTATATTATTCATATTATACAATAATTTAATATCTTTTTAACAAAACATTTTTTGTAGTTGCCTATTGTTGCGCTATGCCAGTCAAAATTCTCTGGACGAAAGTTCACAAAAGCATGTGCCACGTGAAAATGGCAAGGATAAACCACCGTATAGGAATCATCATCATACGGATCGAGCCTTTGAGGTTATGGATGCTATGCGCAAGTAAGATCAATTAACATAGATTCTCTTTCCTCTGGGACTTTACTATTTGCAGAATATCTGTATTCTTGTGAAAAGTGGAAAAAATCATCAATTATTGAATATAATTCAATCAGTTATATTTCCTCTTCAAGTAAATCATTACCACCCCCATACAGGCACACAATATAAATAATAAAAACAGATTGTCCTTTTGTTATAAAAAGAAAAAGAAGAAGAGGAGTAAAAAGTATTTAACAACAGACAACAGAACCTGTCCTTCCTTGCCTGGAATCGATTAGCACAATTTTTCACAATTGAATTTGAAAAAAAAACAATAGGTCGGATCTAAGAACCGAGGCTTCGCTATGTTCTGTGCGTTTACAAGCGTCGGTTCTTCGATCCGAGCGCTCAATTATATTTACAGTTGTATTTACGGTCTTTTTTTTAGCAAGGTTGATTTAAAAATAACAATAAACTTTCCATTTTAGACAAAATCTACTTTGCGATGTAATACTAATAGCAGATAGTGGAATTGAAGTACCAGCTCATAAAATGATCTTAGCTGCATGTAGCCCATATTTTTACGCAATGTTCACAAGTTTCGAGGAACGCGATCAGGATAAAATTACTCTTCAAGGAGTCGATCACTCGGCTTTGGAATTACTTGTTGAATATGTTTACTCTTCTGAAGTTTACGTCACTGAAGATAATGTTCAAGTATTATTACCTGCTGCCAATTTACTTCAGTTGACGGACGTTCGTGATGCGTGTTGCGATTTTTTACAAGCACAACTACATCCATCGAATTGTTTAGGAATAAGAGCATTTGCAGATCTTCATGGTTGTTTGGAATTACTTACTCACGCCGATAGTTATATTGAACAAAATTTCTCGTAAGAATATAATAAAATTGTTAGATTTAAATGCATAATTTTAGTTAGAATTGGATGAAATTTGAATTTTTTTTTTTACAGAGAAGTTGTGGAAGGTGAGGAATTTTTGACTTTGACGTCACTTCAAGTAGGAAAATTGATTTGCAGTGATCGATTGACTGTTAATTCAGAGGAAAAGGTATTTGAATGCGTTATTTCTTGGGTACATCATGAACTTGAGAAACGTCAACATGTTCTTGCTGAATTAATGGAACATGTGCGATTACCACTTTTATCGCAAGAATATTTAGTACAACGAGTCGAAGAGGAACCACTTTTGAAGAGTAATTCACAATGTAAGATTATTTCGATAATAATTTGTTGGGATTTTATAAAATTGTAATTAAATAATACATTTTAATGTAGGTAAAGATTTTCTAATAGAAGCCTTGAAGTATCATCTATTAAAAGGAGAACAAAAATCTCTCTTTAAAACACCGAGAACGAAACCTAGACAACCGCGGGGTTTGCCGAAAGTTTTACTTGTTGTTGGGGGTCAAGCTCCAAAAGCAATCCGAAGCGTTGAATGTTATGATTTTAAAAAAGAAAGGTGGTACCAGGTTTCTGAACTTCCGACACGAAGATGTAGAGCTGGTAATCTTAATTTTCTTGCACACTTTTGGGAATTGTTATAGAAAATTTTATTTGGATTTCCCGTTTTTACAAACAGGTTTATCAGTACTTGGTGATCGGGTATATGCTGTTGGGGGTTTTAATGGATCTTTGCGAGTTCGAACGGTGGACGTTTATGATGCATCTGCTGATAATTGGCAAGCATGTCCTGGAATGGAAGCAAGACGATCAACTCTAGGTGTTGCTGTTCTTGGAAATTGTATTTATGCAGTAGGTATTTTTTTAGGAAATGTTCTTTTCAAAAAGTTTATGGATAATTTGTATAATATTTGTCAGGTTGGTGGCTTCGACGGCTCAACAGGTTTAAATTCAGCTGAAGTTTATGATCCCAGGTCACATGAATGGAGAATGATTGCGCCAATGTCAACACGACGAAGTAGTGTTGGAGTTGGTGTAGTTAAAGGAATGTTGTATGCTGTAAGTATTAGGAACCTTGTTTACTGCTTTACTATAATTAAAACTAGTTTATCCTTTAAGTCTTTTAGACTGGAATCTGTCTTGCAAAAACTATTCAATTGAGGGCTCGGATCGAAGAACCGACGCTTGTAAACGAAGCGTCGGTTCTTTGATCCGAGCCCTCAATTGTGAGTTCGTTGTTACTTCAGATTAATTTGCTTCTTGTAAATCAGCTACAGCTCCTAAACAGAGAAGAGTTTACCTTTTCTCACATGAATTGAAGCTGTTTCTTGTAAATCATCTTTTCTTTAAATGTTGGATTAGATCTTTTAAATTGTCAAATTATCAAATGTGGAAAATTTATTTTTAAAAAGGTGGGAGGTTATGACGGTGCATCACGACAATGTTTATCTAGCGTTGAGTGTTACAATCCAGAGAAGGATCAATGGAAACCTGTACCCTCAATGTCTGCGAGAAGAAGTGGTGCTGGAGTAGGAGTTCTTGATGGGATTCTATACGCAGTCGGTGGTCACGATGGACCTCTAGTTAGAAAAAGTGTTGAGGCTTACAATCCGGAGAGCAATCAATGGACACCGGTTAGTGACATGGCACTTTGTCGACGAAATGCAGGTAAATGCTGTTAATTTTTGCTGACCTACAAAAACGACTATCGCAAACAATTATTTCTTCATCTTCTGGTTCTTTATTAAATCTGATATTCACTTACAGGTGTTGTAGCACTCAATGGATTGCTATATGTGGTTGGTGGAGATGACGGATCTTCCAATTTGGCCTCTGTAGAAGTTTATTCACCCAGAACTGATACTTGGATAACACTGCCAACATGCATGAGTATTGGTCGTAGTTATGCAGGAGTAGCGATAATCGACAAATCAATGGCCTCGGCATCGACCATGTGAGGACTGCAGACCGCTGGGCATTCATTAGATCAAAATATCGAACAAGATGCTGAAACATCAGAACCACAAAGGGAAGCCGGGCCCAGCGGTGTTAGTGTCCATAATCCGGATCAGAATATTAGAGCTGCGAGTCATGATTGTGAGGGTCCACGATGTCTCTGTCACAGATACGAAAACGGAGAGTTAGCCGTTGTTGTGATGAATCAAAATCGTAACGCCTCCAATCAGGAGAGAAACGAAGCCTATCAAAACATAGGTCGAGGAAATCGTTGCTTCCAAAATCGTCAAAACAATAATCAAAATCAACCGAATCTCAATCCAAATTATCAAAATCCTGTTGATTTGGTTCGCCATCAAAGGTATAGGCAACAACAGGAGCCAGAGGAGAATATTTATGAAAGACTTGACAATGACGAAGATGATATCGAGGACGTTGAAGTATTTCGAAATGAAAATATCGTAAGTGTACAAAATGCCGTCGATAATCATACTTACGAAAGAATTGATAATCGTTCAGCCAATCGAACAGGACTGCAAAATCGAAATAATTTTTATATAGCCAATAACCTGCCTGGACACAATGTCCTCAACGAATTTGATGCTAGAAATTTTGTCCACTATGATCAACCTAGAAATTTATATCTCGAATCGATGCGTAACATAAGAAGCCACTTCTGTCCTTATCAAATTGGAAGACTTGGTAGAAATTGTTTCTCAACTGAGAATATCGCCTACGCCTCATATAGAAGATACATTTATCAAGGGAGTCGTAATTGCTCGTGTCAAGTATGCCGACATTTGTGTCATCAGTGCTTTAATATTCAAGATCGATTGCGTTATCAAGATCCAGGAAATGTATCAGACTTTGGCAATTCAAGAAATTATATTTATCAAGTTGCACGAAGTTGCAAATGCTCATTTTGCAGAGGTGAATTCCCTTATTCAAGATTCCCTATAAATTCTAATCGTCTCGCGGAATCTCTCCGTCGGGATTGTCAATGCAGAGATCCAGGAAGTTGTCCACGTTGTCTTTCATTAAACTCCACTATTTATATTGGACGATATGATCAATCAGTGAATAATCCAATTTATGGAAATCCAACAATTTACGTTGGGAGAATTGATAGATCCTACGGCTCGGGATTAAATAGTTTAATGACTGGAGGGGTATCCCTAAATGTCGACACATCATCAAATTCAAGTTCAATTTCAAATCCAGTTGCTGGAAATTCATCATCAAACGATCAAGATTCTTCAACAATAAGAAGTACAGCCAGTTCAAATGCTCCCTCAACCTCTTCAACTTCCATTTATCCTGTGAATAATGCTGTGAATCGACATCACACTTGTGATGATTCTTGTATCAGGAATCAAGGGAATTTAAACTCTGGGGTTTGTCAATTTTTAGGACGTTGCGAAAGATCTGAATGCCAACATGCAGGAAGACTCTCACTGCATTGGTGGTTTGTTAATAAATGGTTACCTTCTTGGGTAACACAAAATGCTGACAGAAATAATACCGCACCTAATTCCGAAGCAAATCCCAAAATTGAAGAACCTCCTGAACAAGATAGTGATAATGAGGATCCTTAAATGTAAGTCTTTAGCGAACTGTTATTGTTAAGTATAATTTTATGACATTGTGGAAAAAATGAGTCAGAAATTATTATCTACATTTCCTTATAAAAAAATTAAATTTTTATAAGTAAAAAAATTTAAGGAAGAAAATTTAAAAAATTATCTCTCTTTAAGGAGCGATAAATATAATTGAAAAAGTATCATTGCCTCCTGAAAGTTTTAGATTATGTAAGATATTAAAACTCCTTAAAGTAAACAAAAAGAATTTTCTTCTTTTCAAAAAATGTCTAAAGTGCTGAAGTAATGTATTTCCATTATAAGGTTATGTCATTAAACAAACAGCGCATTTACATTATTCGTAAAAATCGAAATTTAAAAATTTGCTTAAAGTACTGAAAATATTTTCAAAAAATAATTAAATTTACTCAAATCTAAGGATTACGAGTCCAATTTCAATAACCTCAAGGCACCAAAAGGAAAGTCTCTTATTGAAAAGCAGCGCGCGCAACATCAATCAGCTGTTCAACAAAAGTACCAATTTTTCTATAAATAGCGCTGTCTGTCTAACGCATAACCTTAAAAAAACTATACTCGATAATTTTTAATCAAATCGCAATTAACAATTTAAAAAAAATTATAAATTTTCAAATACTCTTCGATATGTGCCATTGACGCAAAATTCCACTAAATATACTTAAAAAGCCTGTCGAATAAGTTCGGCAAAATTCTCATACAAGAATTTGCAAAATATTTTTGCAAGGAAAAAAAAATTGTGACAAATTATTTTTTTATATTTAAATTTATTTTTTTATTAAATAATCTAAAATATTATTATTTAAACCCAATTATTATTCCTTTTCACAACAAATATAATCTTTAAAAAATATCCTTAATGTAAGAATTATAACAAATTTCAATAATTGAAAAACAAAATAAAATATTAATAAATAAATTGTATAAGAAAATATATTGTCTCAAAAATAAACTACCAAAGAAATTTTGTTTTTAAAAAAAATTAAATTACTAAAATATTTAATGGAATAAAAATACATTTTCTTTTCTTAAGAATCTTATGGTATTTATTTTTGAATTTTATTAAATTAATTATAAAATTATCCTCGTTTGGCAAAAAAAAAAAAAATTGTATATTATAAAAATAAAAATTTTTCAAAGGAATATTAATCAAATGCCAAGGGAGGAGACAATGCAAAAAAGGCAGCTATAGTTAATATAATTATGTACTTCCATTGACAATTTTTTAACTTTAGAATTTTTATTCCTATCTCTATAATATGTGATTTTCATTAAATATTGTGTTTTTAACTTATCGAAAATATATATTTTATTTTAAAGAAAAATTAATTCTATAATGAAAACATTTTATATCAAAAATTTATATTTTACAAATTGTCACGAGAAAGTTAAAAAATTCATTCTTTTTCTATTTTCTTCTACAATAAAATTTAAAAAAAAATTTTTTTAAACGTTCAAAAAATTTTTTTTTTAATAAAAAAAGCATTCATTTAATTGAAGTTTAATTTTTTTATGATTCAAAGTTAAAAACACAATTTTAACAAATTTTATTCAAAGTTTTACTGTTAGTTATATTATTATAATAAAACCTATTTCACAATATATATGCTCAATATTTTAATTAGTTAAGAAACGAATTCAAGTTTTCATATAAGTATATAGATATATATATATATATATATATATATATATATATATATATATTTCGACTGATATTATTAAATACTAGTAGATCTCAATGGATTAAAATTAATTTTATTTTTTTAATTCAAAAACCCGTTTTTTGTAATCTAAAAAAATTTCTCTGTTTTTGTTACATAAACAATGATGAAAAATGTTTTTTAAAAATATATTATACTTTTTCTAACAAATGGAATGAAACATTTATTGGAAGTAATTAAATCATTGTGAACTATTCAGAGTAATAATGTAATTTATGGCCCTTAAACATTATATACCTCCTAAAAAAAATAGTATTTAGAATCTCATTGTTAATACAATAATATAGTGCTAGAATCGTTTAGTAAAATATAATGATTCGTGTTTATTTGTCAATAAGAAAAAAAAATTCTTCCCGGAAAATTTAAATACTCAGAAAAATAAATCGGTTCTCGCGTGAGATGAGAAAGTATTATAAATGTATTATGAATGTTAAACATGAATTATTAATTTCTTTATCTTAAATATCCTAGGATATTCTGTGAACGTTTTGAGTATATCCTGCATTTATTTAGGATATCCTGAGGATATTCTTTTGTTGTGAGGAAACTGAATGAATAATTAATAACAATGGCAATTGTCGAAATTGTTAAATAAAAATATTCAAGCGTGAAATAATTTTCTACATTAGAAAAAAGAATAAAAATTATTTATTTTATACGTATTCATAAAATTTATGAAAAAATTTAAAATAGAATGAAATTTAAAAAATAAAATTACTAGAAAATTGATTTTCCGTATTGAAGTAAATTTTTATTTATCTACAATGTTAATATTAAATTTCGACTAAAGAAATAAATACAAATACAAAATTAAATAATTTTCTTTCGAATAAAATCAAAAAATTATCTTTTTATTAAATATAAGTTTATTACTTACAGTTATTATATTGTACATCATGTTACTTTATAATTTACTTTGTATGCAAATAACATGAAAAAGTACAAAATATTTTCACTGATTTAGAATTTTATATATAATTAATGGCATGATTATTATACACTACAATAAAATTATTATTACATAAATATAAAAAAAAATGGATCAGAACTTTTGTAAGCAGCACTAGATACCAATAATTAATCAGCGGCTTTAAATGTGCAATTTCATTAAGATAATAAATAATTTGGACAAACTAATGAGATGAATGTAAAGATCAATTTGAAGCATAAAAAAGTAACATATCTGTCAATTATTTTCCATTCTTTTTTTTCGTTATTATTTATGCACTAATGAATATAGATAGTTTTTTCTCTATAACGAATAATTATGAATGTTTGATTTTCTGTAATGAATATGAAAGATGAAAGAACGAATAAAATTCATTTTTTCTATTAATTTTGCATTTGTAACATTTTTTAAAACCAAAAACATATATAAAAAAGAAATTAAAATCTGTATTTAAAAAAACGTAATAATTTATTTATTTATTTAACAAGTATACGGGACAAGCCCTTTCGTACATAGTACTCTTGCAATCTAAAAGTTGCAACCGCAACTTATGTTATACAATATTAACTGTGTAATCTACGCTAGGTAGTTTTAACTCAAAAGTCTAAAATAAACCTACGCAATGAAGAGGTGAATCTTAAGAAGTTACAATTAAAAAAGTCAATAATATTTGACATCGAATTAGCCTCTCTACTTAATCTTGTTACAAAAGAGTGATATCCGTAGTTTGTTCGATGAAAGGACTACAAAAAGCAGTGTATAATTTCTAGTTGCCTTTATAGGGACAGACATATTAAATAATTATAATAAATTTGAACAATTATTTATACCATTTATAATCTTATAAAAAAAAGTCAAGTCATTAAGAAGAAATCTGGATGCAATTAGTGGAGTATTAAATGATAATCTCAATGTACTGTAGTCATGGGAGTATCTGTCAAATTGTACATTAAATTGTCTCGCTACAAAACAAAGAAATCTATTTTGAATTCTTTCAATTCTAATTGTGTTAAAATCATAAAACGGCACCCATATTACAGAAGCATAATCCAGCAGCGATCTTACCAAAGAGAAGTAAAGAATTCTTAGTGTATTAATATTATGAAACATTGATGCATTTCTAATTATGGAACCAAGAGCTTTTAAGGCTTTTAAAATTACTTCAGATGTATGTCTATTAAATGAAAGGTCACTGCAAAAAAGCAATCCCAAGTCCCGAATACAAGTAACCCTTGTCAATTCTTCTTGACCAACAGTGTAACAATAAATCAAAGTACTTTTTTTGAAAATGAAAATGACGTAACTTTTTTTTACATTTATAGACATTTGATTACTGTCACACCATTGAATAACTCGGTCAAAATCAGCTTGAATATTTTGTGGACTTGAACCAACAACATTATAAAGTTTAAGATCGTCAGCGTAAAGTAAAAAATCAGAATTTTTAAAAATAATTTTAATGTCATTGATATAAAGAACAAACAAGAGCGGTCTAAGATTCGAGCCTTGTGGAACACCAGAAACTGCTAAAAATGCTTCTGAGTACTCATTTATAAACTTAACCATTTGAAATCTTCCTGATAAATAACTTTCCAAAAATAAAATTATATTTGAAGATAATCCCATTCTACGGAATTTCTTAATAAGAATAATATGATTAACTTTATCCAAGGCCTTTGTAAAATCAGCGTATATTGGATTCACCTGATGTCCATTTTCTTAATTTGTTTCCAGAAAATTTGTGAAAATACTTAGGTTAGTAATCTTAGAGCGACCACGAACAAAGCCATGTTGCTCATCAATTATAATATTAGAAACCGCAAGATACAATGACTCACAAATAAGACCTTCAAATATTTTTGATATTGAATTAAGTAAAGTTATTGGCCTGTAGTTTTCAATATGGTTTTTATTGCCATCTCTAAATATCGGAGATATAAATCCCTTTTTCCATTCATTAGGAAATTTATTTGACTCTAATGATTTAATAAACAAGATAAACAGTGGTTCAACAAACGCGAAACCACATGAACGAATTAATGATGGAGGGATTTTATCTGGACCTGCTCCTTTATTTTGCATCCAAATCTCTTATTTTAACAAAAATGTCATTTCTCGATATCTGAATAGAATGAAGATTCACCTCGCTATGTTCATCAAATGTAACATTATTAGGTTGCAAGGTATAGAAGTATTATAAACTGATTGGAAATATTTTGCAAAAAGATTAGCAATTTCGACAGAAGATTTACTACTTTCATTTTTTAAATACATTATGTCTGGCAAAGAATGACATTGTCTATATTCAACTTTATGAATTTCCAAAAATATTTTCTAAATGAATTTTCCAAAAAAATAATGAATATTCTTTAATTAAGTCCCCAGCTGAAAAAGTTCTTTAGAATTTTACTAGTATCATTCTATATGAATTGTAGTGAATATTCTACAGAATTTCACTACAATGATTCTATAGAATTTCTAAATGAATTCTACTAAATTTTAGTAATTTTTAATTAGATAGAATTTAAATTCGTGAAATAATATTTTTCAACTTTATATTATTGTTTAATTAAATTTTACATTTGATTACTAACAAAAATATAAGCAGTCCAAGTCAAATTAGAGGTAATTGGAGTAAATAATCCCTAGTGGTCGGAAACACTCGATGAATTTTAGGTTGTAAGGACAACAGAATCATTGGATGGATAAATTTCTCAACACTTATTATTTTGATGTTTGGATTTAGCAGAATGCTGAATAAAACAATTGTCAACTATTCGTTGAGTTGTGTCATATCTATTACTTACTTAGTTAACAATTTTTTGATTTACAAACAGAACATAAATTCACAACAACATTGCCTCCGTATTCTAATGCTGCAGTAATATTGCAGAATCACACAACATTGGTAAAGTTGCTGCAATAGACCATTGAGTTGATCATCATTTTCATGTTCTTGTCTAAAATATTTTTCTTAAAATATAGTGTAAATTTCTGTACGAACATAAGAAAGGTAGACTTAAAAATATTCATTGGGCTGTGGTTTCAAATATTCGAGATGATCGTTCGAAAAACAAAGACGATAACGAACGAAATTGCTCGAAAACAATGAAATTTTCGGATTGAAATGAAACACTAATTAATTATGTTATCTGCGAATAGTCCAGAAATTGGTGAACCCATTAATTTCTGTATAGGTGCCGTATATTTGTTTATAGAACTTGTTATTAAAAGGGTTATGACACTCTAGGATTTTCAAAAAATCGATTTTTTTTGCTTTAAATGGTCCCTTGGAGTCTCAAATGTAACATATTGAAAGATTATGGACGTAAGAAATTCCAAAATAGCTTATTTTCAAAGTTTCGTGCAGGGCTTTACAGCGCGCGGTGAGCCCTGTACTGCGCGGGGGAGGGATACTTGAAGGGTCTACGAAGGTATACAGCAGATGTATTTAAAATTGTTAGTGACTAGAGTGTATTCAAGTAAGATAAGAGTAAGATAAGGACCTTAATCAGGAAGGACAATTATATGGTGCAGGCATTGCAGATTTAAGGTATTTAAAAATTATGTATGCTTTTTTACAATTTCAAACTTTAAACGCGATTATCTCAAAACTAAATTTTTCAAACTGGCCGCACCAATAATTTTTACAATTTTCAACCGATTAAGTTCAAATTTTGCACACATCTTTAATAATATATTGTCTAAAGGAAAGCGTAGGATTTTTTTTATTGCATACATCATTTGCTATTAACAATTTACTGACCAATTTTTTGGCAAATTTTCATAACTAAAATTTAGAAGTATACGCCAATCGGCCAAAAATTAATATATCCAAAAAATCCAACGCTTTCCTTTAGCTACTGTAATAAGGAATAAGAAACGATTTTGATAATTATGCTATTTCAAAATTTACAGGAACGGATGGTGTGGCCGCGGACCCTTCACGCCAAAAACCAGATTAGAAAAATCAGCGTCAGCGCCACAAATTTCAATAAAATTTTATAATATTTATATTTTTTACACTTTAATAAATGTACAATAAAGTCTGCAGATCATAATTGTGATTGCCTTCGTAGTTTGCTTTAAAAAAATTTTTAAAAAACACCTATTTTTTCGACCTCTAGAGTGTCATAACCCCTCCCAAGTAGCACGTAATATTGGGATCATTCTAGCAATATGCCACAACATTGAGGCAATATTGGTAATGTTAAGGCAATATTCCCATTGTCGCTGTAATATTACGTGCTACTGGGGCTTAAATTAAAAGAAAGTTTTTTCAAAAAGTAATTGACAAGATTCAAGTAAGTCATCTAATGAAATATTTAAGTGTTGAGTAATTGTTGTATATCATTTGATATACAATACCATCATGATTTTAAAGAAACAATTTTGAATCATTAAGCATTTTAGAAAAAATTGCATGTTTTAAATTATTGTATCGAGGTATATATGGTGTTCAGAAGATCGCAGGTTAGTGACAATTTATTATCATAAGTAATAATACAATAAGGTAAGAAATAAGACAGAATTGCTAGAACGTTTTGCAGCTCTTGTCCAATATTTTCGACGTGAATTTCGTGTTTTACGCTCACAGTTAAAAAGACATTTCCTATTCACGTCATTTCCACTCCCGAGAAAATCTCTACAGGCATAAAAAAATAATCTAAATCCCCACAAGTGTGTTCAGCTTATAATAATTTTCCCAGCAGCAAATCATAAAAATCTATTTTAAATTTTTTCAATTCTTTTAAATTGTTCTTCATAGCAAGGTGCACAAACATTGAATGGTATTGTTAATAAATAAAGAACCAAACGTAAGTGAATTACAACTACATTGTTTATCTTTAAATTTCATAAATAGATCTCTTTCAAATTTGATATTATTGAAAAAATTTTTTCTTCAACGCGGAAGTAATATGTCATCAATAAAAAAATTGGATACCCAAAAAATTAAATTCCTTTTTCCACAAAATTAAGTAATTTGGTTGTTTTACAAAAAAAAGGTAGGAAATAAATAAAAAATAAAGACGAAGAAAAATATAAGGTAAGGTTTACGCGATCCGGTTATTACAACTGCGAAATAATCCAAGTGAAAGTAACAATTACACATTTACGATTCAAAGGTGGGATTCCAACCACTTTTGACTCAAAGCAGTAAAACAGTCATTGCAGTTTCTTTCAAGTTGTTCTGTTACGAACACGTTCACAGAATTTTCAGTTGAGGGTAACAAATAATTTTCTCTCTCATATGATCACGCAATGAACTGTAGAAAATTTTTTTTATTAAATATCAAAAGTATATTTTAATACTTTGTTTTAGAAAGAAGCTTTGTTTCAAATTATTTCTATTCGTTAATTAAATTTTTGTATTGAATAAAATTATTCCTTGATGTAGAATAATTTAAATAAAAATTCAGTCATATTTATAGTTAATAAAGTTTCTTTTTTTTTTAATATTTCTGTAACATTGTGTTAAATTTTGTTTTTTAATTCTAGTAAAGTTTCAGTGTTAGGTTTGGGAAGAAAATTTAATGAAAATTGGCTTTACAGAGAAAAGGCAAAGGGTTAAATTGAGAGAGATGGGTAGTGGAAAACAGTTAGCAATTTTGCTGTCGACTATTGTCGCCTCGTTAACGTTTGCTGAGGGATTTCCGGATGGAGCACCAGTAGACGCTTGTGTGAAGCCACGACCCAATCAGCCTTATCACGGTCAAGCTAAACCACAACCTTTGGCAACCAACCCTTATGCTGTTATTGCCTCTGCCGAACAATTTCAGCCCGGTGCACAAATAACGGGTATGTACCCACGCGACACTAATAAAATTGAATATTTACAAAAACACTTACCATTAATTTTCGTTTTGCATTTTTGCTTTTTACAAAAAAATTTTTTGTTCTTTAGGACCTTTAATTTTAAATATAGAGTGTGTCCAGTTGTGAGACACCTCCATGCACCGAAAGAAAAATATTCTTAATTTAAGAATATGTACTTGTTTTTATATATTTGTTTTTGTTAAATACCAACTGTGATAATCAACTAATAAAAGCGTTTTTTCAATAAATGCAAAGTACTTTTTTTCCTAGTTAATTAATTGAAAAAGGTAAATGTAATGCATTTTCTTTTAGTATTTTCCTTATATATTTTGTGATGCAATATTGCATTGTTCCAATTGTTTTATTAATTTAGAATTATTTCTCATAACAATATGACCCACGCAATTAATTTTTGAATGCAAACTAAACTTTATGTTACTATCGCAAAAAAAAAAGAATTATGAAATTCAATTTTTTCTGCACTGATTTTTTTGTAATTGTGTACAAAAAAAAAATTTTTTTTTTCTGACGCCCAGCAGTAAATTTACATATGAAATTTATTCATCAATTTATATATTCGTATATATTCACAAATCTCTGTCGATCAACGAAATTGATTTCAATATTTAATGGTAATAAGTTACATAATTCTTTTTGATGTAATAAACTTGAAAAAAAACGAGTTCGATGAATGAAACAACTTGAAAATTATTTAGACTTATTTATTTATTTAAATTTGATTTATTTAATTTATTTAGATTTGAAAATAATTCCTATATTGAAAATGCACAAAAATTATTTTCCGAGTTTCTTCTATTTCCTAATTTAATCGAAAATAACTATTCTATCTCCAAATTATAAATATTTCTTTCAATTCGAAAGGATAATTTGATATATTTCTAAAATTTAATTTTCAAATTAAAAAGTTGATTATATTTATATTAAACCTGATTGATATTCTTATTCACTTTGAAATATTTATATTTCTTTAAAAACATAGTCAGTGAATTAATTATTTCCAATGGTGAATAATAAATTTTTTGAAAATTAGGATCAATATTATTAATGAAACTTTCAAAACTGTCATGTCAATATAGCCTAGGGTAACTGCACCAATTGCCGAGGGTGCTCCAATTGTCGAGGATAATAATTTTCTTTTTTAGATAAATAGTATAATATATAATATTTAAGAACAAAAAAAATTTCTAAATAATCTTTGTATTTTCAACTGTATATTTATATATACAAATTTCGTAGCGATTCTACTAAAATAATTATTTAATTAATATTATAATTCACTGCTGTGAAATTTACACGAATCTCCATTTTCTTAATACTTCAGGTTGATTAAAACAGATTTTTAGAAATGCAAATTAAACGTATTTATAATGACTTTTTGTGTACAAAATTATTATTATAATTTTGTACACGAACTAAATTAATTTTGTATGCATGTTTTTTTGTTAAAAAAAAATATTTAATATTTTTTAAAAGCAAATCATCGGTATTTGGTTCCTTTTTTTTGAGAGTTCCATTTTTCGAGGTAATGACTCGAAAATTGGTGTAGTCACTTTTTTCGCTGATGCACCATTTATCGATGGTTAAGTGTTTATTTACTAAACGTCAAACATAAATGCCAAACATTTATAGGTACAGAGAAAAAGAAAAAAAATGCTCCAAAAATTTACAACCAACAGAAAATAATCAACCAAAAAAACGAGGAAGACCGAAAAAAAATTAATAAAAAAATGCAAAATTCAAAACTAAAAAATTTTGTACTATAGTTTAATTATAATTAACCATTATATTTACAGTTTGTAATTAAAGTTTATTTTATTCGTTTACAAATTTAATGTGACTTAAATTAATTTATTTTTTCAATTAATGTCTGATTAACAAAATTGATTAAATTTAATTAACTTATATTTATAAAAGTTTAAAAAACAGTTAAATAATTTTCTGTCCTGTATCATCTACTATAAAAATGTTTTATATCGATATTATAAATTATTCAATTATAGTTAAATAAATATATTTGTTTTCTGGTAATGTTCTATAATATTTTTATCAAAAAAATAAATATCTACTCGATTTTCTAATATCTGTACAGGTTAATTGTTAGGTTATATTGGGTTATATGTTTAAAAATGTCATACCCTCGACAATTGGAACAGACCCTCGAGAAATTAGCACAAGACCATCGAAAAATGGTGCTTTTGCTCGATTGACTTTTAAATATATTTTTTGCTTAACAATTTAGTTTATATTAAAAAAATAAATATGAATATTAAACATTATTAGATCCTTCGTCCAAATATACAAAAATCAAATTTTAAAGTGCATTTACTTCCGAGAAAAAAAATGTCAAAGTCACATGTTGCCTAAAACCCTCGACAATTGGTACAGTTACCCTATCGATAATATTATTTTTTTAGTTTTCCATGGAAAACATTTTAACAGAAAAAAAAATTATAAAGATATAATCTGTTATTATTAATCCATCCACTTTTATTAAAAAATAATAAGTTACTATTATTATTTATAATTTAATTTAATATTGTCAAAAGTTTGGTAAATTTATTAATAAAATTTAGTAAATAGGAGAAATACAAAAAGTCACGAAAGTCATTTCCCAAAAGTAATAAATTGTAAACAATTAATCAACTAATAGAAGAACTTTTATGTCCACATTAAAAAAAAATTTCAAATGATTTCATATAATTAACTTTTATACTGATGGAAGGTTATATTGAAACGTCTAATTTTTTTCCATCACGAGAATGCAAATTGACAATCAAAATAAAACTTTATATAAAGCAAACGAAATTATATTTAATAATATAATTACTTATTCACTGCGAACTGAGTGAACAAACTTGACCTAGAAACATACGAGGCATTAATTTTATTGTCTACACAATGTAATTAATTTGTATTTTTTTCTAAGAAAACTTTTTTATTGATACTTATTTGTTTCAGTCTAAACTATTTTCTAATTAATGACGTCAATCTACGCACTATTAGCTTAAATTTTTATTTATATGTACTTTGAGAATTAAATTCGATATTTTTTGAGTAATTAATTTTCGAAGGTTTATTATTTGATAAATAGATAATTTTACGAAGTTTACCCAGAACTTCAGCAAAAAAAAAATTGTCGTTAAAATTTCAATTATTACACTGTGCAACAGTGAAAAATTACTTTGTATCGGACCTAATACAACTTGTTCGTCTTGAAAAACTGAAGAAAATGGTATATAATAAATTGCTGAAACACCCCCAAAATTTCATTTTAGAGCAAAAAAACCAATTTTTTGCAGTTCAAGTATAAAATATCTTATAACTTTGTAATTTTTGGTCCGATTTCAACGATTTGTATATCATTTTAAAGCAGAATAACAGGGCTTTCCAATCATTATCGGTATTTTTTGTTATAGTTAAAAATGAATTCAAAAAATTAAGAAAAAGATCGAAAATAGTAATTTTTTAAATAATTTTTCAACTTTAGTACTAATTTTTTGCCTCAAATTTTATTTGAAGTAGTTTTTTTCAATCACATGTTTAAAGAGTATTTAATCCTGCGTCGAATGCAATATTGTATAAAAGAATTCGTTAAAAATTGACTGAGTTATTCCATTTTTTAGTTTTGCAGTCATATTATTGAATTTATGCTTAAGAGAGTATTTTCTTTTTTTCTTACCTATATTTGTTGCTTATTCTTTGTTATTGATTTCTGACAACATTTTTTCAAATTTTACAATGTAGTAAATTATGTTCTTAACATAAATATTAAGTATCTTGAAATCGTTTGTAAATTTTAACAATTTCATTAATTGTGAACTGAATATTTTAATCATAAGAAACAAAGTACAATCTGAATTAAAAATGCTTATTTTTTGTACTTCTTTTGAACAAAGAATCATCAGTGTCTCGTTTCAGAGACCAACAATATTCTGAAATCATGTTTACAGAACTTTTCCCTTGAAAGCGTTTTTCAATATGCTGAATTTCCTGATGGAATCTCTCCCCTTGTTCATCACTGAACTGACCAAGGTTGTCAGGAAAAAAATCCAAATGGGAGTGTAAATAATGGACCTTAATTGACATATTGCATCCCATTTCAGCATATGCTGTCAAAAATTCTTGGACAACATCAACATAGTTGTCACTCCTATGGTTTCCAAGAAAATTAATGCACAATGAAATAAAACTATCCCAGGCTCTTCTTTCTACATCATTTAATTTATCAGCAAACTCTTTGTCTCGCATAATCTTTCTTATTTGAGGTCCAACAAATACACCTACAAAGTATGAGAAAATTAGTTTTAAATATTAATATGTATGCTTACTTAGTATTAAGTCAACGAAGACCACGAATTCAGTTAATATCGTGATTAATGTAATTTATTTCAGCAAAATTGAGGCCTAAAAAAATATTTTACAACCTAATCTGCCGTACCTGCTTTAATTTTAGCGTCACTTAATTTAGGAAACACTTTCTGAAGATGTAGAAATGCTTCGCTATTCGAATTTAAAGCTTTAACAAATTGCTTCATGTAGCCAAGTTTCAAATGTAAGGGTGGTAATATAATATTTTCTGGTTGCACTAGAGGAATGTTTAAAACATTTTTCTTTCCAAGCTGAAACATTTTACGTGCTGGCCATTCTTTTCGATCATACTTGTTTGGTGCGCGACTATCCCATTCACAGAAATAACAAGGATATTTCGTATAACCACCTTGCATCCCTAACAAAATTGTTAAAACCTTTAAATCACTGACAATTTTCCATTCATGGGCAGCATAATTGATGGATTCAAGAATTTTTGCCAATGTCCCATATGTTTCCTTCAAATCAGTTGCATACGCTAAAGGAACTGATGGGAGTTTATTCTCATTATGCAACAATACAGCCTTCAAACCTAAAGAAAAAGAAGTATGTACATTCTAGCTAAATTATAAAAACAATTTATTTTCACCTTATTTTGTTGAAAAAATTCTTACTTTTGCATGATCCATCAATAAATAGTCGCCAGTCCTCTGGTATGTAATCGTGATTTAAAATTGAAAATAACTCTGGAATGTTCGAACAATACACGAGATTGCTACAGTCATTGGCAGTTTTAAAAATTTCTTTAAACAAATTTTTATCATTATTTCTGCAGGAAGTTACTTTAAAATCTCTTTCGACCAAATTCCACTGTTTTAATCTAGAACCAAGGACTTCAGACTGTCTTCCAGATAATTTTAGATCGCGTAAAAGATCGATAAAATCCAGATTTGAAACAAAATGTGGTTCCTTTGAACACGATGAGGGTGGAACATAATCTGTATCTTCAGAAATCTTTAGATCATTCATCTTTTGATCAAAATAATCAGGCAATTCCTCTTTTTCCGCTTTTTCAGTCTTAGAAGACTCAAGAAGTACTGGTTTTGTGATAGTCAAAACATCGGCATATTTTATTAACTTACGCGTTTTATATTGATGACCTACAATATTTGTTTGACAAAAGTAACAATCATCCGATTTATGATAAACTTGATAATGCCATGTCATTGGAACCGAGAAGGGCAAGGAAGTGTGCTTTTCGTTATTTTTGGATTTTCCTATTTTAAGTATTGTTAAACAAAGTAAACATATGTACTCCGGCTCATACCAAGAACTACCGTCATAAGAAGTATTAAATAATTTATTATATTCTTCAATGGCAACTTTGTTGCTTTCAAATTTGTACCGATGGCGATTGTCCACAAAATAGCCACATATATAACAAAAACTATTACGTTTATCGCACATTTTATCTTCTGCACATCAACAAGGAATACCAAATTTTATGAACGAACTATACGTACAATAAAACAATTTAAATGAAATCGAATAAATTCAAACTCTAACTCGATACGTACACAAAATAACCAGTAACCAAGGAAAGAACAATCTGTCATAAATGTCGTTTGCATTTGTTTCAATATTACATATCTAATAGACAACTTGTGGAAATCGTTAATAAAACAATAAATTGTTTTAAAAGAAACTATGTGTAATATAATTTTAGGAAAAAAGTTGTTTCAACAAAACTGAAAAAAAATTAATCGTTAATGAGTATATTTGAATTTTAAAATTTATCTTTTTGTGTTCTATCATTAATACTTAATATTTATATTAAGAACATAATTTACTGCATTGTTAAATTTAAGAAAATGTTGTACGAAATCAATAACAAAGAAAAAGCAACAAATATAGGTAAGAAAAAAAGAAAATACTCTCTTAAGCATAAATTCAATAATATGACTGCAAAACTAAAAAATGGAATAACTCAGTCAATTTTTAACGAATTCTCTTAAAAAATATTGCATTCGACGCAGGATTAAATACTCTTTAAACGTGTAATTGAAAGAAACTACTTCAAATAAAATTTGGGGCAGAAAATTAGTACTAAAGTTGAAAAATTATTTAAAAAAGTACTATTTTCGATCTTTTTCTTAATTTTCTAAATTCATATTTAACTATAACAAAAAATACCGATAATGATTGGAAAGCCCTGTTATTCAGCTTTAAAATCATATAAAAATCGTTGAAATCGGACCAAAAATTACAAAGTTATAAGATATTTTATACTTGAACTACAAAAAATTGGTTTTTTTGCTCTAAAATGAAATTTTGGGGGTGTTTCAGCAATTTATTATATACCATTTTCTTCAGTTTTTCAAGACGAACAAGTTGTATTAGGTCCGATTCAAAGTAATTTTATTTTTTCATTTTTTGTAACACAGTGTTATTATTATTATTTTCAATTATTAGAAAATTGCATTTATTCTTAAATTTTTTTTAAATTCGCCGAAAAAATTCAATTATTTAAAAAATTTTTTATAAAATTCTTTATAAAAATTCAATTTTAAGAAATATTCAATTATTTAATAAATTATTTATTTTTGTATTTAAATAATTGAATTCTCGAAAAAATTTCTAATAAAAATTGATGAAAAAATGAATTTCACTTCAAAATTTTAAATTATAATAAAATTGATCATAGAATAAAAGTATTTTCTTAAAATATAACATTCTTCCTAGGAATATAATTGTTGTCAAAAAATGTTTCTAAAAATCTTAGAAACAATTCAATTATTTTTGTAAAAAATAAAATTCTTCGAAGCAATTAAATTATTTAAGAAATTTTAATAAAATTTTTCCCAAGAATTCAATTATTTTCAAAAATAAACATTTTCACAGGAATATAATTATTTAAAAAACAATTTAATAAAATTCTTTCTTAGATTTCAATTATTTTCAATTATTTAAAAAATAATTTAATAAAATTCTTCGTCAGATTTCAATTATTTTTAATTTTTGCTTCCTCATGAGGAAGCTTTGCATTGGTGACGATTTTCAATTTTTCAAAACAAGGTTATATGGACTCATTTTCATCTAGAACATATGTATATTCAATTATGAGCAAATGTCCAGATGTATGTGTGTGTATGTATGTGTGTATGTGTGTGTGTGTGTGTGTATGTGTGTGTGTGTGTGTGTATGTCACAAAAATTGTGTACAAATTATCTCAGACAAATTTTGATGGATTGTCCTGAAATTTTGCAGGTTTATTGCAGTCATTAATACCTGAAATCTGACACAAGGATTTTCAAAAATATGTACAAAATTTTTTTTTATACAATTTTTTTAAAATTCAGAAAATTTTTTTTTGTATTTTCTGAAATAATTTTTTTATTTGTTAATATTTTTATTAATTATTCTCAAAATTACATTCCTGTCAAGAAAACGAATCGATTGATGTATACAAAGTATATATTTTATCAAAATTTATAAAATTAATAAATATTTTTCTTTTTCACAAAAAATTCAAATTTGGTATTTTTTTCATAATTAATTTAATATTAATATTAATATTTTGAAATGATTATTCTATCATAAAATAGAAGCAATTGGCAAATGAAAGTGTAAATTTCACCAAATATTTATACAACAACTTATAAATGATTTATATAATTTTATTTTTAACCAATCTTCTGGACGAACCCTTTTGTACATAATTTTTCAAAAGTTTGCAAAACCGCAATTTTTATATATTGAGGAAGCTTAATGGTCATAAAATGAACAACTTGTTTAATGAAATATTTCTTGATAGAATTTAATTATTTTCAAAAAGTTTTTAAAAATTCTGAGAAATTCAATGATTTAAAAAAATTTGAATAAAACTTTTCACAAGAAATTTATTATTTTTATAAATACCAAATAATATGATAATTATATTATTATTATTTTTTTTTTTTCTCCTAAATTCAATTATTTTCACAAATAAAATTCTTTACAGTATTTTAATTCTTTAAAAAAGCTTTTAATAAAATTCGTTGCAAGAATTCAATTATACTTTCAAAAATAACAAAACTTATCGCAGAATTTCAATTATTGTTTATACAATTTTAATTTTTTTTGAGTATCTAATAATTTTTGGAGTGAATCTGAATATTCTTCAGTGTGAGGGAAAAGATCAAAATTTTTTTTTTGGAAATCAGGAAAAAAAAATTAGATTTTTGTGGCAACTCTGATTTTATATAGTTTAAATGTGCAAAAAGCTGATGGTGGGAGCAGTTCGAGTATCGATTTTGTACATCACGCAAATGAACATAAATATAGAAAATTTGTCTGCTGCATGTACAAATGCATTGTACATGATAGCATTTGGTTCACATAAACGGAGAGAAAGAAGCGTGGAAGATAAATTGTATGTCGGTAATGAGTTAGAGTATAGTGATGATCAACTTTAGCACGCGACAGTTTAAACTGAAACTTTTATTTTTACTCGACTCTTTCACAATGACGACCTTGTCTTCACTTTTTAACTTAAACAAAAACTAGGACTGACAAATATATGAAATTCTATCGTTATATCCTGCTCAGTAATATTTGCTATTATTTTAAATTTCCTTACTCTGTAGAAATAGAAAAAGAAATTGTGATTCATCATTGTTCTAATTACGAATTAAGGACGTAGTCTCCTTTAGAAGGCGAAAAAAAAATGTTTTTTCAGGAATTTTTTTGAAAGGGAAGGAAATGATTGCGGTAAACGAAATTTTTGGCTGATATTCTTCTGTATTTGAGCTTCAAAAACCAACTTTTATTTTAAAAAAATATTTAAATTCTTCTTAGTAACAACGATTTTTGTGGAGCTCTGCAGTCTGTATTTTTAAATCGGTGCCGGTGATGGAGGTCGTACGATGCATCTGAAACAGTCAAACCAATTTTTTTTTACTTTTTATAACTGTCTTTTCTATTTGAACTAAAAAAATACCAAAGAAATTAAAAAATTCCAAATTTTTTCGAAGATTGAAAAAAAGTGCACTTTAAAAAAAAAATTCACTTTAAGGTTTAAAAAAAATAGTTTAAATAATACTTTTGTCCAACTATTTTAGTTCAAATAGAAGATAATTTAATACTGAAGCGAGAACAGTTTGATGTAAGTTTGACAATTATGTTCTGAGGACATAATAATTTCTGATTAAAGTGTAAAAAATATAAATATTATAAAATTTTATTGAAATTTGTGGCGCTGACGCTGATTTTTCTAATCTGGTTTTTGGCGTGAAGGGTCCGCGGCCACACCATCCGTTCCTGTAAATTTTGAAATAGCATAATTATCAAAATCGTTTCTTATTCCTTATTACAGTAGCTAAAGGAAAGCGTAGGATTTTTTTGGATATATTGATTTTTGGCCGATTGGCGTATACTTCTAAATTTTAGTTATGAAAATTTGCCAAAAAATTGGTCAGTAAATTGTTAATAGCAAATGATCTATGCAATAAAAAAAATCCTACGCTTTCCTTTAGACAATATATTATTAAAGATGTGTGCAAAATTTGAACTTAATCGGTTGAAAATTGTAAAAATTATTGGTGCGGCCAGTTTGAAAAATTTAGTTTTGAGATAATCGCGTTTAAAGTTTGAAATTGTAAAAAAGCATACATAATTTTTAAATACCTTAAATCTGCAATGCCTGCACCATATAATTGTCCTTCCTGATTAAGGTCCTTATCTTACTCTTATCTTACTTGAATACACTCTAGTCACTAACAATTTTAAATACATCTGCTGTATACCTTCGTAGACCCTTCAAGTATCCCTCCCCCGCGCAGTACAGGGCTCACCGCGCGCTGTAAAGCCCTGCACGAAACTTTGAAAATAAGCTATTTTTGAATTTCTTACGTCCATAATCTTTCAATATGTTACATTTGAGACTCCAAGGGACCATTTAAAGCAAAAAAAAAATCGATTTTTTGAAAATCCTAGAGTGTCATAACCCCTTAAGGTTCATTTTCCAATTTATAAATTTCTCAATCTCTATCAATACGAAAATTATTTTATAAATTTCAAGTTCATATAAAGCGCATTGAATGATTGACAAATTCCATTGTCACTGCATTAATGTTGAAATGTACAATTGTATATAACAATGCATTCTACAATATTGCATCTTCAATAAACTCATTATTTCCAAAGCATAATTTTCAATACCTATAAATTGAACTGTGTGCTCAGTAGAAAGAGAATTCTGTGGTCAGACGTACATGGCATAATAGATGTGCATTTGAAATCCGCGTATATTATATAGAGATTAGTACTAGGAAATCAATATAATTAAAATTGGAATTGAGAATAGGAGGTAAGGGATAACGGATAGATGACTATCTGAAGGTCTACTATGATCAAAGTGCATTGCTCTCTCTCTCTCTCTGTCTCTCAGCTTTAGAATCACTATTCAAGTGGATGTTGTAACATTACACTTTCAAACTGATTGGCTGATCACAGTCATTCTTCACTACTGTGAGAATTACACGCATCGCTTTGCAGACCTCATTTTACATGAACGCGTATATTATACACACATACATACATACATATATATAATTTACTCGATTCTGGTCACGCGAAAATACATACATTGCTTATAATTATTATCAAAGTGTACCTCATTTTCTTGTATTAATTATAGAATTATTATTTGAAACCTTTTTTTTATATCTTAACTCAATCTTGTTCTATTTCAATTCAACTAAATTATATAAGTTTAAAAAGAAGTGTGATTGAAATGATTGATTTTAATCCCTTAAACGAAAGTAAAAAGTAAAAAACTAATTAGTAAAAAGTACTATTTGAAATAAGTGGAAGATTCGATCCTTTGAAAAAATAATATAATTGTTTTATATGTCATCTATAGTGTTTCATTTCGATCCGAGAATTTCATTTTTTTCAAGCGATTTTGTTCGTTATCGTCTTTGTTTTTCGATTATTTCGTTTATTCTTTTGTTAATTGGCAAAAATCGTATAGTCTAATTTTTTAATTGTCATCGACCTGCATCGACCGAACTTCTCGACTTTTCCATAACTGACAGCTAACATTAATATAGTATAACCTATTTTTTTAAATTGCATATTTAAAAATAAAATATTCCCAGATTGATTTTTTAAAACAGTAATAACGATAATATTAAAATATTAATACTTTAATAAAGAAATATTAAGAAAAGCGATTTTCAAATGTCAATAGACATCTTCTTTATTTAGAGAAATATAATATTAGGTACTTACTCAGGGTGTCTACTCTTTTCGTTCAAAAAAATTCCCGGTTATTTTCCGGCTTTGTCCTAATTTTTTCCGGTTTTTTTTTCTCATTAAATTTAAATTCATTTGATTTCAAACATAAATAAATCTACAAATGGCTTTGAATAATAAATGAATAATAAAATTTCTTTTGACGATTTTCTTTAAATTTTTTTAAAATAATGTTTTTTTTAAATAATTTTAATTAAAACATTGGAAAATAATTGAATTAAACAAAGAATTTTGTCAATTTTTTAAAATAATCTTATCTGTTCATAATTACAATTGAAAATTTGATTAATTCATTTTTATTAAAATTTATTAATATTAATTGAATTTGTGCAAAGAATTTTACTATTTATAAAAGTAATTAAATTTTTCAAAAGAATTTTATTATTTATAAAAAATAATTAAATGTTTGCGTAGAATTTTATTAAAATTTTTAAAAATAATTTTATTGTGGAGAACAATTTAATTATTTATTAAAGTAATTGAAATTTTGAGGACAATTTAAAAAAATTGTTAAACATAATTGAATTTCTGCGAAGAATTTTATTACTTTTAAAAATAATTGAATTGTTTTTTAGAATTTCATGAAAATTTATGAAAATAATTAAATTCTTGTGAAGAATTTTTTTTAAAAATAATATTCAAAAGAATTTAGTAAATCTAAAGAATTTTGCTATTTATGGAAATAATTGAATTCTTGAGAAGAATTTTTTTTACAGTTTCTAGAAATAATTGAATTCTTTCGACGAATTTTCATAAAATTTTTAAGAATAATTACATTTTTCGAGGAATTCGATTAAAATTGGATTAAAAATAATTGAAATTCTGCAATGAGTTTTACTATTTATGAAAATAATTGAATATATTGCGGAGAAATTTTTAAAAATAAAATTATATTTAAGGTGACTAACTTCCCTTGATTATTTTCGAAAAATATAAATAAAATTCTTTAAAAGAATTTAATTATTTTTGATAGAAAGTAAAGAAATTTCAATTATTTAAAAAATTTTCAATTATTTGTTTATAAAAATTCAATTATCTTGAAACAATAGAATTGAAAAATTTCAAAAATATAATTTTTCAGCATTTTCAAAAAAAACTTTACGAAAATTCAATTTTATTAAAAAATTTTAAGTGTGTATCTTTTTTTAAATTAATTAATAAAAATTTTAATTACTAATCATTGCATTAAGAAACATGAATACATAAGAATGTGACTTGAAAATTCAATTATTTATCAATTATTAAATTAAAATATGTACTTCGAAAATTCGATTTGTGAAAAAGTTTTTAATGAAATTCTTCAACAAATTTAATTATTTTTAGTTGAATTTCACAAAATTTCTATTAATTCGATAATCCTCGATAATATTCTTTTAATTTATTTACATACTATATTTGAATCAGTGACTGATTTTTTACTATCAAATTTATTATTTTTAACTCAAATTTAATTCAAATTTAGAGATTAGTATAAATATCTATAAAAATTTAAATAAAAACCGATTTTTTAAAAACAAATTAAAATAATTAAAGTTTTTTTAATTTGGTGAAAAAATTCCCGGTTTGTCATAAAATTCCTGGCTTATTTCCGGTTTTTCTCGGTCAAATTAAATTTCCGGCTATTTCCCGGTTAGTAGACAGTTAGTTATTACATTACCTAATATTTCGATAACATTGTAAGTTAGATTTAAATTTAAAATTAAACTTGTTTTTTATTTTTCTATCAGGATTGTGTTTCTTGAATGAAACAGTATTTATTGTTGTTAGAAGAAGAAGAGAAGCGACGTTTCGATGACTTTGGTTTGTCATCATCATCATCATCATCATCATCATTTTTTGTACCCGACCTACACAAATGCCATCTCACAAATAATCCTTTGAGTAAATTAGAATTATTTTCTACATTTATCAGATTTTACTGGAACCTCAATTATAATGGTTTTATTGTAAAATTTGGAATTGTCCTATTTATAATTGTTTATGCCCTTTTCTCTGTGAAGGAAGAAAAAACCCTATTATTTTATGTACCAAAGGAGCAATTGTACCGTTTACTATGAAATTAAGAATTATAAAACCAAACAATATTCTTTTATATATTTTTCAGTGAAAATTGTTGGAGATTCTTTTAAGGGATTCTTCCTGCAAGCACGTGATGTAAATACACACGAATGGATTGGTTCTTGGTCAAAAACAGACAACACTGTAGCACACTCTGAATGCAGTGCTATAACCCACGCTGATCCACGTGATAAGCATCAAGCTACCCTCATTTGGAATGCTCCTTTAAACGCAAGAGGACACGTCTACTTCACGTAAGTTGAATTAATTATTATTATTAAATAATTAAAATTAATTATTAATTATTAATTAATTATTATAATTATTTTCTAATAACTAAATAATTAATATTGATTTTACATTTGAGGTACACTTTCAACGAGAACTATAATCCTTCTTAAAAATTCAAATATTAAATGTTAATCACAGTACTCCTACACACATGATATAAGACTACCCTCCTCAACCTAATTTTTGCATATTTACTCGTTTCACTACAGAACAATGTGAAAATTGAAATCCAAAATACTTTCTTTCTCATGGGAATTTATTCATCCTTTAAGTAAATATATACTCACAAGTTTTTTTTTTCTCCATTCCTTTGTCAGAGAAGGAATTTGCTCTCGTTCGCATCAATATGTACTTGGTTTCCTCAATGCTCCACTATATATCCGTTAAACCGATAAATTTCATTCTGTACTAGAAGCACTCAGATTTTATTTTCCCTTGAAAACGAAATCAAATAACTGAGTATAGTAGATAAGAAAATAAAAAAAGTTATATATTGTATATATATTTACCTTGAGGATTAATTTTTTTTATTATAAATTCATTTGTATATAAATGAAACAAGAAGATGGAATTTTCATTTTATAATTTTCTAAATGATAAATCGTAACTGCGTAGAGATATATATATATAAAACAGGTTCACGTAAACTTTAATGGTAGCCTAAACTTTTACTACAAATGTCCTTGAGTTAGATGCAGTTCACGGTTTTTTATCTTGAGATTAATGTTGTCGAAGTTCTAAAATATAATTAACGTTTTTCCTATTTCTATAAAAACCCCGACTACGTAATAAAGTCCAGTTAATAAAATTGTCCGACTTTAGAATTTTAATTAGTCCTCTTGAAACAATGGCCATTCAAGAATATATTCATTCAGGAAATGTACTCTAAAATTGTTTCCTTTTCCCATTTGTGCAATTATTTCCATATATATTTTATTGAGATGATTTTATTTTATATAAATACGAGTATAAATAATCATAAATGAATATTTAAACTAAATTTTTTTAAATTACTGTTTTTCCTGAAAAAATTTTTTTATATACAAAAAATTAGAATGACATCTACTTGCAATGCAATATTATATTTTTCCTTTCCTCCCTCGTTGAATTCAATTTAGTTTCGAAGGGAAAAAGTTTTGAACTGTTGAGATTTATTGGGTAAGATGAAGGTTGGTACTTGGCGCTAATAGCAATGAATGCTTAAATATATATGTGTGTATATATCTATAAGTTGAATATATACAGGCATACCGATGAGGAGTGCATGTTGTAGATTGGATAATGTCGAGGCTAACGACAAAAACCGGGGCTACTGTTAACGTTTAACAGAAAACGAACTTTCCTTGTTGACGTCAAACCAATTTTCCTAGGTATAACTATTAGTGCCATTCGATACCTTGCATATATATGTATATATAAAGGCATTTACTAATACATTATAAAATCAAATTATATTTCTGATTTCAAACATACAACCGCAATTATTGAGTACTATTTTTACTACAGTTTATATTTCTACTGCATTATTATTTTTTTATTCTTCATTTTTTTTGTACATTCAATAATAACGTGAAATTAGTTTTAAATAGAACATGAGCACAGAAAAAAAGTGTATTCATTTGAAAATAAAAATATTTAATTCTGAAGACTATTCCTTAGTACAGTGGGATGATTATTAAGAATCTAAAGTCGGATTTTCATAATTCAAAATGTCGGATCCAATATGGCGGACGAATTTTTAAAAACTAGCTAGATTCTTATAGAACTGCGTATCTAGGCGCTTCTAGGGTATCTGACTAACCCCGCATATGAAGTCAGATTGATAAAATTCAAAATGGCGGATCCAATATGGCGGACGAATTTTAAGAAAGTAGTTAAATTTTTCTAAAAGTAGGTATCTAGAGGGTTTTAAGGTCGCTGATTACGAATCTGAAGTCAAATTTTCAAAATTTAAAACTGCGGATACCATAAAAATCGGTGCTCTTCACGACATAATTTTTCTGTTCAATGGATCTACCCTTTCACACTATTTAGTTAGGCAGCCTAATAATAATAATAATTTTTACTTAAAAATGTATTTCTAAAATTCTTAATTTTGCTTTTGCAGTGGCAGTGTCTTGAAAGATTATGCAACATTCTGGGTTGATATTACATCCCGAGTTGGAAAATAATTTTCCCCTCAAGTGTAAGTTTAAATAACTATAGTTTTAAAAAATTTATTAATTACTAATTTTTTCTATTTTGAATTTCCATTTTCATATTCAACATATATTTAAAAACTGTCCAATGAAGATTTATATATAAACTTAATTTAAATATAATTTTTATTATTTTAAAAAAAATTCTCATTCTACATTGTTTTAATAATAGAATTGGTGTATTATAATTATTTGTGACATTTTGGCTTTTTAGTTTCAACAACATTTTGAGTTTTCGAAAGTTTTGAGAAGAGGAATCATTAAATTATAATTGTTATCGACTCGAAGAAGATAGTTGTGCTTACCTCGAAGGACAATAACCTCGTCTCGTCGCAATTCTCAAGAATTTTATTAAAGGACGTAAGATTTCGGTCAAGGTTATAAATATCAAGGAAGCAAATTATATGAGAAAATTGTGTTATCAATTTTGTTTTACAAAATGTGAATAATAGTATTGAAAATATGTGTTTAAATATATGTATATAATTTTACTATTGTTGACTCATTACAATTACATAATAGAAAAACCTAGTAATTATTATTGCAACAATAAGAACTTTAAAAATAATCAAATTATTATTTGAATTTTTTATTCGAAATTTTTTTCACGCTTAGTTCACTAGTATCATTAATAGATAATACAAATTTATAAAAAACAATATTCTTAAAATTTTCCAAGAGTAAATTAATATATAATATATATATATATACATTAATTTACTCTTGGAAAACTAATTACTTAATATAAATTAAATATGTATATATATTTTTTAAAAATACATAATTTATGTAAAACATAATGAAGATGTATTGTAATAATTATCGGTAATAACATGTAAAGGATGTGAATAGTATCATTCGTTTAATTATTGTTTACAATTCTTGCTTGTTGCGATTTAAAAGATAAAGTTTAGATAGAAGAATTATGGGAAACAATCAAGGATTCTATCTTCAAGGACTAAAAGATGTGTTAATAGTTATTAAGAAAAAATGAGAAAATTTATAAAAAGAAAGTCAGCAAAATTTTATTATTTCAAGAATTATTCAAAAAAGAAATTAAATTAAATTTCTATTACTCTAGAAAATGATTAACTCCATTTTATTGTTTTTTTTACTCTACAATTATAAAAATATTATAAAAATTAAAACAGTTAAAAATAGTTGGTGCCATAGTACACCCTTAAATAAGATTTTACACATTATGCTTTTATTTTTGTTTTGTAAAAAAATTTAACCTTCACTGTGTCATAACGAGGCATGTAATTCTATTCCATCTGGTTAGTTACCGTTGAAAAATTGTCGATACTTTTTTCTCAACTAAAAATAAACATATTTCTGTATAAAATAGAAATTGATAAATATCGTCTGTTGACTTTGACTTTATATTATTGATTTATAATTTAGATTAAAGCTAACTGATAAAGGTAACATTATTGAAGGGGTTACGCCACCCTGAACGCATTTAAATTGGAAGGTTTTTTAAGAATTTTTTTTTGACGTAAATATTTAAGATAAGATATTTTTATTATTATTGTTTCTTAATGCATATTGTAAGCTATGTAAATATGAAATAGTTTAAGAAAAATAAAAAGGTCAGCAGTAGATTCCTTGATGGTGGGTATGATTAGCATTTCAATTTTGATCTGAAACAAGAAAAAAAAATATTTTTACCAGTAAGTAGTGTCAAAAAACTCACCATTTTTGAAAATAAAAAGTTAAAAATCATTTTTTTGAAAGCGAACTACAACTAGCTAAGTGCGTCTCTAATATTATGTCTGGAAGTTTATTCCAAAGTTTCGCACCTCTTACAATAAAAGCTTTTTGTATCTTACAAGTTCGATGAATGGGAACTATTGAACAATTTTTCCTTTCACGAAGTCTGGAATAATTCTTTTGATTCGTGTTTTTGAAATTAAAAAAATTCTAAATGTATGAAGGCATTTTACTGTTAATAATGGAATAAAGCAAATTGCCAATAAAAAGTTGTCTTCTAAAAGCAACGTTTAAAAATCCCGCTTTTATTTTATATTGAATCATATACTCAGTCTTATGGAAATTAACAATAAATCGGATGCAGGCATTCAATGCAATGCTCGTTCCAACTTAACATTCAACTCATCAGTGATATCATCATATACATGGCATCTGTTTTTATATAATCGAAAATTCGAAATCAGAGGAATGGAAAACGCATTTTTGGTGAATGAAATATCAAAGAATCAAGTTTAATTTAATGTGTAAATTTATTTTGTATATCAAACAATGAAGATCGATTAGAAAATCAAAGACTTCTTAAATGAAATATAGCTGAGGTAAAAACGGCACAACAAACATTTTTTAAATGAAACTTAAAATTCATAATTCAACAGAGCCGTATTAGCTAGTTGCCTTTATTTCAACAGATTCAGTGTTGCTTAACTTAAGAAAAAGGGAAAACTTTTATAAGCAGCAGGGGGCCAAAGCCCAGCTCTTCAGAGCAATCATAATTACAAGCAGCAGAAATTAACATACCAAATTATTATTCTCCTTCTGTTAGCACTCCACGATCAAGAACAGAAATTTTCCTTCATGTCAGCAGATCAACTTTTGAATGAACACTGTCCCTTTTGTCAAAAAGAGGAGGAAGGGATATTAAAGATTCCAAAACAGAAGCAGTCGATGATGCAAATACTATGTCATGGATCTTACCCGAATTCAGTGTTAGTGCATTATTTCTTCCCCACTCAACAACATAGTCAATATCAAATTGTACTTTCCGGAGCATTTCAGAAACAGTAGACAAAGGACCAGACAAATTTATTTTAAAGTCATTAGCGTATTTATGGAATTTACAATATTTAATGTTATCAACAAGATCAGAAACGAATAAACTGAAAAGAAGAGAAGAAAGGGCTGCCCCTTGAGGAACACCACATTTAAGTATGTCTACCCTTCCAATTTGAAAAATTAACACTCCTTTCACTAATTTTCTAAAAACGTGAATCCATATAAGACCCGAACCATTCACGCACGGAATTTGATATATTAAAGGACTCTAGTTTATGTATTAGTAAGTCGTGATCCAGCGAGGAAAAGGCTTTTGAAAAATCAAAAAACACAGCAACCGTAATAAATTCTTGATCCATAGCAATTTTTATATCAGGGGTTACCTTTAAGGTTACTGTAAATGTGCTATGTTTAGCACAAAAGCCAGATTGCAAGAGTTCCAAAAGTTGGGTTTTCAGATAAATAGGCCGTTAATTGTTTACAAACTATCTTCTCCAGCGGCTTCGACAGGGCACAAATAATAGATATCGGTCTGAAATCACTAAGAGTCTTCATCTTGGGAATAGGTCGAATGAAGTGTAATGAAGTATAATAGGAAGGGCGATATTAATCATTGTAATAGAAATAGAGTCAGGTCCCATGTCATTTGTTTTGACTTGATCTAAACTATCTAAAATGTCTTTATAAGTAATATCAGAAAAGAAAAAAATATTTTTGTCAAATAAGTCTGAAGTAGAAGGTGGGGCCAGGAAGAAAAGTGGATTTTTGATCAAAAACCTCCAAAAACTCGTGCATTTGGAAACCATTATTGACTTTGTCAGTAAACTGACGACTGACAATGGATATACATGGGGTTTTATAGTAGTGAGAGACAAAAAGATTAAAGATCACCTCCACCTCTAAGCTTGATTCTTAGATCATCCCAAGAATTGAATCACTTCCTGGAGCTTTGTGAACACCTGCATCACATATAGTATATTGCAAAAATCACAATTCCATGGAATATTAAACATTCCCATAAGCAAAACTAAGCTTGCTCTCTTAATTTGAATCAGTGGAATTCCCTGGGATGCAGTTACAAGTATATACCACTTTTACTGGTAATCAGTTAAAATTCACTGGAAAACCAGTTAAAATGATATAATTATAACTGGATCCCAGTGAATTCTACTGATTCAGATTAAGAGAGTGTGCCACGCAAAATACTTGTATGAGTCAAGTCCACTTATAATGTTTGTGAATTTGGTTTTTGTCTCATAAATCTTACTGTAAATACAATATAAACATATTTATTACTTAGTAAACTCAATAAAGTTCCCCTAAAAAATCCCTTTAATAAAAAACAATCAAATGTTTTCCACGATTGAAACTTCACTGAAACACATTAGGTCACTTACAAGCTACTACTGTTCACTAGAGAGCAAAAAACTCCATTTTTGTGATAAGGGATGCTGTAAGGCAAAATTTAGTATAACGTCCAGACCAAGTACTTTTTCGGTACCAGTTTGTCTTTAAGCTATTATTTTCAACTATAAGTGATAAATCTAAAAAATTAATTGTATTATTTTTCCAAGATGCTAAAGTGAATTTTAAGTTTTTATTAGTATTATTAAATTTAGTTAGAATTTCTTGAATTTTATTTAATAGATGCTTATGTTCGTTTCAGATAAAAAATTATTCTAAAAATTGTCAAATGAGGACTTAATCAAAGTCAAAACTTGTAGGAATGCATTGAAATAAAACGTTAATAACGAACATCTTTAACCGTAAAAGGCCTTGTAATGCCCAAATTTAATTGTTTACAATAAATGAATTTAAAGGAATTTTACACGGATAAAAATCTGAAACCCTTAAACCCGAGTTGGTAAAGGATCCCCCTCTTAACAGGTTGTTATTTCAAACTGTGGTGTGAGAATCCCTATCTTTGAAGTAGTTTGCTCTTATCCTTTTTAGGAAATAATGAGGTTCAAATAAATTTACGAATTGATAGTTAATCTTTAACAAAATAAGTTTATATATTATATTATTTCAAAACAATACAATGATTATAATCCTTGTGTCAACTTGAAGTTGCCTCTTACAAATTTTATTAAATATAATTTTCTCCCATTAAACAATTAGACCTTGTTTCAAAAGTGTTATATGTGTAAGCGGCTGAACCCGAATTGCGTGCGGACGGTCAAATTGCGTCCCAAGGGCTGGTAGGTAAATGTTGAATTGCGTCCCAATGATTTCAGGTATAAGTGGAATTGCGTCCCAGGGGCTACGGGGGGTCGATCGAATTGCGTGCCGGTCGAGATTTGCCTATGAGCTGAGAACCACTGACAAGTAGATCCCCCCATATTTTCCTCTTTCCGAAATCTAAGCATTTTGCATAATAATTTAATTACGCCATTAGATTATGTTGAACAAGTATCTAAGAAATTTTTGCCCATCAGTAAATAAGTGTTATCATTGTTTGTACTTTGTACCTCATTGTATCTATTCCTTACTTAACCGACAAGGCACTTTTTGCTGCTTTTCTTTTCTAACTTAACCGACAAGGCACTTTTTGCTGCTTATCTTTTCTAACTTAACTGACAAGACACTTTGTTGCTTTTATTCATTTATTAATTTCTCATATAAAAGTTAATGCCAACTCACATTTTTAAACACGTCAGCAATGCTGCCAGTCCTAAGCCTGAATAGAGTGCGAAGGAAAATGTGGGGGGGGGGTAATTTTTGGTTTTTCCTGGGACGCAATTCCACTTATACCTGAAATCATTGGGACGCAATTCAACGTTTACCTACCAGCCCTTGGGACGCCATTCGATCGACCCCCCGTAGCCCCTGGGACGCAATTCGATCAAAAATGGATCATACCTGGATTTTCGCACGCAATTCGGGCACACCGGTGTAAGCTTAAATATGAGATGTGTCATGTGTATTAATAAAACCAATTCAACTTACTTTGATTTCCTTCTTTGTCTTTGTAATTGTATACTTTTTGTGTTTCTTCTTACGCTAAAAATATTCTTAGTGATCTTTCTGTATCCTAAATCACTCCTCTCAATGAACTCTACTTCACGTTTAATAATTCCACACTTTTATTAATTAACTTTTACGCCTAAGAACTTTTATCCATTTCTTTTAACTTATCAAATCAACCCAAAGCGACCTATTTATTTCAGATCTCCAACTCAAGAAAACACTCACAACTTTCCTTTAGAAAAGTCAAAGACCAACTGCCCGATTTTCACTTTTCGATCTATTTCGTGCACCGAAGATCGAAAGTGGGGAAATCGTTTTCTTTGAAACACCTGGTCGTCGACCCGTGCTTTTTACATACTTTGCATTTTACCCGTGGTGTGATCTTAGTTCATTAAACTTGGATTCACCACTCATAAATTCTTTCATGGATATTGTGAAATTCGATTGCCACAAAAGTTAATGACACCAAGTGTGAAATTGCGAAGTTGAGTGACCATTGAGAAGTAGGCAAAATTCTCTTTGTTTAATTTGATTTTTTTTATTTCTATACTCGTCAAAGTTAGTCTTGAATTGGTTTTTGAGTTTTAATTATAAAAATCTTATGTTACAGTAAATTTGTATTTATGTTTATGTTAGTGTGCATATTTATATATTGAGTCTCATAGTTTCAGTTTTATGAAGAGTAAGATAATTAGATTGTATTTTGTCAAACTATGAGGATCAATAAACAGATGATTTATTTGGAAAACATTCCACACTCTGCAGCTACAAAATTATTCTCAGAGGCATTAATTTTGAGACAAGTAAAATTGCGCGTAATTAACCAATTTATTAAATAATTTGCGTACATTCGTACACTGTCATCGACAATGATTCATCGCTAATGTCTTGAGTTTCAAAGAGAGAATTTTGTTACTGGGACATATTTTTTTAGAAAGAAACAAATTTTCAAAATTACGAAGCTGATTGTAACATCTTCCTTTACCCAATTTGCATATCTATACTCTTTTCATATATAAGGATTAACAAAATGAGAATTAGAATAACTGGTCTCTAGAGACGTAAATCGATTGTTGGGAACATAGATAATGAACATGACTTTTGTGATGATGTTTTTAAATGTTCAGCGACATTTTAAACGATCTTGTTTTAGCTTTGAGGGACGTGTTGGTTCAGAAGCGGGGAGGAAAAAATTTTTTAACCAGGAAAAATCATTTGGTATTCCTTAAGGCAAAGAATGTATATAGATCGGTAGTTTTAGCATTGGGGTGGTTTTGTACGGAGAATGACTCAGAGGGAAGTCGAGCCTGGGTCGGGGAGGTCGACGTGCGAAAGAGGGGTCGTACAACGAAGAGCGCCGGCGCTTTGGAGTCGCGACGTCGGTAACCCACAATCAGGGGGGTTGTGCGTCGTAGTGCTCTTCGTGCCTGGACCTTATGCGCCTAAAAGTGCCGGCAGCCAGCGCATACGAGTCGGTCCTTGGCTGTGTGCGTGACAGCAGTGGGATTTGTGTTTTTCGTTGGTGTCGTCGATCCCGTGGTACCCGCAATTCACGTCGTCAGGTCGACGACGTCGAGACATTATTACCTCCCGTCCACCACCGCACTGCAACAATAACAACAACAATCACTACCTCTCATTATCATCATCATCATCCATTGAGTCATATAGGGCAGGTATCGGTGCGGCATTCGCCACCGTTTTTCCTGCAGGTGCGATAATAATGCGGTACGTGCCGCGTCATCGATTGCAAGAAAAGTGACGGGGAGAAATGTGATAGGGAGAGAAAAGAGGCGCCCTAAGAGTTGGTGCCTGACCGGGAGGGGTCGGGAAGGAAAGAGATGCAACGAAAATCATCAAGGGGCACTTACATCGCTAACAATCTTCTTCTTTGGGTGCTCTGCGCTCTCCTAACATTATGCTGCTTCTTCAGTCAGCCAGCCCTAGGGGCCCCGGGCCCCCCAGATACCGGCGTCAAATTAGGTAAAAAAAAATATAATCCTCTTTACTTTCTTCTTTTAAAAATTTACTGGTTGCCAGTCAATCATAATACTGCCAATCATTTATTATAGCATCCATTTAAAAATCATATTTTAAATATTCTTTTTGTTTAAAACCATCATGAATTTATTGAAAAATTAACCGGGATGCTTGGGGGGGGGGAGATTATGCCAATTCTGATCAACGACGAAAAACATGCCAGTTGACTCTGAACATTTAAAATATTTTTTTTTTTTGCAACGAAAAAAATAAAATCTCAAAGTGAGAAGGAAATTCCGCTTAACAATTATTTTACATTTTACTTTCAATATTACGAAAGGGTAACTAACTGCTCCTGACGTTAGCACTGCGTTCCAGTGGTTGGCACCCTTCGAATAAAAAGAAATAACTATAGTTATTTATATACTTATTTATATAAAAATATTATTATTTATTATTTATTTATTTTATTATTTATTTATTCTAAATTAATTCATTTTTTATTTATTTTATTTATTTATTTATTTTTTTTTATTATTTTTATTATTTATTTTTTTTTACTTATTTATATACTTTATTTTAAACTAATTTTTAAAAAATTAGTATATAATATAATAATGATGCTATCACTCGGTCGATAAAATATTAAGATGATGAAAAAAATTAGTATGTTTTGCATATGATTATTAAAATTTGGGGCATTTTTTTTTACAAAAATCAAGTATATACTTTAGTATTTTTTGTTATTTAAAGAAAAAAAAGAAGGTGCCAACTTATAAAGTGCCAATGACTGGAACAGTTACTCTATTCATCTACAAAAAAGAGAAATGTTTATATTTAAAAGTTTTTATAACTAAAAGATGAATTTTAATTTTTCTTCTTTGATTGTAATTATTCCTCTCAAATTGAAACAAATTTATACTAGGCAAAAAAATTATGTTTGGAAATTTTATGAAAATAGTAGATATTGAAAATCATTGAATTGCAAAAAGTTTTTAAAAATAATTAAATTTTACAAAAAAATCTATTAAAATTATTGACAATAAATAAATGTCTGTGTGATATTTTATTAATTGTTTTTTAAATAATTGAATTCCTAAAAAACATTTTGTTATTTACGAAAATAATTTAATTCTTGCGAACGATTATATTAGAATTTTTTTAAATAATTGAATTTCCATTAATTAATTTATTACTTTTAAAAATAATTGAATACTTGTGATGAATATTGTTATTTATGAAAATAATTAAATTTTGCAAAGCATTTGTTTAAAATGCTTCAAAATAATTGAATTTTCAGGATTAATTTTGTTATTTATTAACATAATTGAATTCTTTTGCAGAATTATTTATGTAAAATTGAATTCTTGGGAAAAATAATTAATAAGAGTAATAATAATTGAATTATTTAAAAAAAATTTAATTAAAATTGTATGTAAAATAATTGATTTCTTTTTATCAATTTTATTAATTTTTTTTTTAAATAATTGAATTTCTGTAGGTAAAGCATTTTATTATTTACGAAAATAATTGAATTCTTGCGAATGATTTTATTAGAATTTTTTTAAATAATTAAATTTCCATGAGTTAATTTATTACTTTTAAAAATAATTGCATTTTTGTGATGAATATTATTATTTATGAAAATAATTGAATTTTGCAAAGAATTTTATTAAAGTGCCTCAAAATATTTTAATTTTCGTAAATAATATTATTATTTATCTTTAATAATTGAATTATTGTGAAGAATTTTATTAAAATCTAAAAGAATAATTATATTGTTTTAAAAAAATTTAATTAAAATTGTATTTAAAATTATTGATTTTTTTGTTTCACAATTTTATTAAAATAATTGAATTACTGTGAAAAATTCCAATATTTTTGTAAATAATTGAATAGTTGCAAAGAATTTTATTAAAATTTTCAAAAATAATTAAATTTCTGAAAAGAATTTTATTATGTATGGAAATAATTGAATTATTGCCAAAAATTTTATTTAAATCTTTAAAAATAATTGAATTTCTGTGAAAAATTATGTTATTTTAGAAAATAATTGAATTCTTCATAAACATTGATTTAAATAATTAATTTTTTCGAAATATAATAATTATTACGAAAATTTTATTTTAAATTAATTAAAGTCCTGAAAACACTCTACGTTATTTTAAATTAATTGAATTCTTCGGCGAAATTTCATGAAAATACTAGATATTGAAAATAATTGAATTTTGAATATTTTTTAATAATAATTTAACTTTTTTAAAAAATTAGTATATTTAGTTTTTTGAACATTAATCATCATTTTAATTAATTTTCATAGTAGAAATGGAACTTGTATTTTTTTTTAACTGACAGTTAATATCGCGTTTGACAAAAGAAGTAAGTTGTCACGCAAGATTATTGACAAAAAAGTTTTACTGTTCCAAAAAGAGTATTAAAATTTGCCTCGTAAATTTTAATCCATACTACGATTCACGTAAACATAATCTCATGAGACCAGCTGACATAAATTGATGTACGAGCTTTGTAGGGGACTTTATAAATCCATTATATTATTTTACTCAAATTCATCGCGTTTGATTTATCACATTTTAATATTTCAATAAATAATTTAATCAGACATTATTAATTAATATTATTAATAAAAAAAAACATTAAACTCAAATTAATTCGTATTTTCAATCATTTAGTCACTATTTTTTATTTAGAAATGTTTAATTTTGATTTTAATTTAAAAAATCGTAAAACTGAAATCAATTTTCAAGACATTATAAAGAAAATAATTAAAACTGTTGAATGAAGGTATTTAAAAACTAAACAAAAGATCATCGCGCCATAAAAGTAATAAGAATTCCATTTTAAAAACCTCTTTAGCACGAAAATTTATCACAAAAGAATTTTTATGCAGTAGACGACTTGGAAAATTTATTCTCTGAAAACTTTTTTGCACAATGTAAAATTCATGAAAGAAAATGGAGAATTTTTGCAAAACAAAAAATTAATTTAAAAAAGTCTAAAATAAAGACAAAAATTTTTCACACATAATTTAGGATAAATAAAATAAAAGTTTATCAATAAAAAAGATTTAATTCTTTTTAACTTTTTCGTTTATTATTGTTTTAATCTTTTCACACCGCGATATAATAATATTTATGTTATTATATTTTTTTATTCGAACCATTTTTAATGCCTCAATGTATTTTTTCCTCTATAAAAGCTTCAGTGGGCGTATAATCAATGTTTGACGTGTGTTCACTTGCCAACAGAAAAAATTTTTTGCAGACACTCTGACGCTTTTTGAAAAATAAAAACTATTTCGGTTTTAATTAAACACGTTCAAAAGGAAGTAATTTTCATTGCCTTTTACTCTCTTTCATCTGTCTATATTTCGTTATTAGTTTTTTTTCCTTTCTTTTTTGGTCAAATTTTTCAGAAATGGTTGAACATGTTTTGCAAAAAGCACATTTATTGGAAAAGAATTTTTTTTTTTGAATAGTTTAGAATATTTCAAATTGTTTCCAGTATTTTGGGAGAAAAAATAAAAAATTTTATTTGTGGAGAGTTATTACATTTTTCATGTGTTTTTTGATATAAAAGTTGATTTATGTACAAGGTCATGAAATGCGGATGAGAAACGTTTTTACGTTTAAGTCAATCAAATTTTTGACTTCTGCAAAAAGCAGTCAAAATTCAAAGTTTTCTTTTACGATTAGGAGAGTTGGAATTTAATTTTATGCTGTTATGAAAATTATTCATTAAATTGTGGATAATTTTTTAAAAATATTTTCCTAGCTCAATGACGCTATTTGGTAGTTGTTGACAAAGGTTTACATTGTGTTTACACGAAAAGGTATTTATAATTTATTTATGGGTATATATTTGTACACAATTTACTCCCTTTGTATGTGATAGGGTTCGATACTCCAAATATATCAAATTTCTTAATCTACTTTTTATGATCAATTTCACCCAATGGTATAATTCTTATCTTATGTTACCTACGTATCCGTCAGTGCCAAGGTTTCCGTTTTCAGTTCCTTTTGCCCATACTGACTTCGGCCTCATTAAGGTCTTCTCCCCATTTATCTCCATTTATCTCCAAAAATATTGTAACTATAAATTCAAATTTTCAAAGATTCTAATTTAAACTCTTTTCAAAATTCAATTATTTCTAACAATTCACACAATAACTCTTCTAATATTCAATTATTATGTAAAATTTTACCTGAAATTAATTTTTTAATAAATTTTTATTAGAAAATTTTTAGAGAATTAAATTATTAACATACGAAAATAAATAATTTATTCAATAATTAAATATTTCTTAAAATTAAATTTCTAGCGAAGAATTTTATCAAAATTTTTAAAAATAATTGAATTCTTTCGGTGAATTTTCAAAAAAAAAAAAAATTAAGAATAAATGCAATTTTCTATCATCATATTTTAAAATTGTATAAAAAATAATTGAAAATTCTGCAATAAGTTTTGTTATATTTATGAAAACAATTGAATTCTTGCAACGAATTTTATTAAAAATTTTTTTAAACAATTGAATTTCTGTGAAAAATTTTATTTGTGAAAATAATTGAACTCCGGAGAAAAATATTATTATTCGTGAAAATAATTAATTTCTTGTGAAGAATTTTATTCAATTTTTTTTTTTAAATAATTGAAGTTCTCAGAATTTAAAAAAAAATTTTGAAAATAATTAAATTCTATCGAGAAATAGGTATTTCATTAAAAAATCTAAAATAATTGAAATCTGACGAAGAACTTTATTAAATTGTTTTTTAAATAATTGAAAATAATTCAAATCTGACGAAGAATTTTATTACATTATATTTTTTAAATAATTGAATTTCTGTGCAAATGTTTATTTTTGATAAGAAATAAATTCTTGTAAAGAAGTTCATTAAAATTATTTAAATAATTGAATTACTTTGAAAAATTTTATTTTTTACAAAAATAATTGAATTGTTTCTAAAATTTTTAAAAACATTTTA